ACAATGGTCAAGCGGACTCCGAGCGGACTCCGGCGGAGCCGCCGGACTCCGAGCGGACTCCGGCGGTGCTCCGCCAAAATGTATTTACAGTGGACTCGAGTACATTTTGGCGGACTCCGAGCGGACTTTAAAGTCCGCCGCGGACTCCGAGCGGCTCCGCGGCGGCTCGGCGGAGTGTCCGCCGCGGACTAAGCCACTAGGCGGACTCCGGTCCGCCGCGGACTCCGGCGGAGTGCTTGGCGGACTCCGCCGGACCTCTCCGCCAGACTTGAATCCGGCGGAGTCCGGCGGAGCTTGGCGGAGTCCGCCAGCTCGGCGGACTCCGCTTGGAGTCCACCGGACTCCAACAGAGTCCACTGATTTCCGACCTCCGTCTTCCGACCCTCGATCGGCTAAATTTGTCACGTGACATACAACATAGCATTTTGCAATATTGTGGTCAGATGAAAAGGTCGCTAGTGATAAACCTTAACCATTACCCTCACAATGTCAATAGTGTACAACTCTAGTCCTAACTTTGACCCTATAATGTATAAACGTTGACCCTAACCCTCCACCAAACCGTCCGCAGCGAAATATCAATGTCATTGACTGGTCACGTGACCAAAACAATTTTTGTCATATTATCTCATATAGGGAAGCGTTTTTAGCAAGCAAAAATACGTCGACCATCACAGGACGACGCCAGCCAGCACTCTCTACGCTCTTCGAGCTCCGATCGTCCTGTGACGAAGTAAGGACGAAGCCTGAGGTCCTCAGGTAACATCGACCACCGATTGAAAATTCAAAGATTTTTTGACATAAAGGTCAAATGTAAAACTAAAATCTTGATGTTGATTGATTGACGACGTCAATTTTTGAGCACAGCGCGAGCGCATGCGGAAAAGGACCGCGTAGCTACTCAAGATGTTGATAAATATTTGGCTTGTGGCGCGATGTGTTGCTCTAACTATAGCCCTCTCGCTTGCAGTAGCGCGCGACCGCCGGAGGCGGAAATAACCTGGTTAGCTAGGTAAACGCGATGTGCCTTGTAGGATGAAATCCTACTAGCTGACGCCATTCGCAGCTGTGCTGCTCGCTGTACGTCAGCGATCGAAATTTATACGCGTATCTCCCGTTAAGATGTGCCACTCGACGCGCCACACAATTTTTCTCGTTGCTTGTCGCACGTCGACGAACAACGAAGCTCGTTGCGACGCGTCGCGCAATGAGCTGCCAGGCTAGGACATCGTCCTGGTCCAACAAATTTTGGCGAGCGATTTTCTCCACAAATTTAATGAGGGCTAGCTTAGCGTTGTAGGATTGTATACTTTAATTTCGGATCGAGTGAAACGAGTGATACACATTACTTTGATTAAACCCATGCTGATCACAATACAGTACAGGGAAGTGGGTAACACGGCTTGCAGTCGCAGCTGCGGCTCCTCGCTGGCGGTAATATTTCAATGAACAAGAATTAAGAAAAAGAGAATTTAAGAAAAAGAGAATTTTATTTGCCACAGAATAATCAATACATATAATACTAGTGTAACCCGGCCTTCGGCCGGGATTTCACTGCCGCAGTTAAAAAGGGTAGGAGCATTTACCCGTTGAGTCAAAACCCGCATTAGGTGAGCAATTCTATTCGGAGTGCCCTCACGTATCCAATGGTATCTTAAACAATAGTAATAGTATCTTAAACAATAATCAATAAAAATTAACCCTTAACACCACACCCGCCAGCGGCCAGCCGCCTATCATATTTCAATTTGTGAACACGCATAACATTGTCGTATGAAAGTATGAACTCTCTCTCTGCAGTCCAAACAGTGCCCCCTCCCCTAATGAGATTATAGTATAGACAGCGAATCTTACCCGGGTAACTCAATTACACTAATTATGCAGCTACATAGCATATGCGAGCCCCGTAACTCTTACCGTTCTGCTCAAGCTATTTTATGTAACATTTGTGGTACAAAACCATCAATTAAACCACTTACCAACGACCGATTTAAAAAACCTTTATCATTTAACTTCGTCAGAGTTTTGTCGGCACTTTACCGAAAAAATCAGTCCCGCAACTCTTACCGTTTTCTTGATTAAGCCGCTCGGAAATTACAAACAGACAGACAGACACACATTCTGGGATTATTAGTTAGATACTTCAAAAAAAAACTTCAAAATATATTGTTAGTTAATCTATCGTTCATAAGATGGGGTACTCTCAATAATCAAGTACATGAGTACCCGACCCGCCGCGCCACGCAAGCACCACACTGCAATTGAAATTGGAGATGTACGTAAGCATAATGGGCGCGGGGGCGCCGCGCACGTGGATCGAGCCGGCCCACGTACCCAAATTGCAAATGCAAATGTACATGTCACAATGTCACACTCACAGTCACATTTATTAATTTCTACACAATTTATTCATTATACTTATCTGCCCACGAGTGCTGGTATCACTATCAGTTTGTGTCTTAAGACTAGCTACGCGGTCCTTTTCCGCATGCGCTCGCGCTGTGCCCAAAAATTGACGTCGTCAATCAATCAGCATCAAGATTTAAGTTTTACATTTGACCTTTATGTCAAAAAATCTTTGAATTTTCAATCGGTGGTCGATGTTACCTGAGGACCTCAGGCTTCGTCCTTACTTCGTCACAGGACGATCGGAGCTCGAAGAGCGTAGAGAGTGCTGGCTGGCGTCGTCCTGTGATGGTCGACGTATTTTTGCTTGCTGGGATCCGGCCGAATGACGCCACATGCAACGTGTAGGGTAAAACTAAAAACGCTTCCCCATATGAGAAAATATGACAAAAATTGTTTTGGTCACGTGACCAGTCAATGACATTGATATTTCGCTGCGGACGGTTTGGTGGAGGGTTAGGGTCAACGTTTATACATTATAGGGTCAAAGTTAGGACTAGAGTTGTACACTATTGACATTGTGAGGGTAATGCCAATGGTTAAGGTTTATCACTAGCGACCTTTTCATCTGACCACAATATTGCAAAATGCTATGTTGTATGTCACGTGACAAATTTAGCCGAGGGTCGGAAGACGGAGGTCGGAAATCAGTGGACTCTGTTGGAGTCCGGCGGACTCCGAGCGGAGTCCGCCGAGCTGGCGGACTCCGCCAAGCTCCGCCGGACTCCGCCGGATTCAAGTCTGGCGGAGAGGTCCAGCGGAGTCCGCCAAGCACTCCGCCGGAGTCCGCGGCGGACCGGAGTCCGCCTAGTGGCTTAGTCCGCGGCGGACACTCCGCCGAGCCGCCGCGGAGCCGCTCGGAGTCCGCGGCGGACTTTAAAGTCCGCTCGGAGTCCGCTCGGCTCCGCTCGGAGTCCGCCAAAATGTACTCGAGTCCACTGTAAATACATTTTGGCGGAGCACCGCCGGAGTCCGCTCGGAGTCCGGCGGCTCCGCCGCGGACTCGACTCCGCGACGGATAGTGCCTAATCGAGTAGCTAATTCCGAATAATCCCCCACGAAAAAAAACAAATATTAAAATGCTCTCCCGGACAGTAATGGGATATGACCTGATTTGGTCACCGAGACTGGCCTGGTAAGTCAAATTAATACAGTAACTTATTACCTTAGTATTGGCATTGCTCATCTCGATGGGTTGACATCGTCAATCAACCATTTCAGCTTCACACAGACGTCAGAGTCAGACATCGAATGCTGTAACTTTTATGTAAGTAAAAGAAGGATAGTGGGATCAGGGCTAGAGTATTGTTGATGTGATACAGCCAATACAATGATACTTCGATCATCTTATCTCTAATTCAGAGAACGGATTAATATATAACGGGTGATACTCGTAAAATATTTGTTCCAAATATTAGAGGACCGTCGACGAGTCCAACTCGGCGCTCGTCCTGGTACTTGTAGGTTGTAAACCTACAAAGAACGGAGCGCTGCGTAATTGCAATTAATTGGTAATGCGTATTGAGGTACAAATTAAAATGCACTGAACAAACTGCTTGACTCTTGCACCTTCATTATAGAAAAGATAACGCTCAAGAAGTATCACTCATCCATCTTCTTCTGAGGATGATAGTCCGATATAACGTCACAATGAATATATTGTTCGGTGAGCGAAAAAAAAGAAAAGATGGTACGATAAAAAGTAGGCCTAGGGTAGGGGATCCAAATATCTTAGCGGATGACAAAATGTAACATTACGCCCGCGCCACTGATTGATTATATTGTAGGTTTACAACCTTATACCAGGACGCGCGCCGAGTTGGACTCGTCGACGGTCCTGTGTATGGACGGTCCAATATATGGAACAGATATTTTACGAGTATATCACCCGTTAAGACCAATACCATCAGACCACGATTGAGCAGTGATGGAAGAGTCTCAAATTTATTTAACTAAGAGTGCAGTAAATTGAATTTCATTATCATAGGAAATACCTACAAAACGGAAGTTGATACCAGCCTAATTTAAATTACATGACCCGTGTTAAAAGTTTCGGGATAAATCTACTTCCTAGGTCCAGAACGGACGTATTGTCTTCTTGTATATATGTGTACTCTCCCCTGGTCTTTAGTTGTGCTTCGTTTTGGTTCCTTTGTTTAAATAAAGAGTCTAGATCGAGGCAGATGCTAGCAAATAGATGATGCCGACATATATGACATATGGTAAATTACCATATGTCATATATGTCGTAGGCCTAGGGTAGGGGTATGTCATTATATAGTGTGATTACCATTGGTAATCACACTATATAATGACAACACTATATAATGACAAGCACTTTGTAATGACAGCTGATCTTTGTCATTATATAGTCTGCAAAACGGACTATATAATGACAACACTATATAATGACAAGTTTATCTTATATCGACTTTTCCTTACTTTTCTTTAATTCTACTTTTAGAATATTACTAAAGCAAATAATCTTATTTAAGTAAAATGTATAACTGTCATAGAAATATAGTACAATCGAAATATCATAAAATCCCAATTTCGTAAAACCGATAATATCAATAATCAAATGTCGAATTCATAGTGCAGCAGAAACAGCAGAGAGATAATCGATGACTTCGTACTCCTGGTTATCGTAGGCTTGCATGAAGGATTCCAGAAGGGAGTCGTACCTTATCCACTTGGCTGCTCTCTGGGGTGGAGGTCTTCTCATCAGTCTTTCTGTGATCTTCTGGTCTGTTAGTCCTTGCTCTAGTTTGAGGGCTTCAAGGAATTTCCAGATGGTAGGATTTGAACACTGGACGAGGCTGCGGAAACCATTATGCCATCCTTCTGCAAGGTTCGAAGAGCGTGGGAGACCAGCTAGACAGCAGTCGTACTGGTTCCAGGACAGGTGATCGAAGCGAGCAGGTCTGTTTGGTGTTCCCATCCACGTGGACTCAAAGTAGGATGTAATTTGCAGCCGTCTCACATGTCAATACCATGATACCCGATCCCCATCCAAGCTCTGACTTTCTCTCTAGTGATAGGCGACTCACTGTTGCATAGGGGTTCTCATCTGCCCAAAATTTACAATTTGTATATGATTCGCATATTTGGGTATTCTATAATCTATACGGTCTGCACCAAGCACAACGCACATACCACATATATATGCTAAATCATTTAAAAATTATATCATCGTATTTTTAGTGCCCTGGTGTACTCTTTGATACAAGTTATATACAATCTCTCTAGTGATTACAATCGCTCTCTCTCTCTCTCTCTATACATGAAATGTTCCGCTAATTTCAACCACCGGTCACCGGTCACGTGTGTCGGACGCATGTGCATGGCTTCCTTCACTGCATAAAAGTACAGATTCTCTGCCTAGTTTGTTGTAGTATAATTGTATTCTACACAATGTACTCTGTCCACCTTGTATAACTGATGTACATGTATTTATTGCACGCTACTTCTAGTATAATTGGATTGTATGAGCTCTGGTATACTCCAGGTTGTATTTGAATTGCTCTCCAAAGAGGGTGGTGAATAGCAAGCAGCCATTTAGATTCATCTCATGGATACATACATGCAAACGCGTACGCCGTGAATACACTTTGCTGTTGTTACAGTATTACTATTAACTAGCTTTTAGCCACCTAGGTATTACTTCTTTGTTCCTTGCCATTGCCCTATCTGATGTTGCGTATTTTAATTTAGATTAACTGTCGCTACTGTGTCTGTACTACAAGATTTCACCAGCCACTTGCACCAGTTACTGTTAATCGGGATTTAATTGCAGATTTACCAGATCCAATATCCTTAACGAAACCTTAGACCGACTGCAGAAGATGGGTTAAATTTGCGTAATTTGATATGCATATACCCGTTATCTCTCATTGTTTCTATACATAATATACTAATCCTGCAGGGCCACTGCTGGTCGCATATTCGCTCGTATACGCTTGTTTAAACTTTCAAAAGGAATTTTATAACATTTTTTTAGATCACTTTGAAACGTTTCATTTTGCAAGGACCTTAAATCATATTTGCTGCAGGAATTTCACGTAGGTGATCATGTCTCCGTCAACACTTATTTGAACAGGATAGCGTAAAGCTTGAGCGAACAAGTGATACGCTTCTATCTGAAAAAAATTTGCGCTTCATTGTTGATAAAGATCAAAAGACGTTACTTCTAACTGCCCAAGATGTTCCTATCCAGAAAAGCTCTGATTGGTGCTTTGGTGACGCTCTTTTGTCTAAGCGCTCTTATCTACAAAACAGAACCCTACCGAGACCTCTTAAATAACTTTCAAGGTAAAAACCCTGGTAGAGAGCAGCAACATTTTTCACTGGAATTGGAACATTCAAAACAAGTTAAAAAATAAAATATGTCATTTTGAACGATATCCACCGACTCTGTCATCCGGTTAAATGTCCATCCTTGTTATTTATCATGTTTATCTTTACAGGGGGTGAAAACATAGTCATAGAGATCTCCTCTGATCCAGATAAAACCCCCGCAAACCATGAAACGGTTAGTTTGGTTACTCTTTTTAATGTTATAATATTACAATAAGAATTGATTGTCCATTAAACGCTTGCTATATTATGACGCAGTGAAACTATTGGACTACGATGTATGGGGACTTGTCACCCCATGGCAACATTAAAATATATTGACTCTGTTACATCGTTTCCTGTATACATTCCTATATACATTTTTCGTGGACCCTTTTATATATGGACCTTATTCTTGAGGGTATTTGGATTCAACTTAAAGTCAGGGTTACATTTATGGTTATGGTTAGGAACAGATCGGTGGCGTACCGTTGCAACGTTACGCCACTGGAGGTATTGCTAAGTTTATCGACTGATATTTTTCTCAGGACATCAGGACTAACAGTGATGGTAGCTCCAATGCTCAATCAATCAATTCTCTGCAGAAAGTAACTGAGGAGAAGCCTCCAGAACACCAATTAATATCATCATACACAAAACTTTTTGATGTTGTAGATGACGTCAGGGAACCAACAGAACCGCTTTATGAGAAACCCACAGAGCCAATAGATCCTGCAAACGATATAATGCAACCCACAAAGAGGGATCTCTCAATATCTTCTCCACAACCTGTAGCGACAATAGAGCCTAGAGGTCATCACGCAGCAGCAGCAGCAGTAGTACCAGACCAGGAGTCACCTAAGAAGATAGGTGACTCGTGGGACCACGTCAAGAAAACTGATGACATTCTGGAATTTGTTCGTTCGCAGTGCGTAAAGTATGAAATGATAACGGTTGTGCCGGGCGAGGAGGCTAAGAAACCAAGAATGTTGGTAATCACAAAAAACTGGATTGAGAACATGATTTTATATTCTAGTAATCCTAAGACCGGGTCTACATCGTTCAAAAAGTGGTTTGCCAGATTACAAGGTGAAAATAAGGATTATGAGAAAATGTCTGGTGTTCACGCAATGAAAAAATATGGGAATATAGATGAAGCTTGGATTTCCGCCGAGTCCAAATCAAGCGACCCCGATAGCGTGTGAGTACAAATTAAAATGTTGCACTTTGTTATACTTATCTAAACTTATCGTGGGCAATGAGGCTCGCTCTACCTGCCCTAGAATTGGTCACCAAGTCGGGCAGAGGCTCCTATTTCGGCATATCAATTGTAAATCCGTTTCGTTGTGAATGCTTTTGATTTAGATAAACACTAACCTGAAACTACCTCAGAACACTGAACGACGTGATAAAACCGTTCTATAAAGTTGGCTTTATGAGAAATCCACTCCTTCGGTTAATATCTGGTTTCAGAGATAAAATTCTAAGGTGAGATGTTGTTCCCTTTTTTTGAAGTCTGTAAAGTGAGACTTAGTCACCGTGGTGCACTGGTGCCCTCACCGTGGTGCACTGGTGACCTAACCAATTTCCAAACACATCTAATTTTATGAACGCTGAAAAATATACTCTCAAGAATGAAGAAAGCCTTGAATCGTTTATTTAACTACGTGAAACTTACAGGAGAGCGGAAGATGGTATAAAACCAGAAATGAGGATCGTAGATCCGAGTCTGACAGCTGAGTCACCGGACACACAAAAATTTGCAGCATTTACTGAGGGAGTTATGAAAGGAACTGTAAGTACAAAAATTAAAACTTAAATCAACTCTCTAATTCCTTATTTCATTGGTAGTGGACGGGCAGAGGAGTTTTTAGTGTAATTTATTAACCTCAGCTGCTAGTCTAAATATCTAGCTATGTACTTCATTACGTGTGGTACGCAGTTCAAGTAAATGTTACTAGCTATGATACTTATTACCTATTTCCAGATCAAGAACATCCACTATACGACTCAGTGGAGTAAAATGAAGATATGCGATTTCCCTTACGACATTATCGCACAGGTAATTTTTCACAGTTAGGACTTTGGTGTAATTTAAAACAAGCCCGTTTTACTTATTTTGTCAAGATAAGTGTAAAATCTTGAATTTTGGTATTTTTTAAATTTGACGTAGTTAGGAGGTTAGGATGCCATGTTTGCACACGAAACAATTTTAAGACGGAGACAACAAGTCAACAGATAAAGGAGATCCAGGAGCACACAAACACCACTCAGTTCGAGTTTCCTGGATCTAGAACAGATATTGGTTATGACAGCGTTGCTACTGTTAATTTGGCACACGAGTAAGTCTATTTTACGTTATATTTATAAACAGAGCAATGTAAGCAGGTCACTTAATCACAGAACTCTACAAAAGAGTTAGAAACTTTAATTTTCTCTTTCGCATTATTGTTACTGGTAGCTTTCTGGATACTCTCTGGCCGAAAATGTTTGTTGCAGCAATGCAATTTAAACCTTAAACGATGAAATCAGGGCAAATCTATCAATTTAGTTACTGAAATTTAAAGGAATGCGATTACCGATGACTTTTAAAAAATAACCTAAAGATATATGGACACGTTCATTTTAGTTTGAGGATATTGGTAAACAAAAATAATAGCGTTTTCGACGATAGTGGCTTAATTTTGACATCTATTAACCTAGCATGTTCAGAAGTTCTGAACATTAGCCACGTAACCCATACTCCCATATGCACCGCTCAGAAAGAAAATCTATTGTTGTTAGGCACTATAATGTTTCAAATGTCACATTTTGTGTGACTTAGTTAACTGCAGTTGTCTAATTATCATTCCTTGGTCTGAAATATAGTAAATTAGGTCAATCTTACAATTATGATACAACATTGGTTAATGGGCACGGATCGAACGGTTACAAGGCAATATTTGGGTAACTTTGTCACACTCATGATACCATACCTCTATTCTACTGTGAGGTGTCCTGAAAACCCTTTCAACTCATTATTTGATAGTTGCTCTACCAATCATAGCCCTAAAATATATCGTTTTGAATAGTTAGCTAATACAGGCACTTGGTTATTGGGAAATGAGGGTTATTCTGTCACAATATATGAAATTTTAAATTTTGGGCGAATTATTTATATTTGATTTTGGTTTGAAAGGCGTGAAAACTTTATATGATGACAATGTAGTTGATGCAAGTTAAGATCAGTTGATGTTTACATTGTCACAAAAAATTATACGAAATCGTAAATAGATTAAAAACAATGATTATAGAATGAAATAGTCTCTTATAATAACCCTTATAATAACTGATGTGACAAAGTGAACATGTCTTGCCCCTATTTTGAAGATCTATATTCTATACCTCTATTAGAATTCAACATTCTTAAGTTTAACAATTTTAGGTTAAATTTGTCAAAGTCACTAAAAATGTGACAAAATTAACTTTCCCTGCCCCAACGATATCAAGATAGTGTGTTAAAATTGGCATACTAGGATGCTTTATTGCCTGTATAAATTAATCCAAACTACAAGATATATGTTAATGTGATGACGATTACCTAACTCTTATAATAACTGATGTGACAAAGTAAACATGTCTTGCCCCTATTTTTAAGATCTATAACTCTATTAGAATTCAACATTCTTTCAGAAACGATTCGAAGAATATTGTCCAGAACATCAGAGCTCAATTGTAACAATTTTAGATTAATTTGTCAATGACACTGAAAATGTGACAAAATTAACTTTCCCTGCCCCAACAATATCAAGATATTGCACGTTAAAATTGGCATAGGATGCTTTATTACAGGTATATTAATCGATCCAAACTACGAAAAATATCTTTTAATCTGATGACGATTACCTAACTCTTATAATAACTGATGTGACAAAGTAAACATGTCTTGCCCCTATTTTGAAGAACTATACCTCTATTAGAATACTATGTAACTTAATCATCAAAAAATTGTCGATAAACTAGTTATTTTGCCAGCAAGGAGCTAACAGAGTTATAATAATTTGTTTGTGACGAAATTACCCTATTTTTGACCTGGTTGTGGTAGTTTAATTGTGACACTGTTAACATATTACCACCTGATAATGATTCATGTGACTGGTGCATGGTACTAGCAGTGTTGTTTGATCCATAGTACGCAATATAAGGGGGTTTATGCTGGTATATCATTATTTGTTCAATTTCACATGTTCAGATATCATCAAGATTATGTGACAAAGTAAACTTGGTTGTGCCTTCAGTGTTTTAATTCCTTACGACTATATGATATAATAACAATTCCCAGCACTTTCAGGCCATCAAATAAACCTACACTACTCAGCATTGCTTATCAGGGTGCCCTAAACATTCATCACATTTTTTTTAATGTGTGACAGTAAACCTGAGTGCACCATCTAACGAAAAAAGTCGTCAAATATGTAGGTAATGGTCATATGTACCCATCCAATCAACTGGACACTCAAAAATTTGGTCAAAAACGGCAGCAAGGGGTCCATATTTACTCCGTCACATGTTTATAGTGTGACAATGTAACCATTTCCGCGCCGGCCGTATTTAAGCGATATCTTATCACCTGATTAAGATATCGTTATCATGTGACAAAGTTAGCCTAGAGGATGATACGATTATCCTAACCATCAAGGGTTTATGTAATCTCATAGTGTGACAAATTCAACTACACTGTGCCATTTAATAGGGTCACTTATATTTACCAATATCCTCAAACTCAAATGAACGTGTCCATATAACTAATATCCCTACTTTTCAGATTCTACGATAAAGTAAAACCAGACATCATGGAGCAGATATATCAGTATTATAAGTGGGACTTTGTGCTAATGGGCTACACAAAATTTAGTAATCCTAATTTCCCTTACTTAGACTTTGATCAGGACTTTGAGAAAGAATTTGGCCCTTTGGATGTAGGGATCCCAAAACGTAAAACAGCACCGTCCCGTCCTCCGACACCAGCTGAACCGCGAAAACCTATAAAGATTGATTGGGGTTCTCGATTTAATAGTAATTAATTATGAAAGAGAAATTAATATTTTTGCTTTTGTAATGTTGTAGTTCTGGGGTAATCTGTAACACTATTTTTCAAGGGAATTCTGTCGAAATGACTCCCTGACGAAACGAATAAACCAATTGTTTTTGATAAATATATTTTGATATGTAAAAAGTTGGTTAAGTTTTAAAATATTTTAAAGAGCAGGTAACACTTTGTTATACTCTTTTTGTGGTTTTGTTTATCAGCTGTTAAGCTGACATTGACATTTAATTCAGAGGTAATTTATTTGGTTACAAAAATAGTTTCTTTTTTTTCAAAAATCAAGCGCCATGCTTTTCAGATAATGAAATAATTCTTGAAAATTATTAGACAAGAAGCAGACGACCGCAATACAAATTTACCCGGTAAAAAGTTTGGTCGAATTAGAAAACGGATAGGTCTAACATCTTATTTAACTATATTATGAAGTTTAGGCATGTTTTATGTTCGAAACCATTAGTCAATATAAGGGACACACTATAACTCTCACTCTCCAGGTACTATATGGAGATAGTTCTCAGTGGCATCACTTACCTTATTACCAAAACACGTTATCCTGCACTTATGATCCATGGTTAGAGAGGGTGTAACTGTAATACAAGATGTAACTGTTCAAGATGCGTTATCGGGGATCATTGTTGCTGTTTATAATATCAACTACGTTTTATACAAGATCTCCTCGTAATCGTAGCATCTAGCAATGCATTTAAGGGATAAACACTTATGTCGAGTGTTGACTGAGCAGTGAGCCCAGTAAGTACACGGTAAGAGAGCAACATCAGAAAAGAGCAATATCAGCGTTCGTACTTTTTTAATTTTCGCCTTGACCTTAACGCATTCCCCAATTTAATTGGCATATACAATGCATTATTGTCGGTAGTATCAAAAACGTGTATGGACATTGGACATGTTCATTGGAAGTTGAGGATATAACTACAATTTTAGTAACCCTATTAAATGGCACGGTGTAGTTAACTTCCATGGTTATTGGTCACTCTTAGGATAATAGTTTCATCCTCAGGGAAAAATTCAAGAATCAATAGTTCCCACAGTCAGACAACGAATGAGTTTAAAAATTCCAACAAAATCTTTATAACATCATTGGTAAAACATTTTCGGACATCTTCAGTACCTAATAAAGATAAGGGTTAATACTCCAATTATATCAGAAAATTTTAATTTGAACTAAAGGATGTTAGCTGTAAAAAGAAGCCAAACTCTCAAAAATGGAATGGGAAGCACTCGGGTATGGGGGGTTGTGAGGCCCCAACTAGTCGGAAAAAATATACTAGTCCCTGCATTAAGGGTGAAATAATTTAAGGACCATTATCAAAAGTTTTATTTTCAAATAAAAGTGGCATACCAAAAGGATCACATGAATTAATACCATATGGTTTCAAGGTTCTGAGTTTTTGTATAAGTAGATGTTCGTTAACTTCTAAATTACTAGGACTAGAATTCTTTAGGATAAAAACATTATAAGAAGCATCAAAATCAGGTCTATTGGAAAGGTTATGTGAGTCTATTAGGTGAGCTGCTAAACTGTAAGTGTCACTATCATCAGATAAAAAATCATCACTATGTTTTAAGGAAGGGTCTTTCAATAATTTATAATAGTTAGCTCTATGTTCGGTTACTCTTTCATGCAAAGTCCTAATGGTACGTCCAACATAGCAGAAAGGAGATGGACATAATTTACAAATGAATATATAGACTATGTTGTAGCTAGAACAGGTCCCTGGAGCTTGTCTTATCTTGACTCCATTAATACAATAACACTTTTCACTTCCTATCATTGCACAACACTTACAATTTCTTTGATGGCAAGGTTCTGTTTTTGTTACAGTGTTATCCTCTGCGTGCAATTGTGGGTTGAGGAGTCTTCTCCGCAAAGATGCGCCTGATCTTTTAACATAACTGAATAGTCTTTTGCCGGTGTTTCTATCCTTGTTGGAGGTCTCCGTTGTACTTGTCGTGTCGGTGTTAGAGGTAGACGACAAACTCGGAGAAGTCTCTATGGTGGACTCAAACTTTTCAATTACGTCTATCAGTGCCGCGTCACCTCCGAAGGTGGAGATAACACGTATTGTGTTATCAGGGGACACAGGGAGCAATATAGAACTGTTCGAGGTGTCCCTGCAGGGAAAAATTCACATGACGATATCTTTATCAGGTGATAAGATATCGCTTGAATTCGGCCGGCAGTGAGAGGTTAATTTTGTCACACTATAAATGTGTGACAGATTTAACATGCCCCTTGCTGACATGTTTGACAAACTTTTCTAATGTCCACTATCCAGTTGATAGGATAGTTCTATTATCCATATGACTATTATCTACAAATGTAACGACCTTTTTTCGCTAAATGATGCCACCAGGTTAATTCCGTTACACAATACACAATACACATGTATATTATATAAGCGATGTTTATTGTTTAGGACACCCTGAGAAAGAATGCTGACTGGTTTAGCATTGTTTTGTGACCTGTAGGAATTGTTAACATATCTTATTTTAACATTACTAGACACTAGTGTAACCCGTGTCTACGGCCGGGACTTCACTATCGCAGTTGAAATGCAAAATTTTAAACCTGCCTATTATATTCTAAAAAACACATTACATTTTCGTAATTAAAACGTTTCTAATAGTAATACTTGATGGGTAATCTTGAGCATTATACTGATACAGAGCACTATACTATCGACTCTGCAATGCCCAGTGGGCAGAGTCGATAGTATTGCCCACTATAATAGAGAGAGAGAGAGAGAGAGAGAGAGAGAGAGAGAGAGAGAGAGAGAGAGAGAGAGAGAGAGAGAGAGAGAGAGAGAGAGAGAGAGAGAGAGAGAGAGAGAGAGAGAGAGAGAGAGAGAGAGAGAGAGAGAGAGAGAGAGAGAGAGAGAGAGAGAGAGAGAGAGAGAGAGAGAGAGAGAGAGAGAGAGAGAGAGAGAGAGAGAGAGAGAGAGAGAGAGAGAGAGAGAGAGAGAGAGAGAGAGAGAGAGAGAGAGAGAGAGAGAGAGAGAGAGAGAGAGAGAGAGAGAGAGAGAGAGAGAGAGAGAGAGAGAGAGAGAGAGAGAGAGCGAGAGAGAGAGAGAGAGAGAGAGCGAGAGAGAGAGAAAGAGGGAGAGAGCTAGGGACAAAAAGTGAGTCATCGGCAAATTGGCTTCGTCAGAGTTTTGTCGAAACTATACCGGAAAAACCAGTCCCATAACTCTTCCTTTTTTTTAAATTAAACCATTAGGAAATTACCCACGCACCGACAGACAGGCACACACATACACACATATTTTGGGATTATTAGTATTGATTTGTATAACTACAGGTCTTTGTTTTGTGTGATGAAAGTGGTGTATTTGTATGTTGTATTATAATGAGCGCACTATAGCTTATAGTTCATACGTGTAAACCTGCAAACTAATTATAATATACCACACAGCTGCAACAAACATTTAGGTATTTAGCCAGCTTTGCCTTGAGTATTATATGGAACTGTGCACTCGATATGCAATATTTATGATGTTAGATTCACCTTCGGTGCTTTCATTGTGTCGGTAAAGATTAGTTGGAATCTTCAGTGAATAACAAAATGACTATATATCTTAGATACAATGTGATATATCCTGGTAGTTTGTTGTATTAACATGACCTGGACGATGCACGGTTTCCACAGCACAATCTTCCTGCAATCTTCCATGAGGTTGTGAGTGTTTATTGAGTGTTTCTTGAGTGTTTCTCTCCTGGCCTGACTCCTTTGTTTAATGTTATGGCTCGCCTCGTTCATATATTGTCTTCTGGCAACTATAACCGCAAGGTTGTAGAGGTATTATTAAAGGTTGAGCGCCCATTTATTTCTTTATCAAGTTTTTAATTAGTCATTAGTGATAGTATATTTTTCCTAAATTTATACAAATAAACAGTTTTATATTTCAACAATTGGTATAATAAGCTGGGTTGTTATAAACAGCTGTAAAGCTTATTGCTTGTAAGAATCTTACAATGTAAAGTATTTCTGTTGAAAATGCATCGGAAGCAGCATGTCATCAAAGTTTGCGAAAAGTGACTTCAATTTGCCATTTATACTTATAGAGATAGTATGCTTGCTTACTGCCGCCTCAGACAAATTTATTTATATTCGGTCTCGAGCCTCGGCGTCAGTTTCTCTGTCAATTTCGAACCCGACCGTTTATTTTTATGACCTCTTACTTAAGTTCGAATCCACTGTTTTGTAGCATCTAAAAATGTTTCTTACAATTGAAGAAATTTACAAAATATCACCGTGGTCACACTTAAGTGCACCAGTCACCACGCTCCATTAATTTTCCCTATCATAAATCATTGGCGTAATCATCGAAATAAAAAATACACTTAAAGATAGTTCTGAAACTTTTAAGTGGTGATTACAGACGTAAGCTTGTATTCGAGGGTGGAGAGTGGATAGTGGAGAGTGGATAGTGGAGAGTGGAGAGTGGAGAGTGGAGAGTGGAGAGTGGAGAGTGGAGAGTGGAGAGTGGAGAGTGGAGAGTGGAGAGTGGAGAGTGGAGAGTGGAGAGTGGAGAGTGGAGAGTGGAGAGTGGAGAGTGGAGAGTGGAGAGTGGAGAGTGGAGAGTGGAGAGTGGAGAGTGGAGAGTGGAGAGTGGAGAGTGGAGAGTGGAGAGTGGAGAGTGGAGAGTGGTGTATGTGACGAGAGTGGTGTACACTGTTCGTGACGACTGCTGATTACGTGTTGTCTAATTTTACGGCACGGTAATTTGATAAAATAAAATACCAAAATGTATGCAGAATGGTTGATAAATTAAACTTGTTACCATACGGGCATACGAGCTTCAGTGTACATAAAAATGTTTATCATTGCTGTTGCAGTTATATTAAGGTCTGATCGCTGCACCAATTGTTGCACTGAATAGGCTGAGAGAAAGGTCTGATCGCTGCACCAATTGTTGCACCGAATAGGCTGAGAGAGATGCAGCCCACCCTGAGAAATATGATACGTAAAAGGTATAACCACTTTTTATCCGACTCTCTCCACATTAAATATGCTAATGGTTAATCACGGGGGTTCTGTAGGACGGTCAATGGTACATTGGTACAACTTGAGACTGTTACAATTCTTCTAACTTGGATCAGCCAAGTCTTGTTTTATTTGTTATTTGAATTTATCATCAACCTCCGCGGGAAACTTAACACCCTGGTTGCTTTACTTGCTGTGCACATTTTATTACTTTGCAGCTGATATCTTACATCTTTAGCTTGCACAATGAATACCAAAAAGCTGTGTTTGGGATAACATCTTGTTTAAGTTTTGCTTAAATTTTTAGTTGTTATTTGAAGTAAGCATCTTAGCCGTCTGATTAAAATATCTTGACATTAAAATGTATTGATTTCAAAGCGATCTTTTGTACAAAGGGAGTACCTAACTTAATTGTTTGAAAACAGACCGTAGTACCCTGGACTCAGCTGCCGTAATTACTTAATTATAAATTATGTAATAAGTCACTTTGCCAAGAAAGTTGCCAGCAAAATTGAGTCTGATACCAACTTTTTAAAGAACCTAACAGCCTAACACACCCCTCAGTCTATGACAAGGTCAAAAGGAAATCGCGATTTTCCCCATTCTCCGCGACAAATCGCGATTTTTGACGTTTGCCGAGACAAATCGCAATTTTCTCAGATCCTCGTGACAAATTGCGATTATTCCAGTTCTCTGAGGACCAAATTTGCGCACTCTCCTTTATAAATCCGAGGGCCAAATATCACGTTCCTTATAATTATATGGAACTAATCACATCCACAGCCTTCCGAATGTAGTATAGGTACGGACCGAAAAAGTATTTTCGGCTCATAATGCTCAGGGTAGCATGAAACATGAACATTGAACATTTAGAACAAAAGTAGTTTCCAGAAAAACTTTGAAAATAATTTCGATTTAGAAAATTTTCGGTCCGAGTCATTTTCGATGGGTACAAGGAAAGTGCCTCAATATGTAAGTTACTCTCCTTGTTTCTAGTATATAAACATAACTTTTATAATAATTCTTACGTAATAATTATAACAATTTTCTATTATCACTAGAAGCCGCACAGACCTACTATCTCCACACAAACCAACTAGTAATTGTCATTACTGTAATCCTATGAACCATTTCATCCCTAATTCATAATTCGTGTAACAACATCATGAAGAAGAGTCTGTTTAGATCTTAACACTTAAGATTATTAATATACAGGGTGTTTCAAAAATAATGTCCTGATTTTAAAAAACAATAATTTTTTTTATAAAGGAGCAAAATGCCCATTATCGGTTGCCATTAGTTCATAAAGCTTACAAATTTAATTTGTTAAGCTCATTTGTTCCAGCGATTCAACTTTGTTAATTTTTTTGGCTCCGTTCCAAAACGTCGAATTTTGAGAAAAATACCATGATACCCGATCCCCATCCAAGCTCTGACTTTCTCTCTAGTGATAGGCGACTCAACTGTTGCATAGGGGTTCTCATCTGCCCAAAACCTACAATTTTGGCGATTGACATGACCGCTCAGATGAAAATGAGCCTCATCTGAAAAAAATATCTGTTTCAAGAATTCTGAGTCAGATTCGATGCGATCAGCCATCATGCTGCCAAATTCGGTCCTTTGTTCTCTATTTTTTGGAGTTTGTGTCTGTTTGATTTTAATTTTTTAGGCAAACTTCTTCAGCTCTTTCCTCAAAATTCTCCAAACTGAAGTTGTCGATAACTTAAGCTCCCTACCAAGTGTTCTGGTTGACCTCCTTGGACTGTTCTCTAATTTTCTTTGTAGATGCTATTGTTTTGCCTGACGGGCCTGTCGCTCCCTAATCTATCTATACTAACAAGCTAGTTCACGAATTTATGACGTCTAACTTAGCTCTGCAAATACATTATCTTTCGCCGCAAATTCACCGCGATTTTGCCTAGTTTGACTTGTCGCGGTGCCGCGATTTTTGGCCTAAATAATCGCGATTTTCTTTTGTCCTTGGTCTATGACGAAGCCCACTAAATTAACTTATCCTGATTGCTTAAGGGGTCATTCATAATAACTAAGTATTTCTTAAGTAAATACTCGCTAGTAATTACTTAGATTTTTCTGAGTCTCAAAATCGGTATTCACAAAGTTTGAGCATTTACTGCCCAGTAAAAACTAATACTCAAGCTGAATTCATCGTGAGTATGACTTACATTCAAGTAAATACTCACTAAAATGCTCTCAAACTAGCACTCAAATACTCAAATCAGTATTTTAAGAAGCACGACAGGTTAATTTTTGAATTGATGACTGATCTGCGTTACTTGGCTCCTGAATGTCGTGGGGACACCATTTTTAGCTTTAACTAACCGTAATGGTCGCATCTATATTGGACTTACAAGGAAGCTTATACTCTAACGTGTCTATTTTTCTGGGAAAATTTGCAAAAACGTCATCCAATCGGGACAAAATATATTAGAGCTTTTGTACTGGCAGTGAGGAGTCGTCTCTGAAAATTTGAAGTGAAAATATCAATTAGAAGGGAAGTTATTGACGTTAAAAGTCGTTGAGCAATAGGTGAGAAAATGGTTTGAGAATGTGAATTCGGTTCTCACATTTTGAGCATGAGTTTTGATCATTTGCTAACTTTATGAATGCCAATCTTGAGTTAGTTTTGGGTGACGAGTAAATACTAACTTTATGAATACCGATTTGAGTGCTAGTTCCAACTCTGAGCATTTACTAGCGACAAAATACTCAGCCCAGCAAATACTTAACTTTACGAATACCAAAAGCGAATTTGATCTCAAAATCTAAGATTATCTCACAATTTGAGTCTGAGTTTTCGTTTATGAATGACCCCTTAACTTTAAGTTAATACTCAAAACTCAAAAGGACTGCATCTGATCAGATAAGCAGCCCCAAGCAATCGTGAAAAGTTTAAATCCAGTTCAAAAGGGTGACTGTTTGGATGAGACTCAGTCGTTGAAAATGAGAAGACAGAGACGGTGAGAACAGCCAATTACATCGCTATACTGCGGAGGAAAGTTATACCAGCCCTCAAATTGAAGAAAATACTAAATCCCTGTACTTTCCAACAAGATGGCCCCTCACAATTTGAGTCTGAGTTTTCGTTTATGAATGACCCCTTAACTTTAAGTTAATACTCAAAACTCAAAAGGACTGCATCTGATCAGATAAGCAGCCCCAAGCAATCGTGAAAAGTTTAAATCCAGTTCAAAAGGGTGACTGTTTGGATGAGACTCAGTCGTTGAAAATGAGAAGACAGAGACGGTGAGAACAGCCAATTACATCGCTATACTGCGGAGGAAAGTTATACCAGCCCTCAAATTGAAGAAAATACTAAATCCCTGTACTTTCCAACAAGATGGCCCCTCACTGCTCAAGACGGCCCCTCACTGCTCTCACGAAAGTTGAGCTTGACTTAGTATAGGGGGCAATTTGGAGAATAACTGATCTCAAATAAAACAGACTTTAGCTGGGCTTCGCTTACACATTTGCAGTTTGCACCCCTAGTTTAGCCACATGTCTGGTTTACAATATTCGGTTATAACTTAAATCATCCTGGACCAGGCAAAAGTCCTGCTCACCTAAGGACTGGCGCTAAGTTTCTCGATGTAATCCACCTTATATGACCCTAAATAACACAATTGACTCGGGTACACTTTTTCACGAGTGGGGCATTTTCCGGAATCACGCCCTTTGTGACCGCGCCCACATCGCGACCCCCACCATTGATTATCTCAGCTTCTGATTGAGATACAGACCTCAGACATAAACCAAAATGTGCCTAAGATGCATGTTTATATTAGTGCTATGAACATACTTAAGGCCTCAGAGGCTTAGATTTTGAGAAATTACCAAAAAACCGATTTTAGGGTAAATATTGAAGCTCATACGCGTATCTCATGTTCTGATTGAGATACAGACCTCAGACATAAACCAAAATGTGCCTAAGATGCATGTTTATCATAGTGCTATGAACATACTTAAGGCCTAAGAGACTTAGTTTTTGAGAAATCGCCAAAAAATCCGATTTTACTATACTAGCAGTCTCGAGAGTAATAAAATCAGTGATCACTCCCTTAAGAAAATCACCATTTCACGCAGCACTTTCTTCCATAAATTATCTCAAATTTCTAGGCATACAGTATGTTTGACCGTCTGTAGCAAAGAACACTTAACAGCACGGGAAATAAGTACAGGGTGAGTTGAAAATAGTGTGTGGAAAGTAAAAATCGATAATTTTGTTTATGAAGGAGCAAATTTTGAAAGGTGAATTGCTATCAGTTCATAAACTTAACGTATTTCATTCTTGCCTCTCATTTGATTCTAACTCATAATTTGGTTGATTTTTGGCAGTTTTCCAAAAAATCTTAAATTCTATTCTGTTTAAAAGATCTGCACGGTGTAAACTACACGTGAAAACTGAAGACCATTATTAGGTCAGGTTAAATTTACTCTCAAACTCCACACTGCGAGCTGAACAATGACATAATTGCAGGCCATTTGAGTGAATGAGGAAGCATTATTCAAGCTGCTCTAATAATTCTCTTAACTCGTTGAATCGTTGATGCTGGTTATAAAAATTGTGAACGGCATTATCAATAATTATTAGCGTTTGTTTTATCTTTTGACTCAAGAGCGAAAGTATATTATTTGATGCGTTTTAACAATGGACTTCAATTATGACCAGTATAAGAGTAATTTTAGCTCTATACTTTTTGTAAAATGAGACCCAAATAATCTATAGGAGCAGGGGTTTCATGTCGCTTGTACGGTGTCGTCTACACATATATATTTGAGCATCATGGAGTAACGTGTGCTCATAGCTGGATCTACAACGCCCGGTAGTAAAGGTGATAAACAGAGAGATTGTTGTTGCTAGTGTACCGTCTAAACATCCTTCATAAACCCCCTGCACCAACTTGTTGTGCTCCACCAGGGGCCTCATCTCTACTTTACTCTTCCTGTTTCCTCCCCAGTCTTCAAGATGTTTGTAACGAGAAAAGTTCTTATCGGAGCTTTACTGACACTGCTTTGTTTTGGTGCTCTGATCTATAGTACGCAGTTCTCTAGTAGCGTGTTAAACAATATTCAAGGTAAGAGTACATGGTACTATAACCTTCGGCAACGAAGAATTTGGGCGGGACTCCCGCCCAAATTTGTCGTCCAAATTTTTTCGTGGCTTAATAATTTTGTCAACCAAGATTTGTCATAGTAATTTGAAATTATTATTAACTATTCTGTGATGACAAATTAGCTCATGAAGGCCTTGTAGTTTTGTAATTTTTAGAGTTTTAACCGTTAACCACACGATGACTGTGTACTGCTTAAATATTGGACATCTAATCAATCATCATTTGAATTTGAATATATAATTTAGACCCCGATTGGTTAAAATATTTCCAATCTTTACAGGAGGAGAAGATATTGTTATAGAGATTTCTTCTGATTCGGATGTTAGCAAAAAGGTTAGTTCGGTAAAATCTGGAGGCATTGTTTTTAAACGATATTATACTTTAATAAATCGTTTCCAGGTTGAATTGCTGGAATATTTTGTATTAGCCGCATAGAATATATTGGGCGTTTATTATATCTTCTACCTTTAACATATTCATAAAAAATGGTTCAAAAATGGTTCATAAATGGGTTGCTATTTTACATGGTCAGTCCGACGTTCGTTGTGGTCCTATGGTCAATCAACCCAGTGCTCAGTCAATCAATCAAACAAATGGTTGCAGGGAGTTACAGAAGAGACGACCCCAAACCAACCACCTGATACAGAATCAGATACAGAATCAGATGCAGAACCGGCAGAAAATGTCCAAGTAGTTGAGAAGCCCACAGTTGACCTAGCTATATCATCTCCACAGCCATCCTCAACCGTACAGCCTAGAGGTCACCACGCAGCTGTACCAGACCAGACTAAGAAGATAGGTGACTCGTGGGACCACGTCAAGGACACTGACCAAATTCTGAAATTTGTCAGGTCACAGTGCGAAAAGTATGATATGATTAAGGCAGAGCCCGGCGAAGTTAGGAAACCAAGAATGTTGATAGTAGCTAAAAACTGGAAAGAGCATATGCTTTTATATTCTAGTAATCCTAAAACTGGGTCTACATCATTCAAAAAGTGGTTTACCAGAATTCAAGGAGACCCTCGTCCATATAGTGAAATGTCTGGTGTTCACTCGATGGGGAAATATGGAAATTTGAATCAAGCCTGGGAATTGGCCGAATCGAAATCAAGCGATCCTTTTAGTGTGTAAGTATAAAATAAGATGCAGGATATTTTGTGGACACATTGTAGTTACTACTCTGGTTACTAGTTACTACTCGGGTAACTAGTTACTACTCTGGTAATTAGTTACTACTCTGGTAACTAGTTACTACTCTGGCAACTAATTACTACTCTGGTAACTAGTCGCTACTCTGGTAACTAGTTACTCCTCTGGTAACTAGTCACTACTCTGGCAACTAGTTACTACTCTGGTAACAGAGTAGTTACCAGAATTCAAGGAGACCCTCGTCCATATAGTGAAATGTCTGGTGTTCACTCGATGGGGAAATATGGAAATTTGAATCAAGCCTGGGAATTGGCCGAATCGAAATCAAGCGATCCTTTTAGTGTGTAAGTATAAAATAAGATGCAGGATATTTTGTGGACACATTGTAGTTACTACTCTGGTTACTAGTTACTACTCGGGTAACTAGTTACTACTCTGGTAATTAGTTACTACTCTGGTAACTAGTTACTACTCTGGCAACTAATTACTACTCTGGTAACTAGTCGCTACTCTGGTAACTAGTTACTCCTCTGGTAACTAGTCACTACTCTGGTAACTAGTTACTACTCTGGTAACTAGTCACTACTCTGGTAACTAGTCACTACTCTGGTAACTAGTCACTACTCTGGTAACTAGTCACTACTCTGGTAACTAGTCACTACTCTGGCAGCTAGTTACTACTCTGGTAACTAGTCACTACTCTGGTAACTAGTTACTACTCTGGTAACTAGTTACTACTCTGGTAACTAGTCACTACTCTGGTAACTAGTCACTACTCTGGTAACTAGTTACTACTCTGGTAACTAGTCACTACTCTGGTAACTAGTCACTACTCTGGTAACTAGTTACTACTCTGGTAACTAGTCACTACTCTGGTAACTAGTCACTACTCTGGTAACTAATCACTACTCTGGTAACTAGTCACTACTCTGGCAACTAGTCACTACTCTGGTAACTAGTCACTACTCTGGTAACTAGTCACTACTCTGGTAACTAGTCACTACTCTGGTAACTAGTCACTACTCTGGTAACTAGTTACTACTCTGGTAACTAGTCACTACTCTGGTAACTAGTCACTACTCTGGTAACTAGTTACTACTTTGGTAACTAGTCACTACTCTGGCAACTAGTTACTACTCTGGTAACTAGTTACTACTCTGGTAACTAGTCACTACTCTGGTAACTAGTCACTACTCTGGTAACTAGTTACTACTCTGGTAACTAGTCACTACTCTGGTAACTAGTCACTACTCTGGTAACTAGTCACTACTCTGGCAACTAGTTACTACTCTGGTAACTAGTCACTACTCTGGTAACTAGTCACTACTCTGGTAACTAGTTACTACTCTGGCAGCTAGTCACTACTCTGGTAACTAGTTACTACTCTGGTAACTAGTCACTACTCTGGTAACTAGTCACTACTCTGGTAACTAGTTACTACTCTGGTAACTAGTCACTACTCTGGTAACTAGTCACTACTCTGGCAGCTAGTTACTACTCTGGTAACTAGTCACTACTCTGGTAACTAGTTACTACTCTGGTAACTAGTCACTACTCTGGTAACTAGTTACTACTCTGGCAACTAGTCACTACTCTGGCAGCTAGTCACTACTCTGGTAACTAGTCACTACTCTGGTAACTAGTTACTACTCTGGTAACTAGTCACTACTCTGGTAACTAGTCACTACTCTGGCAACTAGTCACTTCTCTGGCAGCTAGTCACTACTCTGGTAACTAGTCACTACTCTGGTAACTAGTCACTACTCTGGCAGCTAGTTACTACTCTGGTAACTAGTCACTACTCTGGTAACTAGTTACTACTCTGGTAACTAGTCACTACTCTGGCAACTAGTTACTACTCTGGTAACTAGTTACTACTCTGGCAACTAGTTGCTACTCTGGTAACTAGTCACTACTCTGGTAACTAGTCACTACTCTGGCAGCTAGTCACTACTCTGGTAACTAGTCACTACTCTGGTAACTAGTTACTACTGTGGCAACTAGTTGCTACTCTGGTAACTAGTCACTACTCTGGTAACTAGTCACTACTCTGGTAACTAGTTACTACTCTGGTAACTAGTCACTACTCTGGTAACTAGTCACTACTCTGGTAACCAGTTACTACTCTGGTAACTAGTCACTACTCTGGTTCTAAAAGATTTTGATTCTCTGCAGTGTGTGCGCAACACACACTGCTCATGACGTTTACGTTTATTATCGTTGATAGTATATGGCATATTTACCACCATTATTATTATGCACATGATCCTGTGTGCTGAGTTTTCACTTGTCTACACTCTTAGTCTGATAGGCAGATCATTATATAGAACTCTTTCAGGACACTGGGAGACGTGATAAAACCGTTTTATTCGGTGGGTTTTATGAGAAATCCCCTCTCTCGACTCATATCTGGTTTCAGAGATAAAATTCTAAGGTTAGACTTAATCAATATGTGGTTCTCTTTCCACTTTTCCAAACAGATATTTTCTTGCCATCTTTTGAGATAGAAATGATCCCAAAACTTATTGTACCACTATTAAACAATAACGGACATACAACCGGTCCGGTAGAAATAGTGTTAAGAAGGATAAACAATTCATCAATTTAGACGCACATCTAGTAAAAAATGTGACTTATCCTATTTCTACGGAATCTGTAGCATGCCTTTAATGATTACAGGAGAACAAACGATGGTATAAAACCAGAAATGTTGAGAGTAAATCCAGGCCTAACTGGAGAGTCGTCGGACCCAGAAAAATTTGCAGCTTTTGCTGAGGGCGTTATGAAAGGAAAAGTAAGTATATTATCTTTGCCAATTGATGTGGGCTGGCAATTTTTGATAGAATTTTGTGCTATTTCAAAATCATCTTTCATTATATTGACTATTGAGTGACATCGATTTCGCTTCAGGCGAATATATAATATATATTTTAATTTAGTCTTAATGCTGCAAGCAACTGATGCTGAATCCTATTTTCAGATTAACAACTTCCATTTTACGCCCCAATGGGATAAGATGAAGATATGTGATTTCCCTTATGACATGATCGCACAGGTGAGTTCAGCATGTTATATAAGCATGTTCAGCATGTTCAGCATGTTCAGCATGTTATATCAACCTACTTTAACATGAAACAAGGAAGATCTTTAAGCTATAAGTGTAATAAATATTCGAATATTCAGGATCAACTTGGTTATTAGATTGATTAACTGTGCTAAAAATAAAACAATTTTAGACGGAGACAACACAGCAGCAGATTAAAGAGGTACAGGAGCACACAAACACCACTCAGTTCGAGTTTCCTGGATCTAGAGCTGAAGTGGGTGCTGATAGTGTTGCTACTGTTCATTTGGCGCACGAGTAAGTTTTTTATTAGCAGAATTTGAAATTTACCATAAATATCAGAATTACGAATGCTTCAATTCAATAAATTTTACATCTCAATTCGATCAATTGAATTGATCGAATTGAGATGTAAAATTTATTTTCCGGAGAAGACAATACACAAATGTCATTCAACTTTCTTTTCAGATTCTACGATAAAGTAAAACCAGACATCATGGAGCAGATATATCAGTATTATAAGTGGGACTTTGTGCTAATGGGCTACACAAAACTAAGTAATCCTAATTTCCCTTACTTAGACTTTGATCAGGACTTTGATAAAGAGTTCGGTCTTTTGGGTGAGGAGGATCCTACGAACACTAAAAATGAACCTCCAGGCTGATCTTGCTGATTGAATTTAAATTGGATTTTTGATTAAATTGTTTCTATAGTCAGTCGAGCATGGGCTAATTAGACCAAGGTATCTTTTTAAATTCGCATGTTGATGGTTGTTGTACAAAGACCACTGACACAAAACGGCTTGGTTTTAGTATTAATCTGAAGGCGGATTTTGCTGACTACAAAATCATATGACTCCTCCGACCTTTTACAGACGAAAATACTCTAACCAATTTTTTGATAAATGTTATTTGATTAAATCAATACTTAATCTTGTTAGAATATGGTGAAAATAAAGTTGTTTTTAACCGTAGATATACATTTTCATACTTAATTTGCTTGGTTTCGTTGATTGATAATGATTATTGAGGTTATTATATTCAGAGGTGATTTATTTAATAACAATGTTGATTTTATTACTACAAAAGCAAGCGTGATGATGTTTCTATTTAATCATAACTAAATTTCATCAACAAATTGGTCAAACTCGTGACGAAGTACGAACGTTGCCCATCAACTGGTTCTCTGCAGTGTTGGCTGAAAATGTTGGTACTTAATACAGAGTACGTGCGACATTGGTTTACAGATAATCTAAGCAAAGTAAGCACTATTTCCTACGTCTCACGTTATTTGATTATTTTCACTGTGAAATCCCTTGAAACGCATATTATTATTACGCAACACTGAACACATCACCACAAAATGGCTGAACAATTAGAAAATGCGTATTCTCTTGTAGAGACCCCATGTTGTGTACGCGTGCGAAATTCTGCCGTCTAATTTAATTTAACTATAATACGTTGTATCTTACCTAGCCAGTGAAGAGTCATCAAATGTATGATTAAAGACAATTATACGACCTCGTCATAAGTTTGTGGCCAACATGACCCGTATTAATGCCCCCAACAGGCACATAAGTACACACATGAAGAAAGCAACGCTGTTAACTTTCTCATGATCATCATGAGAAAGTGTCTGTTCCACGTTTGACGTTAAAATAACTCTACTGCACCAGCCACTAAATTATATTAAACACTATGGTTCAATTACCCGAACGAATAATTTACTAATTTGCGTGGTGTTCATTCTCTTTACGTGTAACTCTTCTCTTCTCTCTTTTGTAGTATCCGTTGTTTCTCACTGTTTCTATCATCAAACACTCAACCAACTGACCCTGTGATCCAACTTCAAGACTTCTTCATTTTCAAATAGCAACGCGGGCCGACCTCAGAGGATAAGCATATGTTCGTAACAAGAAGAGCTCTAGTGGCCCTGTTTATCCTTGGTTTTTGCTTGTGTATTGTTTTCATCGCAGTTGTTAACCCATTCGATGTTGATCGCAATATAGGTAAACTAAACACGATTCTAATTTTTAAGATTATTGGTGCCATAAGTATATCAGTCTGAAGTTCTGTTTACGTCTTGAGTGGCCGAAAAAGAACAAGGAGTACTGAAGACTGGAATATATTAAGGCCTTCAAACACTTCGACTATTTCAGTTCTTCGTCAAGCAATGAGGCCCAGGCCCAGCTTAAACTGTACTGTATTATAAATCATTTTCGCTGAAAATATAATCGGTAGAATTGATAACAACTACAGACCTAGTTGTGCAATTCGTTGCCGAATTGGGATTCGTCAATTGTATTTAAAAATTAGTTGAATCAACTTGTCGGCGCCATGACTAGATACATCAGAATATATATACTTTGAGGATATATCCTCTAGTATAACTCACAGTCATTGACTTTGTCTCTAATCGTCTCTAATTGAATTTGTCTCTAATCAGGTTCAGCTAACATATTCCTGTCCCCGGGTGACGGAGAAACAAAAGAAGAAGTGTCGTCAAATACTAAGAAGAAGGTAAAGTGTACATTTCATCGTTACTTCACATTTTTATGGCGCCCACATTTTACAGAAATTAAAAAATTTGATGCAGCCTCAATCCGGCCCGTCGCTAATATATTAGGGTCTTCAAGGTTTACAAGGTTTACAAGGTTTACAAGGTTTACAAGGTTTACTTGGTTTCGCCAATGTATTTCCACAGTAACTCATTGACAATTTCAAAAAATGTCCACCATTGTTTTTTGGTTCAACAATAAGATAAGAAATTATTGAATGTAACGACAATAAGCCTTTTGTTTGACGCTTTCAGAGGTTGTCATAGCCTTACAACATACAAATGATCTACATTATTATAGCCTAAAGATCACCGTTTACCGCAATTATATACCGCAATTATATAGCGATAAATAATGAAGCTATTATTGTGATAAAACGACGAGTCTCATCATATTGTAGACTTTAACGTTGCGTCATGACCAGGCTAAACTTAATGTGAGGCCTGTGATAAATGATAACTGTTCGGGCACAATCAAAGTAAACGTTTTACTGGCAGTGGTTCACACTCTGTTGTTTTACACAGGATAAAGTGATAGATCTAGCGATATCGTCACCACAACCAGCTAGCACAAAATTCCCTCGCGGCAAGGGACCTGCTCCTGCTGAAGCACAAGAGAAAACAGAAGAGAAAACAGAAGAGAAAACAGAAGTGAAACACAAGATTCCTGATTCGTACCTTCACGTAAAGCAAACTAAAGATATCCTAGATTTTGTCCACAATCAATGCGAAAAACATCACCAGATCACAGCTCTTCCGGGTGAAGCGAAGAAGCCGAGAATGTTGATTGTCCCTAAAAACTGGAGAGAGCACATGATGGTGTACGCGAGTAACCCCAAAACTGGGTCCACATCCTTTAAAAAGTGGTACCTCCGCATTCAGGGGGATAAAAGAAATTACACTGAGATGACTGGAGTTCATGCCATGGGAAAATACGGTCGTTTAGATGAAGTTTACGAGTGGGTGGAGGAGGACCTCGGAAGAGAAGCGTTAGTTTTAATTTAGAGTCCGTTTATTAATACAGTTTCTGTGTGTAAAGTATCCTATTGGTTATTTCTGTGGCCACTTTGTTTCAAACTAAAACCCGGCTAAAAACTGTGATAAATAGTTACTGTTATTAGACGGTTGATAGACGCAGTAGAGAAACTCTACAAAGTTGTTGCAGTCCGGAATCCAATTGTAAAACTAATGTCTGGCTTTAGAGATAAGATTCTGAGGTTTGTTTTTCATCAAGATTGTTCAGTAAACTCTGATTTTGTTACTGGTCCACTGTTTTGCGAGGAAGATTCAAAGAGAGCTTGTAACTGAATAATGTCTTATGAACGAATTATATTTCTTTCAGGAGAACTAAGGAGGGTATTAAAGAACCTATGCTTGAAATCAATCCAAATCTCAATATAAACAGCACAGATGCTGAAAAATATGCCGCATTTGTAGAAGCTGTGGTCACTAAAAAGGTAAAGCGAAATTAAATACAGTGACGAATTTTATAATTTAAAGATATTAGACTTTTAAGCCATTAAAGTATTAAAAGTCAATGGTGAGTATGCTTCTTTAATTCTAACTTCTTTCGATTGGCTGACCAATTAACGCTTATTCGATTTACAGACTGTAACATTCGTTTATCCCAGATTTCAAATTTCCACTTTTCACCCCAATGGGAGAAGATGAGCATTTGTGACTATCCTTATGACATGATAATGCAGGTTAGTCTGGTATCTTGGCAGTAAAGCAATACTCCCAGCTCATATACCTCATTTCCATTTCTAGTTTTCTTTAATCACAACTGTCTAAATTTCTATTTTCAAATGATCAATATGTTCCTATACGCCCAAAACACTATGAAATGTGTTATAATATCACGTGACACCTGGACCTCTCCCAGACAGAAACAACAGAACAGCAGATAAGAGAGGTGCAGGAGCACACCAACACTCAGGAGCACGACTTTCCTGGCTCCAGAAGTCAGCAGGGTTACGATAGTGTGGCTACTGTACATCTCGCTCACGAGTCAGTTTAAACAAGCTCTCTGACCCAAAACTAAAAGTTATCAAAACCAAACGTTATCAAAAACAAGAGTTTACTTAACAATGCTAAATAAATAAATAAGTTAACGAACCCCGACCTCAGGTTCTACAGCAAGGTCTCACCAGAGCTGATGGAGCGATTATATCACTACTTTCGGTGGGACTTCGTGCTACTAGGTTACAGTAAACTTGACAACCCTAACTTCCCTTACCTGGACTATAATCAGGACATTGACAAAGAATTTGGAGGTTATATAAAGGACGAAATGGATGCAATAGAATCCGACGATGAATCGTCCACAGAAGGGGTCTGAATAAGACTGACTCAGCTGTGAACAATGACAATTTATAAATATATATATGGAAATGTTCATAGATATTGATGAATGATGATGATATTGATGTACAAGGTGGCCCAGAAGTAACTACCCACACGCAACCCTTGAAATTTGAATAGCTTACTTAATTCGTAGTAGAATGGTTAAAATTGACCTCACCAAAGCACATATCCCCACGTAGATAATATCTAGTAATGGATAAAGATTTCTTACAGTATTAATTTGAGTACACCTATACTGGTATAGGTACACCTAGATACTGTAATCAACAAATTTTTACGAAACTTTAAGTGTTAAGGGAATCTAAGTTTAACCCATATCAGTAATCCCTGATCTTTGTGTGAGTTATTACATATTAGGGGGTTGCGTGTGCACAGTTACTTCTGGGCCACCCTGTATTTTACTGTTGATAGGCGTCATTGAAGATGTTAATGAAAGTATTTCGCAAAATTTTCAATGATATCACAATTTTGTTCTATGTTTTATATTTGTAAACTGGGAATATTAAATTATATACTTTCTCTGAATCTCTACCTTCATCAACGTGCACTGTGTAATGTGTATTGGACGAAAAGAAAATAAATAAAGCTTAAAAATTGAATATTAATTAGGAACCTAGAAGATTGAGTACTTGGTTTTTTAAAAGGTCTCCTATTGCTCACATATTATTATTTCTATCTACTCTTTGGGTCCATACCTTCCTTCGTGAATTCTTCACCTCGGATATAAGTCTGAGAGATTGATGTTCAGGGTGAGACTTCATAATACAGAAGATGAGTCTATAATACAGGCATAATCCCCTCTAGGCCTGTATACAACTAGTGTGAAGGATATTTTATAATATAGTATGTATAGTCGTTATACACTGTTATAAAGCACATTCGAAACTGCCAATTGGAACCGATATTGTTCTATACTACTAGTATAGACAATAGAGTCTTACCATTCAGTGTTAACTAAAGTAGCCAATAACCATCATCAAATAATGTCCTCCTCGTCATCAACCTTAATATAACTTTTATTGATCTATTCATGACGGTGAACACTACTCTAATTGTCCATGGTACCATCTGATTTTATTATCTTAATTAACTTGCACTTCTTCTCATGATTCATTTAGGTATTTTGGTACACTATTCTCGTGTAAAAACCTTATCCAAGAGTTTGCGAAAAGTTGAGGTTTTTTTTTTTTTAAAAGAGAGGCTGGGCCAAGATAGCCCACGAGAGGATAGCATTGAGATGCTCTGCCTACCTCTGGGGTGTGGCAACCTTGGGGAAGGTTGCCGGTGAGATCAGAGTGATTGGTGGAGGATGGTGTAAGATGTTATATGAGTCAAAATGATACGCTTAAATGCCAGCTGGGTTTGGAAAAGTAAAACGAGACGAGACAGCATATGAGATAATACTTTAAGTCACCCCGGTCTGATCCAGCTCTTCCGGCACAATTAAGCGTTTGGTGCGGTTTGCGAAATTGACAATTGTGGTGATGTGTTGGTTGTCGAATATGTCATTGACAGAGAGGTAGTAGTCCTGGAAATATTGACCTCTAATTTGGGCAATAGCCGGACACTGTCCAAGGGAGTGTGAGACAGTTTCCTCTCCGTCGCCGCACATAGGACAAGCACTGGTGTTTGATTTGCAAATGGTGTGAAGGTGTTTATTTAGGCCGCAGTGACCCGTGATGAGGTGAACTGCAGTTATGTAGTCTTGTCTGTTGTTGCTGAGTGTAGTGTTGAGGTTTTTGATGATTTTGGCATGCTTGTGGCCGAGTGTCAGTTTGGTGTGTCTGAGGTTTATTATCTGAATAATAAACATGAACAGATCTAATTAACTAGTTAAGACTGAGCATTGCTCAGTGAACAATGTTCAGTCTTCAGGTCTGCTGCCCAGAACAGTAAAGCGCATTTATACACATCATCAACTAATGTCAGTCAGCATTATGAAAAACTACGTTCCATCTCTTACTGCAGTATGTAGAACGTCTATGTAAAATATGTTTTTTGCCGACTGACGTCGAATATCACAATGCACTGACCACTAGTCGGTTGTTGACTGTTCAAAATTAACGAATTTTGGCTCCTTCAAAAACATCTTATTTTCTAAATCATCGCCCGTCATTTGTAAACGACTGCTTCAAAACGGTGATTTTGCCAGTACCGTCATATTGTTCTTCTTTTGATTGGTCGGCGTCGACTGTAAGCCTTCCTTGCGGTGGCTTTCACAACGCGTCCCCATTCTCCAACTCCTGCTGCTGGAGAGAGAGACTCCCAAATTATATACCATAAATATATTATACATAGATATCGACAACAGACTCCGAGAGTCTTGAAGCTCTGTTACCACCGCCCCTGGTGCAACCCCTTACGGGTTAACGATGGGGAGACAGGGACTTCCAGGGACGGTCCGTCATATTGTTTGTTGTTGATTGAATAATGTCTCAAGTTGTCTGTGATCTGTACAGTCTGCTGTCTGAGTTTTTTAAACAGGCTCTTAAATGAACATTTTTTGTCCTGTTCAATTTTATACTCTGCAGAAATGTTTACTACAAAAAGGCAGTTCGTGGCCGTAGCTTCCATCATTACCGTAATTTGTTTATGCTTTATGGTGACAATTGTTAATCAGCGAAATGATTTTTCAAACACAAGTATACTAAAAGGTTGGTACTTTAACAACATTTCAAAACTTTTAACGTTTATTGGATCTTCGCAAATCATTAACCTCAATATGTATTTCACAATTCACATGTTAGATGACGTGTACTTAACACTCATCCACATAACGGCGAACACTAAATATAAATATTTTCTCACAGATATCTCGATAGCTTTGGAGTCACAAAAAGAATCTGATCACAAGGAACATGACTCGAATCCACCCATCAAAGACAGAAAGGATATCCTGGATTTCATTCACAAACAATGTAAAAAGTACCACAAGGTCACAGTTGGCCCAGGTGAGGCAGAGAGGCCAAGAAAAATGGTGCTTCCTAAGAATTGGAGAAAGCATAGAATGGTGTACGCAGGGAATCCTAAGGCTGGGTCATCCTCCTTCAAGAGATGGATTCATGTGATCCAAGGAGACACCAGGCCTTATGATCAGATCAAACATGTTCACCAAATGGGAAGTTACGGGAAGGTGGACGAACTCTTTGAAGTGGCGGAGAAAAAGCTGGGACGTCCTCCGTAAGTTGTTGCGTATAGACAAAGGTTGAAACATGACACTCTTCATACTTTCATGGGAGCGTGAACTAATATCTTAATGTCTCACTGTATCATTACTTTGTCAGGACGCTGAAGGAAGCCACGGAGGATTTTTTTAAAGTAACTGTAGTAAGGAATCCAGTAACAAAACTACTGTCGGGATATAGAGACAAAGTTGAAAGGTACCTCCATCTTTAATTGAACATTATCTTCATCCTTAGGTGCTCAGTTTAAAACAACTAATGTCTAGACGTTGGTGAAATCAGACCCATTTCTACAAAATAATAAAATTTATTTTGGGCAAGCTCAAGATGGGATCCACGAAATAATCCATAGTTATGTACATTTTAGATTTGTTGATAAGTTTTAAGTTATTTAATAATAATTTCATTCAGGGTATCAGCAACTGGTATCAGGCCCGCAATGTTCAAGTTCAATCCAGATCTCAACGTAAACAGCACAAAAGCTGAAAAGTATAAGGCCTTTGTACAAGCCGTAACCGCTGGAAAGGTAATTTGAACAATTCAATTCATAATTTCATTTAATTTTTACAAAAAAAGCCATAAAATTATACTTTTGTCTATTAATATGCAATGTGTCTTACCTGGAAAGATATTTTATTTGAATTGTAATGACCAATCCTACTTCAGTTAAGAAATCATCACTTCACACCTCAATGGCACAAGATGAAGATCTGTGACTTTCCTTACGACGCGATACTACAAGTAAGACTTAATCCCTGTTTCATGCCAGCCCCCCTTTATTATAGTGCTCGGAAACGCGGCGAGCACCCCCGTCATAACTCGTATTACGCAGAATTCCGCATTAGCTGAACGGGGACCAATATAACAAAAACGTTCAAATCTCGAAATATCCTATTCCCAAGAATGATCACCATTTGGTACTCGTAAACTTTTCAGACGGAGACAGCCAACGAGCAGATAAAAGTGGTACAGGAACATACTAATACCTCACAGTATATCTTTCCTGGCTCTAGAGCGGAGACGGGTAGAGATGAGGGCATTTCTACCTTGCAAAGGACCAGAGGGTACGATTATTCTATGTTGTTTGAATTTTAGAGAACAATAATGAAATACTTTATCTAACCCTGAAAATCTTGTTATTGATGTATCTCTGTGTGATCGCCGCAGTGAACTAAATTACACCAATATTGTTCAGATATTACAGCTTGTTCGAACCAGAGCTTATGGATAAACTTTACAACTACTTTTTATGGGACTTCGTTCTGATGGGATACTCTAAACTTGATAATCCCAACTTTCCTCATCTGGACTTTGATCAGGATATAAAAAAAGAGTTTGGACATTTGTTGAAAAATCATATTGATATGGTGACCGCTAATCCTGGAACAGACGGAACAAATAAACCAACAGCTAAACCATGATGAAAAGCGAATTTTACATTTTGAACAAAGTTTGAAGTTTGAACTTTAACTATATCAGCTATCTTATTTTAAAGTGGAAATGCATTTTATTTATAGTATTTATTTATCGCAACGGAATGTTACTATTGTTGCCTTTTACTACTGTATTAACATTAAGGCGATTGTCGTGGGAAACATTGTTTATTCATAGCATCAGCAATCAGAATATTATTATCTTTGAATAATTGTGCTTTAATTCAATAGATTCCCGCTGTTGGTGGAAAGGGTACACGACAGTGGCGTAACGAAGGCCCGACGGGCCATGCCGACCCTGCTGTGCGAATTGTCGTTTGAATGTGGGACAATTTTAAAAAAATTAACTACGGTACTAGCAAAACTGCGCGTTTTGATCTAGAAACACATTTTTTAGAGTATCCTCTAAAATCATCTAATTTGTTCAATTTTAGGGAGGGGCGCAAAAAGGGGAGGGGGCACCAACAGGGGGGCGCTTTTTCAGCGGGGGGGGGGGGGGGGGCGCCAATACTCAATAGGCAACGTTACACCACTGGTACACGATGGACAAACTCTATATTATTTGGAAAACAATGTTTGGTTAAATGTCATTACACGGCACTATGGAGTACCAATTACCGTTATATTTATCTTATAATACATATATCATTCATCATTCAACAAAGATATCTCATATCACCATGATACAGTCAAAAATGGTAAAATAAAGCTGGCAATTATCAGATATCCAGAGGTCACCATGATCAGTGACGTAAAATGGGTGGCGACTTGCCCCCTTAATGATAGGCACGGAAAGTGCCAGCATCCAGCCACGTACACACGTGGAAGACCCATTACGCGGCCTTTGTCGTGTGCCGAAGCAGCATAATAGGTAAAATGAAACATCGATAATGGGGGCCTTCTCAGTTCTCTGAGCTTTTAAAAATGCATTTTCACACTATATAGAGGTTTGTGACGATTTATCAAATAATTTGGGAATAGGGAGAGGCTACACTACTAACATTATTACAAATATTCCTTTTAATTTCACTTTATTGTGGCAATATTTTGAATTTTCAGCAATTTCGTCTAAATTTTTACACCGATAAAATAAGGTTTTATCTAGACGAACAGATAATTTAAAAAAACTAAACATCACTATCTATTACCTGTGTGTAAACATATCCCAAATAACGAGCTTAAGCCTAAACGATGGAAACCAGTGAACCACAACAACTAACAAGCGAGATAAGAATTACCTAAATCGACACCTTAATCGTGCTACTAATTATAGTACGTCACTCAGAAAATGACATTGCATAATGAGCACTCCCCGACATTACGCGCACTTGTAGAAAATAACAATCTTAAGAAAAATCAGTTCGGCGTTCGCGTCCAATCTTCAAAAGTAGATCTTGAAATGTAGATAGCTAGAGGTGGACAATGTGGCCCAAGAAGAAGAACTTGTTCTGCTGTTAAGCTTGCATTTTCTAATGAGCTTTTACTTTGAGTGAGCTTTTACTTTGAAAATGTAGAAATTAAACACAGAGTATCACTATTCACATCAAGTATATAATTGAAATTGTAACCGTGTTTAACCATAACATAAATACTAATTGAAATCCATGAAATTTAAAATAAATCTGAAAGAAAAGCCTTGAACTTTGAAGATCCCTGGTCAGGCGTCAGCAGATTAAAATATATAACAAAGGTAAGGCCGCTAACTTCAGGTAACATCGTCAACATATTTTTAACACCACGTGATAATTACCGAACACGTGATAGTTACTGAGCTTTAGATTTAAACATGCTCTGGTACAGCTGCTCAGTTTCCTTCTCAATGATGTCCGGGAGTATTTTACCAGACTCGTCCAGCCACGTACTGATACATTTGGTGTACTTTACCTCCGATGTAGTGCCATCTACTTCACTTTCTCCCTGTTGGAATTATGATCAGCTGTGAGTAAAAATTAAAGAAAATAAATGGATTTTATTTATTACCTGCCCTATGCTATGTATGACTGTATGATGGTTATGGATAAAGTAATGTTAGAAATGATTTGTTCATGTGACTGTTTCAAGTACAAAACAGTACAAGGACACGTACACACTACATATATGTCACCTGCAAATTTAAATGTGACCTCCCCCATTTGTGGGTGGGTACAGTTAACTTACGGAGATGGTGTAGTCGCCAGAGTAACGGGGAATATAACTTGACAGTTTCACCTTGTTACCATTTAGATGTCCCTCGAAAAATGTGCCTTTTTCTACAAACTGAAAATCAAAAGGTAAGCAGTCAAAAGGTAAGCAGTCAATGATGTAAAATGTGATTTTACATCATCAAACAATTGTTTCTTTTAAGAAGCACCACTATTATACAGGAAGATTTGGAGAATAGTAACCAGAATTTTCAAAATTTTTATTGAAAATAATAAATGTGGTGTGAATAAAACAACTTACCCACTCCCAGACGTATAGGAGGCCAGTAATAGTAAAGTAGGACAAACTGCACAGAGCCAGTATCAGCTTTGACTCTGAAATAACACCATTAGATAACTTATTTACAAGATTCTGGATTCCAAACACTATCAGGCCCTAAGTACCTCTTTTCATTATTATATGGTTTACCAGCAGATAAGGTGTAACAATCAGCCTCAGCTGCGCTTAATAATATCGTCTCACCAGAGGCGGCTATTGAGGGCGTCCAGGCGTCTGTGGACGCCCTAAAATTATTATCTGGTGGCTGGTGCTTGAAAACAGAAATAGTGATTAGTAATAGTATTCGGAAATATCTAACCGCAATATAAAGCTCTTTTTTCACTCAAACGTTCGAATGTAAGAGCACGCATGATCTTTGTGAAATTTTGTGTTCTAGGGTGTCCAATCCTCGTTTGGACAATTAAGCCGCGCAGTTTTAACACAGTTAATTGTAAACGGTACAAAGCACATCAACGCATCCTAGTACGACGTGGCCATGTACAAAAATGTAGTTGGACCCCCCCTGATACTGCGCGGCTGAGATCGTTATACACGTGTGGTGCCCTGTTTTACCTCTAGCTCTGTTATAAATTTTGTTTTTGTTTGCTGCCTGTGACACATTACATACATGGGGCCCTGTGTGTAACTGTAATGTTCGTTGGAATAATTTAATTAATTCTCTGCTATGGTAATGGTATTGTATGCAGTCATCGGTGAATAGACATCGGCAGTTTGTGGGGGGGGGGGAGCTTGGGGCACCCCCCCCCCCCCCCCCCCCCCAGACCCTCGATTCACGATAGGACACCCAACAAAACTGCCAGCCAGCTCCCACGAGCCGCCTCTACGTCTCATGACTTAAGCCCTTAGTCGCACATGCCAACCAAGAAACGTCATAATCGCTCCGATTAACTCCGAGCTAACACCCCTATTATCAATATCCTTATCTAATCTTCATCATAACTTTAACACGTGCCCGGTTATATGCTCCTTACTGAGTACTGACGGTAGTAAACCTCCTTTCTATTTTCGCTTATTGTAGTCTGGTCTATAACGTTAGCAGCGAACAACCTCTAAGTTATTTTCAATGCTGTGGCTACTTTTTTAATGTTTGAACGTCATGCACCAATTATTAGGGGGTCGTTCACATATTACATAATCACTGAGGGGGGAGAGGGGTTCCTTAATGATTACGCTAGTGAAATTTTAACACAATAGCTAAGTGTAGAACTGATTATCTCAATTCTCAACAGCCGTTTTCTCGAATATTCGGCTGAGTGGACCGGGGGCTGCATAGACCACTCAGGATCCTTAGCTGAGCGTCGACAACGCTCACCCCACGGCTAGTGACAGAGTTGGGAATCGAACCTGGTACCTCGAGAAATACCAGGCCGATTTACCAACTGAGCCACTAAGCCGTGATTAAGGGGGGGGGGGGGGGGGGGTGTTAAATATTGGCCAACAAGTTATTGTGTAATATGTGAACGCCCCATGTTTCCTAACCAGAACGAATTATTTAATGTACACTGCTCATGTATGTTTTCCGACATGTAAGCTTCGACAAATTTTGTTCTTTTCAAATCCTCATAGTTTAGTAGTTGCACAAAGCACATTATATATACAGATCTTACTAATTTAGTTTCCTTCATTGTACTAATAGTCTCTATTCTCCACAGAATAATTACATGCTACTCACTGTAGGATAAAAAACAATATCAGACTGTAGCACCAGACATGGTAGAACCAGAAGATGGCTCCAGCAAGGTGATAGACATAACCTTTGGAACACTCATGGCGTTATGTCAACTAATGGGAACGTTTGGAAATATTGCCTCCCTGATTTTCTTCGTGACACACAAGAAAAAGGCCCTGGCTACCCTTCTTTACATAATAATATGTATCCTTGATACATGTATTTTGATTACCAACATCCCCGTTATGGCGAGCTTGATGAATGGCAGGGATGCAATGTTGTTTGGGAATGAAATATTCTGTGTTTTTTGGGTTAACTTCAGTACCGGTATCCTTTTACCAGCCTCCTTTGCTGTAGTCACCACTTTGAGCATATCCCGCACCTTATGTATTGTCTTTCCATTTTATTGCATCAAAAAGTGGTCGGTTATGAAAACCTTAGCTGTGTATCTAGTAGGACTGGTAGCATATATTGGAGTGGGAAATTTCATAATTCAAGATACTATTGAATATAAAGATACAGTGGGATACTGTTCATTGTCATCTGCCCCCTCAGTTGATAGTTTATCAACTACTGAATTTGTATTACCTCTTCCTTTTGCTGTTTTGATTGGACTGCCATCTATTTTTACCTTAGTCAGTTTTTTTATGAGTACTTCACACTTAAAAAGAGACAAGCTTCCATTACAATTGCTTTATTTACAGGGACCTTTCTTATCTGTAGCTCGGTTTTTTTCGTTAACTGTGTAGCAGTAACAATCCTCATATATTACGATAAATTCAAAGATTCTGTTTACATAAAAAATTGGTTTTTGAAATACTATGCAATGCTAGTGGCTGATATTTTTCTGCCATGCCTTAACTCAGCTCTTAGTCCATTGATTTACTTCTGTCGAATGGGAATCTTCAGGAAATTTAAGCAAAGGCATGGAGTAGCAGTGGAGTTAGCCACGGAAGGCAGTGTCCCATGAAATTTATATAATCTTATTTATCTTATTTTAGACACGTAGAATAATAGTTGATTAGAGAATGTTCATAATTTAATATTTAAATTCTAGCTTTATAACTCTGGAGCATGACGTTGTACAGTACTATGGATATTTAAATTGAAAGAATACACACCAGAATTTTTATTGAGTAAAAATGAATTAAAGTAACATAAGAAAAGATGAACATATGACCAACCAGGGAAGGGATGAAGAAAGTCATACAAGCAACCAAATCCAGAGAAAACACAGGCTATGAAGCAAATAAGGAGTCTGGTGTCTCTTGTTTTGAAAGTCTCTGTAACACTGTACTTTGTAGTGAAAGTCTTGCGCAGCAGATCATCAATTCCATTCTTCACTGCAACCTGTAGCGAATATGGCAATTAAATTACATTTTAACGGACAATTAAACTGAGCCTATATATAATATGTTATGTTTATCATACTACAGTACAGAGTTAGATGACGAAGAGAATTTAAAACACAACTGATTTTTTAAATTTCCCCAAACACAGCTTTTGACTAGCGGTTTCTAATACATATATTATATAATAATATCATAGATCTGCCACTTGAAAGACTATAGCCTGGTGAATAATTTCTAGTTTACGATTCAATTCAATCATTATATTGGAAAAGTTGAAACAGGGTTGCTTTACGATAAAATCGCCTACCTTGTCGTACTTTTCCACAATTACAGGCTTATCATCATCTACCTTCCAAGTGTCGACAATCTTTTTCACCATTTTGTCTTGTTATGCCTTGTAGCTGATCAAAAGTTATATGTTATTTACATAAACAGTACCATTGGGGTTAAAACAAAGATCAAATTATGAAATTAATGCAAAAGGTATGGTACAATTAATATAGTAACCCAATCAATCAATAAAGTGAGCTTAAAAAAGCAGCTTGCTGTGCTAGTCAGCACACAACCAAAAAAACTAATTGTTCCTCCAAAGAAACTTAAGACCAATGCAATATTTGTTATAATACCTTCCGGGAATTATATCCACTAAAACTCGTGGACACTGAGAGCTGATAATTCGCAGATATATCCCGCAAGGGAAGCGAAGGTATTATCAGCATAGACTGCGAGTCACCTCCGACTGGCTGGCGGCAAGTTTCAAAAAAAATAACACCGGCGTACTATATATTACACACTATGTTGTATCATGCGCACGTATCGGATTTCACACATTCCAATCGGAACCAGAAGATATTATAACATATAATACCTTCGCTTTTTCGTGCCCGTGCGTTCCCTCCAGCAAGCTGTCGGGAATTATCGCGCTCAGCACTCAGAAGCGAAGGTATTATAGTATTTTGATCCTGTCTCGTGTAATGGAAATTGTGTGTTCATTAAAATCAGTGTATTATAGTAATTTAAAATGTAATCTTGTCTTAAATGCTGAGAAAAATTTCAAACAGTATATATATATACAATAAATTAAATCAAGTGATGCAATTGGCAGAGCACAATCGTAGATCCTGAGCAATAGATATCATCTATCCCTCGTAGCTCTTCTCCTCAGGTATCAGGTTGAAGGAGACATTGGATATAGCATAGGGGCGGTCCATGCCTTCTTTCCTTTCCACGTACATCTCTCAACTGCTACTAGCACACTCCTCATTATATCCATGCTCAGGCGTGTCCTGATGTTACACATCACCTGGCTGTTATGTAGTCCTCCTTGGTCTTGGTGGATATCAACACAGCAAGTCTCCTTTTGAAACGCTTGGCCTCAGGTGCCATTCCTCCTGTAGTGGTAAATACAAGGGGGACGAATGGCCCTTTCTCCAATTGTAGCACTTGGTTCATGTTCTTTTTATCAATCTCGTGCAGAGTGTAGAGCTGTGACATGGTCTTTCCTTGATATGTAGGCGATTTAGGATTGGAAATGCACACATCAAAGAAAGTCCTCTCAAACAAATGTGCTCCACACTCCTCTTGCTGATATATCGAGCCTAGCCTTATCAGCATTGTTGCCCTTTTGTTGGAAGTTGGCTGATTCTATAGGTGTTAAAAGGGGCTCAATCCTCAATGTAATCTTATCTTCTTTCTTTTTCAGTTGTCAAATCCTTGGTATGACATAATAGCATTGCATTCCTCTACCTCCTCATCCTCATTGTCCACTTCATTATCATCATCTACATCGTCAACATTGTCAACATTGTTACTGTTGTCTTCATCGTTGGTAGTGTGCACCAAATTGATGGAATATGCAGAATAGCATGCAATAAATCTGACACTAATTCATGCTATCTAAACTAATTTAAACTATTAGCACATCCACGAATAAGACTGATATGTCTGGTATGACTTTGTTTCCTTAGAGTACTCGAATCGAAATTTTTTGGAATTGAATATAGCTACTATCAACAGTTCATGTAGCCATTTAGGGAGGCCGCAAAAAACATTATGTGGGGTCAGGTGATTGGGTAATGGGTATTCACATGATAACTCTATTGGTTTTGCTGACGATCTTAACAAAATTCTTGATAACACAAGTTAAGCTATATATAGCAATTTGTTTTCTTGAAAATCGCTGAAATTAAAGTAATATTTACAGCTAACTAGGGAGTAGCTAATCTATTGGATCTGAACTACACAGATCTGTAATGTTTACTCACTCGACTCAGTCGAATGATTGGAAACGTTATTGGGGCATAAATGAGGCCCTGCCATGCCAAAATATCAAGAAATATCTTAGGATACCCCTTAAGCACATCTAATCACATTAAACTAAAATACGACAAATGCTAAGAGACATAAGATTCAAAAAATTTATACACAAATAAATTCAGCAATAGTTACTGCACTGAACGGGTGATACTCGTAAAATATTTGTTTCAAATATTAGGACCGTCATATATCAGGACCGTCGACGAGTCCAACTCGGCGCGCGTCCTGGTAGGTTATAAACCTACCAGGATTATAACCTTGATTACTCCATGCATTGCATCGCGCGATATTTAATTATATATGATCCAAATTTGCGCGGCCCACAAAATATTTTAATATGTAATCGTAAGTATATCATTAATAATATATAGCTTTGCTCATGCAAAATTGATTAATTGTTAACGATAATTACTTGTCATACGTTGTATGACCCGCCGCGCACGAAGTGCGCGGCTCCCCCTGTATCGTCGAAGACGATATAGTGAAGCGACAGTGGGGGTCACCACGTGATACAAATAATTACATAATTAACATAAATAACATAATATCATAATAAAGGTTTTCATGATCATGTTCTAACATTTTTATTTTACGTATCATGTACATACAATTGTTGCTTTAACCAAAGCCCTCTCGCTTGCAGTATATAGCGCGAGACCGCCGAAACAATTAGAACGTCACCAGTCACGCAGTACGCGTCGCACAGTACCAAGTACGCGTCACGCGGTACGCGTATATAGATGGCTATGTGAAATACAATTGTGCGCTGCATGATAAATAAAATAAACATTTTACAAATATGAATAACATCATTCAAAACATAACACCTCATCAAAATGACAATGTTAAATTAGTTAGTAGTTTGATCATTGTTAATGGTCTGGCCCGGCGCGCGATACTTCGTAGCACTTTCGAGAAGAAAGCGGCGCGCGATACTTCCTAGAAATTTAGACGAGTAACATCCTTAAAGTTAGCAAGTAATACACCTGTAGTTTTATAACCTACCAGGACGCGCACCGAGTTGGACTCAAATATTTTACGGAACAATTATTTTACAAGTATCACCCGTTAAGTATAATACAATAATATTTTTATCGGGCGAAATTGAAAGCCCCGACACAGCCGTTGCTCTAACCAGAGCCCTATCGCTTGCAGTATAGCGCGCAACCGCGACCGTCACGCAGTACGCCTATACACATGGCTATGTGAAATACAGCCGCGCACTCGTGCGCGGCGGGTCTAGAACGTGTGACAAACCCAATCCTAACCAACAAATAAAATGGGATGGATCCATTTGAGTGTTTACCAGTCACCTAGTATATTATATCTCGACTCAAATCTTGTTTAAAGCTATGATAGCTATACTATATAGAGCTGGAAAAGTTTGAAATTGTTAATAAATTTGTATGTTAATTATTTATCGATTAACTTACAATATTCCCTTGCATTGCAATAGTATTCATAATTTTATTGATCTGTTACTCGCTAATTCTGTTAAACTTATACATATGATGTATTAGTAAAGTTAGACCTTAATTTGAAATTTCAAACTGCAGTACAATTTGTGATTCGTAGCAGATAAAGTTTCGCCACAGTTGTACTGCTTCGAATGTACCCCCTCCGCCGACCTGATAAAATGATTGATGATGGGTTGGGCAGCGTCTGTCACAATTGTTTCAAATTATCAAAAAAAGATCTCCTATCCGACCTCCTATCCGACCTCCGTCTGTAGTAAATTGCTTTCTCAGATTAACTTTAATAACCTCATTTGTATATGGTATGATCTGTGATAACTAAATAGTTTTTCTCCAATAGTCACTGGTATGTGGTAGATTTTTTTTCTTAAAAGTGGAAATATATAATGTTAACAGCTGTTGTGCAAAGTTTTAATTCAAGTTAGTATGTCTGATTATCGACTGCTTCATCTTGATATCAATAGTTGATAGATTAAGTGGTATATAGTTGCCTTCACGTACCAGTAGGATACGAGTAGTGATCCTGAATTTTGAAAAGGTCACTCAAACAATTAAGTGGTATCGTATATGGACACGTTCATTGAAGTTTGAGGATATTGGTAAATATTAGTGACTCTACTGAATGGCACGATGATGTAAAATGTGTCACACTATGAAACTATATAAACCCTCTAACCCTAAGATAATCGTTTCATCCTCTAGATAAACTTTGTCGCATAACGATATCTTTATCAGACGATTAGATATCGCTTAAATGCGGCCGGCAGTGAGTTGTAAACTTTGTCACACTATAAAAACGTGACGGAGTTTATATGGACCCCTTGTTGCCGTGTTTGACCAAATTTTCGAATTTCCAATTCATATAATAGCTGTATATGACTATTATCTACATATTTAGCGACTTTTTTCCTTAAATGGTAGCACCATGTAAACTCCGTCACACATTTAAGAAATTTATATGAGGGATGTTTATGACATCCTGACAAGAAATGCCGAATAGTCTAGCATTATTTTGTGAGCTGAATGTGTTTGGAATTGTTCACATATTTCATTGTTATAGGCAAATACAAATACAGAAGGCAGAAAAAGGTAAATTTAGTCACATAAAGTTGTATGATATCTCAACATGTGTGAAATTGAGTAAATATTAGTATACCAACTTAAACACCCTATATTACGTATTATGGATCAATTAGCAATATTTCAACCATACGCCGGTCATATAAATTATTATATGGAAGTGATATGTTAACATTGGATAAATTTCAACACCTGAACAGGGTACAAATTTGTAAATTTCGTCACAAAAAAAAATCATAATTTTATTTGCTCCGTGTTGGCAAAATAACTAATTTATCGACAAAGTGATGGTGATAAAGTAACATTATATACTAATTGAGGTATGATTCTTCAAAATAGGGGCAAGAAATGTAAATTTCGTCACATCAGCCATTGCATTAGTTAGATAGATTTTCTTTCATATCAACTGCCCTTATTATAGTTGGAATGGATTTATACAGGAATAATTGAAACCCATGCCCATTTTTCATCAAATTGTAATTATACTGTTGGGGCAGGAAAAGTAAATTTCGTCACATTTCGGTAAATTAGTGATATCAAACTCAGCATTGTTAAACTTGGGTTCTGATTTGCTGAAAAATAACCTACCAATAATTCCTGGAAGAATATTGAATTCTAATCGGGGTATGGTTCTTCAAAATAGGGTCAAGAAATGTAAATTTCGTCACATACGTCATTGTAAAATGTAGATACATTTTCTTTCACATCAATAGTCCTAATTATAGTTTGAAATGATTAATTCAGAGATAAAGGAAATATAGAAACCCATGCCCATTTTTTATAACATTGAAATTATACTTTTGGGGCAGGAAAAGTGAATTTCGTCACATTTCGGTAACTTAGTATAATTAAACTCAGAATTGTCAAACTTGAGTTCTGATGATCTGCTGAATAATAACCTACTAATAATTCCTGGAAGAATATTGAATTCTAATCGGGGTATGGTTCTTCAAAATAGGGTCAAGAAATGCAAATTTTGTCACATACGTCATTGTAAAATTTAGATACACTTTCTTTCACATCAACAGTCCTAATTATAGTTTGAAATGATTAATTCAGAGATAAGGAAATATAGAAACTCATGCCCATTTTTCATCACATTGAAATTATACTGTTGGGGCAGGAAAAGTGAATTTCGTCACATTTCGGTAACTTAGTAAAATTAAACTCAGAATTGTTAAACTTGAGTTCTGATTTGCTGAATAATAAACTACTAATAATTCCTGGAAGAATATTGAATTCTAATCGAGGCATGTTTCTTCAAAATAGGGTCAAGAAATGTAAATTTCGTCACATCAGCCATTGCATTAGTTAGATAGATTTTCTTTCATATCAACTGCCCTTATTATTATTGTGACAATTTTTACATCAACTGCCCTTAACTTGAATCAGCTCTATCCGTGCATCGTCCTTATATACAGTTTTCCCGCCTTCCAAACCTAAATCAGATATAAATGATTTCGGCAATTCACCCAAAATTTTAAATTCCATATAATGTGACAGAATTTACATCATTTCCCAATAAGTGCATGTATTTTCTAACTTTTCAAAACAACATATTTTAGGGCTATGATTGGTAGAAGAACCATCAAATAATGAGTTGAAAGGGTTTTGAGGACACCTCACAGTAGAAAAGAGGTATCGTATTCTGAGTGTGACAAAGTTTACGAAATATTGCCTTAAAACCGTTTGATCCCTGCCCTTTAGCCAAATGTTGTATCATAATTGTTAGAATGACCTAATCTACTATATTTTAAACCAAAAAATGCTAATTGGGCAGCTATGGTTAACACAGTCACAAAAATGTGACATTTTTTACATTATAGTGCCTAAAAACAATAAATTGTATTTCTGAGCCGTGTATATGGAAGTATGGGTCACGTGGCTAATGTCCAGAACTTCTGAACACGCTATTTTTTTTGGTTTACCAATATCCTTAAACTTCAACATGAACGTGTCCATTTACGATTTCGTATCATTTTGTGACGATGTTTACATCAACTGCCCTATATACTTCAATCAACTGTATCTGTGTATCGTCCTCATATAGAGTTTTCCCGCCTTCCAAACCAAAATCAGATATAAATGATTTCGGAAATTCACCCAGAATTTCAAATTCCATATAATGTGACAGAATTTACATCATTTCCCAATAGCCAAGTGCATGTATTTGTTAACTTTTCAAAACAACATATTTTAGGGCTATGATTGGCAGAAAAACTATCAAATAATGAGTTGAAAGGGTTTTGAGGACACCTCACAGTAGAAAAGAGGTCTCGTATTCTGAGTGTGACAAAGTTTACGAAATGTTGCCTTAAAGCCGTTCGATCACTGCCCTTTAGGCCTACATTGTCTCATAATTGTTAGATTGACCTAATCTACTATATTTTAGACCAAAAAATGCTAATTGGGCAGCTATGGTAAACAATGTCACAAAAATGTGACATTTTTTACATAATAGTGCCTAAAAGCAATACATTTTATTTTTGAGCAGTGCATATGGGAGTATGGGTCACGTGGCTAATGTTTAGAACTTATGAACACGCTAGATTAATATATGTTAAAATTAAGCCACTATCGTCAAAAACGCTGTTTTAGAAATTTACCAATTTCCTCAAACTTCAATGAACGTGTCCATATAGTTCTCTCCTTGATATGCGAAGAAGCTGTTGCAGCTAATACCTTTCGTGTTGCCCACGGGGACATGAAGAATAATTATGTACAGAAAGCAAAATTAATGATAAAAGCTCAGTTCATAATTGCATTGATCACAATTGAATTAACTAAAAATTCGGATCAGCGGAAGGGACCCTTACTGGTCATTGTAAATACAAGTTACAACTACCTGTAACATTAATGTGTCAGATCAATCGGACGAATTTGGCATTTGCATTTCCGAGGACTATCATAATATTGTAGATGTTACAAAACATTTGAACTACTTCTGGACAGGGAAAATGAAACTTCCACCAATTGTCAAACCTATTTTACACAGATTTTCCGTTCACAACCCCCTACAAGTAAGTAAGTAAGTAAGTAAGTACAAAGAAGGTGTAATATTCTTATTGACCAAAATGTGTCTTCCAAATCTATGGATTGGTAAAATTACATAATGGTGGCATACAGTTTTTTTAAATCTTGGGAAAAGACTTTGAGGGTGTGAAAGTTACTCTGATATATCATGTATTTTTGGACACTGATTTGGAATCACCGCATGACGTAGGATAAAAATACCTCCCTGAGGAATAATTGGCAAAGAATTGTTTTGGTCTAGTAAAACACAAATCGGATTGTGTATGGTAAGGGTTGTGGTTAATGTTGTGGTGAGCCATATATTGTTGGCACAGTTCCCCTTAAGAGTATACCCTCTAGGCATATTGTTGGGAAATCTCTTAAAAAATAAACTGCATAAAAATAACATTATTCATTAATATGCATCTGAGTGCATCGGATGGAATGCCAGTTAAATTTGCATTTATAATCGGTAAAGCAATGGGACATTTTACACAGCTTAAGTAACTTTAAAGTGTGGTCTGGCACACAAGTCACTAACAGGCTGGTAATATTTCTGGTGGATTCACTGAAATTGAAGGAGAGTAAGAAAGGGCATTGAAATTAACCCTTCATCTTAGTTCAATGCCATAGGAGCTGTTCCATTAAAAATTTGTTGATTGCATTTTTCTCGGAGACAAAAAAATTGTTGCAAATTTGGGTTTCATCTTGTTATATATTTTATTGTAACTTTGAGTTTAATTTGAGCATAATTTGTCGTTGTGTTATCAATTAATCGTTGATTAAAATTTTTGATGGATTGATTTTAAATTTTTTAGTATTATTCTTTACAATGCTTCAAGATACAGGTTAGAGATGCTAGAAACTAAATCCCTAATCTGAAGTTTTAAGCAAATAGTCAGTTTTAATTCCCTTATTGTCCAAATCTTTTCCCTCTATGGACAGTAAGATACTGTTATGCCAATTCTAGGTACTCCATGATTAAACATGAAGTTGTTATATAGCATTTCATTTTTGAGGAAACCGTATCTATTACTCAATAATTAATTTTTTTAAATGTTCGGCTCAGGTCAACCCCCACACTTCAAATAGTGATTAAGATTCAATAAGACATGTTCCGTTGATGACTAGCCTAAGATTAATCCATTGTTTATTCTAGGTTAAGATATGGCAATAACTGAGGTACACAGGATTTCTCCACTTATACTATTAATATTATGTGAGTAATAAAATAATTTTCGATTATTGTTAAACCAATTTACTGACATTATTTGACGACTATCTTTTCGTGAAATCAGAACATTTTTGCAACACGTACATTTTACTTTGAATATTGATATTGAATTGATCTTTTCCACAGGTTTAAACTTGCTAACAGTATTGGTGGGGGCAGATTTTAAATGGTACGACAAAGTTTTCGAACTCGATGATAGCGACTGGATTGAACTCAGAAGTTCAAACTTCACGTCATTTGAAGTTAAAAGTGAAATTCTCAGCACCGTCTACCTTTCTTTCTCGGTACGTTGTGTCCCATATCAAATGCTCAAATTTGATTACTAGCCTAATTCAGAAATTATGGTTTCCACAAAGGCTAATTTTTATCGAATGGATAATCTCTAACACTTTGAATGGAATATTTAGCGAACACTAATATTCATAAATTCACAAAATACAGGCTTTTCTCTCTGAAATCGATTTCATATACTCAAATTCTATAACGGGGCACAAACTGTCACCCCATCGATTTGGCAACCCACAAACAAGCACATATTTTCATGTTTAAACTGTGTTTCAGCCGCTCTTGCGGCCCTCTTCCTCCCTCAAAACATATCACAATGTAAACGATCACACACTCGTCACTCACACACACTCTCTCTAAGTAAACAAGACTATAATCGCATTAAGAGTTCTCCGTTGAGCCCCGATATTTTAAAATAGCATCTGTCTGGGGTCTGGGGACAGGTTTCTGTTATAACCTGCACACCACGCTAGGAGAGGAACTTCAAAAGAGAGAGCACAGAGAGAGAGGGAGTATTGGCGAGGAGAAGGACAATTCATTACATCACATCATGATGAAACTGTAATTGCACCTCTCCAAAACAATATATATCAAACACAGACTGGCCGGACCCATCGTAATATATATAGCCGGTCCCCTGTTATATTGCATACAACGCGACTCTTCAAGTTTCCATTACACCCGATTCAGTAAAAAATGTGGCGTTTTGCTGGAGGAGTGGGCCGCATTGACGCCGTATTGACTGCCGGGATGTGAGGAGCATCATGTACTGTATAACTGTGTGCTAACTGTGTGGCGGGACATATATAAAAAATAGACTGCATGCAATAAAAACATAGAGGATAGTGTGTCATATAAATTATAATATAAGAAGTGGAGTGGAGGAATCTTGCTTGTATTATATCGTAACTAATGAAATATCCAGATCCGAGGGGTCCGTGGTTGGTTAATTAATTAAATTACTCTTTACTTTCTATATGTAGTATCTGGGCCCCAGCTAGTAATGCTCCTACCCTAACGACCTTGTACTGCGTAGTAGTGTGACAGTGATATAATCAGAGCCAGCAGTAAGCAACCTGCTGTTATAGTTAATCGGCTGTAGAACGTGAGACAGCCGCACAGTTTCTAACTACACGAGTCTCCCTTGTCAGCTCTGTACCACTCACTCTCTCACCCCCCATTCCCCGGTATCCCACTTCACCTGGCTCACCTTACTACCTGCCTGCTGTTCTTATATATTTTCACTGTTTCAGAGGCGGAATTTGACGTTCGAGTTTCCCTTTTACGGTGAAAAAATCTCAACTGTTCTAGTAACCACACAAGGTATGTTATCATTTTAAATTCCTCTCGGTACCCGCCAGGTGCTCGTGCCAAATAATTATTGGTACCTTTCTAACCAGCTCTCCCTCAGAATATGTAACCACTGACTCTCTGAGTCATTTATCATCATTAGCGTCACGTCCTCCTCGACATGACTTACCAGTCAGGACTATCAGATAAAATATGACTGTGGACAATTCTCTTGACGCATAAGTGGACATGTAACTTAATTAACTTGGTAATAAGTCCCAGCACCTCCCGCTGTTACTGAATTAGTGGCACTTCAAATGGTATTTGTTACGCTGGTAATGCAATAGAAACGTGGGCTCTGCTCATAGGAGTTAGACTTCTGGCACCTCTACCAATATCCCAGCCAGGCTCGCTCCGAGCTCCGCTCTAATACCTAATTATAGTGTGCACACAGCAGCAGCACCCCCCGAGTTATTTATGTATGTGCTCGTTTACAGTCGAACTCAAAATCACTCATGCAATTCAAATCAGCTATTGTCATCCCTCCCAAATTAACCATATATTAACCGTACATAATGGGTAAGATTAGGTTAGTAACCCAGTATTAGCCACACAAAAAACAAACCATCTGATTTACCGGGTAAAAGACCCGCATTTGCCTGGTTGTGTATAATGAGCGAGGTGGAGACACCCTGACCCATAAAATAGAGCAAATGTACCGGATCTAAAGAGAGAGAGAGAGAGAGAGAGAGAGAGAGAGAGAGAGAGAGAGAGAGAGAGAGAGAGAGAGAGAGAGAGAGAGAGAGAGAGAGAGAGAGAGAGAGAGAGAGAGAGAGAGAGAGAGAGAGAGAGAGAGAGAGGCAGGGAGGGAGGGAGGGAGGGGAGTCCATTAGTGAATCAACTCTGTGGGAGACTGGCAGGAGGGTGATGACATCAGCTTGTGATCATCTTGTAAATCTACTCTCTCTCTCTCTCTCTGCTTGCAGACTAAAATATGTTGTCTATTAATGAAAATTCTTGGATATAATAATATATACTTCCTCAATATATCGTCAGTACCCTAAACGGAAATAAATGTTGTCATACCCGGATATTCCCACCACTTCACTGCTTGGAGCATAACAATCACAGCTACCCTCATATTGTGTTAGTGGAGCAGGTATTTGGTAATGACTAATGAGGGACGAGGGTGAGATCAGTGAGATTGTACTTGCAAATGGGATTTTTATGATTTGTTCATGACTCACAAGATATGAAATCCACTTTACAAGCTGACTGTAAAGTGTGAATTGTAGAGTGTTTCCGGTATGTGATATCTTCAGAGGTTAGTTATATAGGGTAGATGTTATGTAGGGTAGATGTAGGGTAGATGTTTTCACACTCCTCAGTAATGTAGACCCCTATTATTACTGACTGTGTTACAGAGTACCTCCACAATCCAGCGCAGCACCAAGTTTGGGTCACGTGACTAACTACGGTGAAACTTTAACTATCAAAATATTCATACTACCATTTCATTGAGGTGAACTGCACCTGAACTTCAGTCTACTTGTCAACAAGTTACGATGGTAGAACCTGGCGCGGTGCCAGGGAAAGCACGCTGTTTGTGGGGGATCAGTGCACGATATGGACAGTATTACTGGACACTGTATTTTAGTGTATGTATAGCTGTATAGCAGAGCTCCGTACAAAGTCAGGCTTAGCGTGGTACTATTTATTGAGTATCAGACTTTCTGGTGTTCTGTTGAGTGTCATCTACAAGGTTTATAAGCTGGGTGTGCTGAGTATGTACACCCATTCAGATTCCAGAGATGCCTACCTATCTTACTTGTTGCCTGGAAAAATAAGTTTTTATTTTGAGTTAGTACAGACAGGAACCTGGAACTCCCTCTTTTCACGCCGCCTTGTTATCACAAGCACACTAAATAGTGGGGTTTAGTGTAATAATAGCAGGGTAATACACAGATTGCACACTGGAACTGTCACTACTAGTGGGGTTATTATTACACACAATATACCGCGTGTGTAACCAGTACACACCGTGTGTGTGTGTGTGTCTAGGTGGTGCCGTGTAGACTGCTGCTTGGCAGGGTACCAACACCCAGGAAACATTACGCTGACAATGCTGACAGGACCAGTTCAAGTGTACCTGACATCTCTACCTCTGCCCACATATAGTAGGAAATCTCACACTTACACTGTGTGTGTTCCATGTTCTAGTTACTTCCACACATCTTCACCCGTCAGATCTCCCCCTCCTGCAACCTTCTAAATGTGATATGAATAACAAAGGTATAAACATGAGGAGAACCCACACACGCGCAGATAAACCACACTCCCCTACCACATGTTGACTTATTATATACACAAGTTTAGAGTCTCAGTATAGATGCCCCCCCCCCCCCCCCCCCCCCCCCGTATTATTATATACACAAGTTTAGAGTCTCAGTAGAGATGCCCCCCCCCCCCCCCCCCCCCGTATTATTATATACACAAGTTTAGAGTCTCAGTATACTAGTAGAGATGACAGTTGAGATTATTTTATACCGATCACGTGGCATTCTATACCGTTTCTAACTGGCCCCCTCCTCTTCTCTACTAATTGCAGTGTATATATATTATATATGATGTTGTAAACTGTTGTGTGCTGGGCCCCAATGCTCCTCCTCAATATTATATGTTACAGATATAGAGGGGTCCATTGCTAGTCTAATTAATCTTTACGAGATAGCCTTTACAGCATTTACATTGGTCTCCTTCCTTACATGTCTGACAGCTCACTAGTCACTTCATGAGCATATCACGATTCACGAGTAAACAACTTTTTGAAGCAGGCAAATGTTTCACTGTCAAAAAGCAGTAAAAAAGCAGTGTTATTTGCGGAGGCCCCGCCTCACTTGAGAAGTGGGAATTAGCGTCACGTTCTGCCAGACAGCGTTAATCCGCCGTCACCAACATGCTGACAAGCCACGTCTTATCAATTGGACTTACTGTGCAACATTTTCTTAAACCCACTCCTTTTGTTAAAGAAAGTGCTCTAACTTTATTTCTCTCCTCATTACGACTAATATTGTGAACTCTGATATTATATCCACCTTTTGAGTTGCATAATTATTATTCTATACCCCCTGCGAACAAGTGCTAGCTGCTGCGAGTATAAAACGGATTGAACTAGCCATTCCATAAAGCAACCGTACGGCGTACATCAAATGCTGAATTCGGCAAATTATTTTAAAACATTGAACTTAGACAAACGTGCCCGGCAAGAGAAACCCCCTAACAGACTAACAATATCAAGCCAACTTTGTAACTAAACTCATTTACAGGTTTCATATCAATGATAGGAGAACCGTATCCAAGCCCCTACATGACAGAGACACTATATGTATCACCCCTAATGGCTAACTTCGCGCCCCGAGAAACGGATCCGACACAAGATATACGGATACATCAGGACGGTGAGTGTAGCTTGTTTTATGTTGCTCACGTACAGTATTTGCACGTGCAAATGTGCGAGTTGCACGTGTGTTGTGTGTGACGCGCTGAGAGCTGCCCGGCATCGTAAGGTTTACCTGGTAGAAATAGTGAGCATACTTTCAATAGCCTAACAAGTAACAAGACCTCTGAGGTGGGCGTGGACTGCTGAGAATTAGTGACGCTCCCCGCGACAATATATCGTGTCAAGATATGTATCTAGTTCAGTATCTCCTCTGCCAATACAAGGCCAGATATTTACCAACTAAAGATACTAAGTAAATGGTTTGTCACGTTTCCCCCCTCATAGGGTATAAGCTGGCAGTGTAAGATAAGGTTGATATCTTGTAATTGTTAAGGGCTTCCCCACCATTAAACACGTTGTAACGGTCTGATGGGTTTTGGTTTATTATAATCATTGTCTTGGCTCGAATAACACCACCATTGTTATAAACCTTCCTGGCCTCAAATTTACAATGAATCGATCAGTCTGCTAAATTCTTATAATGAAAATGGGATCAGGCTTTATTATTTTACGAGTTCTCCATGTTCCATTATTTTCCGCTGATTGAAGGGCCGAAATGTTAAACAGGTTTTCATATAAATCTGAATAATATGGACCAAAATGTTAGAGTTTTGCAAATATGACTATTAAAACAATGAATATTTTTCAGACGATATGTTTATAGTTCAGTGGAGCACGATGCTATTGGCTGAGGAGGAGTCATCAGACGGATATTTTACTTTTCAGACTCAGCTCCACAAAGATGGCACTATCAAATTTATCTACAAAGAGGTTCGTTTTAAACACCGACTAAATGATCGACTTTTAAAGTTTAAAAGCGTAAACCGCTCGTTCTATTTGACTCGTAATTGGGTTTTCAAAGAAATGTTTAAGTTTTTGCGGTAAGATTTTGGTTTGGGGCAGCATTTAAAGCATTTAATGAGGTGACTGGGGTTTTTGTTGTAACCACTAATCTAGAAAAGGTATGCTTTGATGACTATTTCAAATTCTTCCTCGCCACATCTGATTTACCGTAATTGCTGGAATTTTAATCACGACTGAGATCCCGAAAAATTGAAAAATTGCCAATTTTTCGGAGAAAAGGAGTGTATTTCTCACTCCACTGACAACTCCCTCTTTTCTGGACTCAGAATAACTGCAGAGAGTACACAAATGTATAGCCCGTGTTGACATATTACCTACTCAACCTCTAAGACACACACACACACACACACACACACACACACACACACACACACACACACACACACACACACACACACACACACACACACACACACACAACCCATTCCTCAACCTGTCTCTCACTGATACTTATCCTAATTTTACAAAGTATACAACCAAAATAATATGCCACACTCCTACCTGGCTGAATATGGCGGTATACCGTATAAATTCAGAAAAGAAGTCAGAATTAGGTTTTGGTGAAGTGCCAGTTAATTACAGATACTCGGGACCACATGCTAGAATCGTGGAAGGTTGTCATTTTATACCGACAAGATTCTCAACTTGTTTTTAGTACGTGTGTCCGACTCTGCGTCCGTGGGAAATTCTTTTATCAGCTTAACTTGATAATTGACAGTCATTGATTACTGACCTACCAAACGGAAATTGAGCTGGTCATTGGCCGAGAGTTAGATTATGCAATTGATAACGTTCTGGGTTGGCGGGATGTTGCGTATCTGGTTAATGTTGACTGGAGATATTTAAAGCCGGGTGGAAGAAAATACCCACGGTATCGTTTAAACGTGAGGTGATCTGGGCTCAATTAAGATTTTCCTCATCTAATTAGCTGGACATGCTCAGATTGTTTTTCTTTATAATGACAAGTGACAGGAGTCATTACGTGCCTCAATTAGGATGAATCTCTCGGACCCGGGCAATCGTAAAACCAGTCTGGCAGAGAGTAATCTCATAATCGAGTGAAGGTGTGGACTTATGAAGTTCGTGTACTCTTTCGGTGTTGATTTTTGGCAGCTCGAATGTCCGCCTGCTTTTCGGTCCTTCTTTAACAATATACGGTTGCACAAAAAACTAAACCTTTCATCATAATATATAGGAACACAACATGAGCTGCCTTTGATTTGCTCTTCTTTTTGCAGGTGCCGATAAGTGTAGCAGATATAGTTGACGAGACACACCCAGTAGTAGCTGGGTTATCAGGAGGTTACAGATACACACGACCCGAGGCAGACGGCGAGTACAAACTGCATCCAGGTGATTATCAAGTTTTTTTGACTTATTATATTTAAAGGAATACAAGTATATGGAGTATAGCCCTATAGGGCCAACCATAGGGCCCCGAGCAAGAGTCCGGACAATTATTACAGGAATTACGGATCATATTGTTGTGAATTTAGCAGCCTTAACATAATTTACTGCATGATTGTAATAAATTATGCTCCAAAGTTATTCATTATTTGATGAAAGTTTTAAATGAGATGCAAATTGCAAGGAAAGTGTTTACTGTATTTGTATGTTGTTCCTCTCGCAACACGGCTGAAATGAGAGAGTTGCTAAATGAGTCGGTGATGTTACCCCGGACACATGTAACCCCCGTATTTGGTAATAGTGGGACACTGGTACCCACTCGATGACAGGAAGCATCTAAACAGCTCATTGAGCTCCACTTTTCTGTCAAACAAGTGTCAAGTGTCCTGCACAATACCCCCAACGGGGCCAGCACCAGACCCAGCTAATCTCAACAGCTCCTGAGCTGGGTCACGTGACCCTGGTCACATGGTATACCAGAGCATGTCACGTTACTTCCAGTCGTAGTCTTGAGGTCTGAGGTTTTGGGGGTCCCATCAGAGAGGAACTGTATCAGGTCTCCCTACGTCAAGCAGCATGTAGTATTGTACCAGGTTCGGTGGGTACGGGCAACAGAATCTGCCTGAACAGAAACCCTTCGTACTGGGGATTTTGTAAGGTTGTCAACATAAAGAACCCTGGAAACAGAAGTAACTGTGTCGGGCAACACTGGACATTCCCTGTGTCAGTTTTATTATCGTCACCCTGCCTAGCTGCAGATAAAAATATCTCATCTGAGGCAGTTCCAAGGGGGTATAAACTAGACAAATATTTGGGACATTAACAGATAGTACTATCTTGTTTCAGATACACCCCCTAACAGATATTATCTTGTTTCAGACACTCCTGTATACGAAGCGTTCGATACGATAAACCTAAGTGAGAGTAGGATAGCCAGCGGTACGACCTACACCTTCATTCCACAACCTTGTAAGTCATTGTACTCGGCCTAACAAAGTAACAAACACCACGTACATGCACAGACCTTTCCAATAATTATTAATTACTGCAACATTTTCACTTGTGTTTTATTTTTCCGTGCGTGTCCGTGCAATGTCTCCCTACTCTCATTTTGAAGGGTTGCACTGAACTTTTAAAAACGTCTCGGGGAATCTGTCAAAAGGTATCGAATCTTTTAACTTGCATTAGTAAGTTGGTACATACTTAAACGGTAAACCTCGTGAAATTAGGAGGGTCCTATCTAATAAGCCAAGCTATTATGTTGGGAGCCCGGAGGGCAGGAGGCAGGGTGGGGGAGGCAATAACTAATATCATACCCATTATACAACTACATGCTACCTATAGGTGGATCCAATTTGGCATTTAGGTGACAGCTGGTACGCCTTAACTCCGACATTTCGACATGTACAATTTAGCTAACCACTAAATACCCATCCAATATGACTCGCCAAATGCCTGTGCACCTGCAATACCGTTTAACGTGCCGGCCAATCTTTGAAATTGGGCCAATCTTTTTTGGAACCGCTCCAAATAGTTTATACCATACATGTACCATGATCATTGATCAACTGATTACCGTAGAATAAACGGTGCCACAATACTGAAACCCTCAATGCCCTTTTCCTTGCCCAAATTTACCGGGTACCAGTGAAACAAACCCCCGGAATAATCCCTACCCCCATCCCCCCATCCCCCCCAAGTGCTGGCTGCTGGTCTGTAACTGAGTTTACATTTTCAGCTTGTCTCGAGGAAAACTCGTGCAGTAAATGCAGGGCCCGCTCAGACCACTGTCACTGGTGTCCCACTATTCAGAGGTATGTTCAATATATCATTAAACCCCGTCTTGTCTGGGTCGATTGTTTTATATTTTTTATATTGATCTCCACAAGTAAAGTCTAGACAACACCAATACTCCAGACATTTAGGAGAAGTTAAGCTGACAATTACCGACCTCAGACTTGACCTGGACATCGATCATACCATGGTTTTATTGCGATGCTTTTTACATAATATTTAGGTAACCGATATAGCTGCGATGAGCTCGACAGATCGTAGACCAAATTTTATTCCCTCCCGACAGATTCCAAAGCATTACGACAAATTATCATGTCGGCAATAAACTGACAAACTGACCCGAGTTTTTTGTTGGATCCCAACTTAATGACTCAATAATTCGAGCTTAAAACCAAATTAGTGTTTAAGAGCTTATGCAGTCTCCACGTAGTTGGCCGTATCCCTTACTCCACAATCCCTCCAGGCTTGTTACAGCATGTTTAAAATACAAGGGCGTGTCCTGGATCTGAGGATCTAGCCGTCGGGGCTGGTAACAGCTCTGCAATATGTACAAAAGACCATTGACAATTAGTCAAATGAAGACTAGGCAGTGTATTTGCTGTCAGTTTATTTTACAACATCTCTCTCTCCTACCCCAGCTTTCACTCATAATGTCCGCTAATTTAGCCTGCCCTCCTACAAAGGGATGCCGGCTTACCCTGAATGTTGGAGAACCTGGTGTAGTGCTGTACTGTAGATACTGGTACAGTGGTCCTGTGTCCAGTACAGTAACACCACAGCTGGACAGGGTGGTATGCTCTTCTGTCTCTCTCTCTTTCTGTGGACCAGGTTCCCCTCTACATCATATCCCATAGTTTAATGACTGGCAATCAACACGAGTACAACACGCGGTCAAGTCCTTTTGTTCCTCTATCCGGAGCACTATCCACCAACAATACTCCTTCATTAGGTTTTAATTAAAAGCTTGAGCTGGATGCCAAGTGAGCTCCCCAGCATGATGATCAATGTGAGTGTAACTCTACTGGTTGGTTGGCATGGCCCAGTCAGGATTCCTGCCCTGTATTTGTGTATTGATCATTAAGTGTAACAATTCCAGCGGAACCAATAATGTGGATCCCAGTCATGATGACTCTCCTGCTCTCTCTCTCTCCCTCCTAACCCCCATTTGGTGGGCTCCCTGGAGCCTGGTAGACGGATCAAATTGTGTCCTGTTAATTTCTGATTCAGTAAGAGATCACTCTAACTCCTGCAACAAATTAGTCATGTTTTGTGTGTTACACTGAGATTTGCGACTCTCCAAACCCGATTCCCATTTGACCGGCCTCTCCTCCCTTGAAGATCTCTAAATTTGTTGGACTGTTATAGCAGTATCATATTAATGTATCGGGCATTTGATACAGAGAGAGAGAGAGAGAGAGAGTATCGACGTGGGGATTGTGGTTTATGTAATGTTGAAGCGATTCAGTGTCGATTATTAGGTCCGATACTGAGGCGCCAACTCTGGGAGAGATAATGTAGAGGTATGACCTCACAATTTCAATTAAAAGATAAGACTGTGTCCCGATGTGTGAGAGAGAAAGAGAGCAAGGGGAAGTTCAAAAAGAGGCCATGTCATTAAATTCCTCTCATGTTTCAATAGTTGAGGGGTGTTGGAGCAGACCCTTATCAACAAGGTGGTGCAGCGGTGGTAATACATCCGGTCTACGGTGGGCCTGGTAGAGGTTTTACACACATATTTTCTTGTGGCTAATTGGCTAGTTACCAAAAATTTGTTTATAAAATCTGAAATCTCCATAACATTTAAGTAATCGTTTGTATATGTCGCATCAACAGGTCGATATTAACATCTCGATTCTCAAACATTTACAATGTCCAAATTACATAATTTATGGATATTTAAAGCCAATAACCAATTTAGTTTAAAGTATCGACAAAATTTCCGACCAGTCGTTTGATTAATGAGAAGTGAGTACACATCCGTTTCACATACAAGCTGAAGAATATTCTAGATTCGAGTGTCAAGATATAAAATATTCTACATCTAAAACGAGTGTAAAGAACAATAGGCAGAACTTGGCCCCCACCCGATACTTTGGTTGAGTAGCTAGCTTATATTGGAGCTACAAATTGCAAGGGTAAAATAGGGTGCTAGCTCGAGTACACGTACCACCTGAATGTGGTGATGTTTGTGTCTGATGTTTGTGTGTGATGTTTGTGTGTGTTGTTTGTGTGTGATGTTTGTGTGTGATGTTTGTGTGTGATGTTTGTGTGTGATGTTTGTGTGTGATGTTGGTGTGATGTTGTGTGATGTTTGTGTGTGATGTTTGTGTGTGATACACAGAGTCCAATGTCTATGGCCCCGTTAAACGGGTCTTAAGTACATTGTCTTGAAGATGCCTTATTAACTCCGATAATTGATTACCCTGTTATATAGCTAATATATAAGTACACGGCCCCCCGATCATCGTGGTCAGTGTGGTCTTTGTATTTAACAGAATGGAATTATGTGTAATTTGTACCCTAAGGCTTTTGCCGTTGAAAGTGAGCTTAGAACCTTCATTTGCATAACAAAAAAACCCTCATTTTACTTGTGGAATACAGAATATAGAATGTACAGAGAGTGGAAAGTGGAGTATAAATAATAGACACGTAAACATGTAGACACGTACTACAGAAGTGTGGATATTTTTAAGTGAGCTGATTAAATGAAATTTGTCCCAGATTTGAGAGCAACTATCGGCAGGGGGTGATTACGGTAGCTGGGACCTAGAACTGAAGAGTTGGATTACACAACTCGAGTCAAGACTCTGGCCCTAAATGGGCTGGTACCGTTATCAGGGGGCAATTAGTCGGTTCCGAATTGGAGCCTGCCAAATCACCACACCATTCCTTGTTTTAAAGGGTTGATGGACTGATTACTCTTATATTATATGTAATGACCCCCTCTCTCTCTCTGTGTGCAGTTTCAGTGATCTCATTATAATGATCCCCTCATATTATCATCTGATAAGGTGGTGAGAGCAATCCCGCAACTTACAATCCACTCCAGTCAGCCAGTTAGCCGTGAACCACAGCATACAAGCAAGCACGGGCCGTATTACCGTTCATCTCTCTATCTGTGAAGTAGTGCCAAGCTGTCTACTGCCACAAGGACTGAGAGGCAATCTCAGACTCGGACTCACGCCAGACGCTGCATGATTGCTGGGAAAACTGTTCGTGATCGATTTAATTATTTTCAGACATTGTTATGGATTGTGGCAGATTCAATTGGTATGAGAAAGTTCGGGAGCGAATTAGAGCGTTTCGAGGTGGAGTGGATAAGATCTGGTGTGGTGTGTTTCTCTTTCTTAACTCGAGTTAATTTAAGTGGGAAGCGGTGGTGGGATCGGGTCTTAACATTACGACGCTACTGGCTACGTAACAATATGAATAATATGCAGTAAAAATACAGATAAAATACTGTCATTATGCAGTTAAAATGCAAAATACGGTTACTAAATTCTAACCCACATCATTGGCTACATTCTTGTCTCAAATAAGTATGTGATTTGGCAGGAAGCTGTATATTTACAAGTCGTGTAAGGACTTTTTTAAACCTTGGTGCTCTGGTATCGGACCGCTCCCCCACAATATTTATCAGTTTATGTAAAATATTCAAATTATTCAAAACACACAACATTTCATCCATTCACAAAGTTTAAAACCCCATTCCTCCCATTCCTCCCAACTTAAAACTAGCTCCAGAGAAATGACTTCCAACCGAGCAAGATCGCTTCTAATTGTTAACTGTAACCACCTTACGTTGTGTGTAACTCTTCATTTGTAGAGTCAGTCAGCACTCAGAGCAGAACACAAATCCTACATTGAATCAAGACTCTTGAAAGGAAGAGCCCCCACTTTCCATGATGGCCACAAAGTGAGCCCAATAACTGTAACTAACTGACAGGGGTCCACATCAGATGATTTAGGATTGTATTACTGACTTTAAAGTTAGCGGCAACCACCACCGGTGGTTGTTACTCATCAATCTGGAGTACAGTAGATCCACAATATAATCGACTGTAACCGAATTATAGCTCTATTACAGGGCAGGTAATTGGTACTGTTGTATACTACCTGCAGCATAATATGTTTAATACTGTGTATTTAATACGGTTAGTACTTCGTTATATATATATATATATGAGAGCTGGAAGCTGCTGTGTGAGACGGACTGTAATTGGCGAAATTATCGAATGTTGGGTGGAATGTGGGGTGAGCTACCGACCTTTCAACAGTAACCACCAGGTTACAAACTTCACCAAGTTAGTATACCGCTCATCATACGATAACGTGAGCAAATCTAAATTTAGCAGTTTAGCAGTAATGAATTGGTATCACTCCTGCACATTTACGATGCTACTTTCCTATTTACAATCAGCAGCGGAATTATCAAATATTCCTGCGATGCTGTATATCTGTAGTGGGAATCTGTTGAAAGTTATTTCCCCTCCCTCGCAAGGGCACATCTCTAAGAATGTTGGTGTATGTGCGAGACTGATCCGGATTCCGGCTTGGTGTGTCCGAGTACCATTCCAAGAAAAAAGTCTCAGAACCTCGGCCTAAATCTCGGTTTAACATGCTAGTGAGCCATTGTTACTTTCGTAATGGCGTAAGTGATGCATGAGCCCGTGGTTTTTTGTGGGTGTGGAGTTGGTATTTGGAAAAGTTTCAAATAACTCTGAGTAAAACTAAACTTTACGTGGAACAATTTTATAATATTATGATGTAAACGCTAAATAATTCTGTAACTAGTTAAAACCTTTAAACTTCTTGAACTCAGACTACATCAGCCCCTCCCAAAGCCAAATCGACAGAATTTACTAATACAACAGTCACCAGACAGACTCAAAGACGATTTTTCAGTTTTAAGACTTTCAAGTTCTACCATTTCCATCCTTTCATGATTTATCTAATCATGACTCAGACAAATCCGCAATGGCCCGATTCTTTTATCTTAAATGGTTTATATTATATAAACTTTCTTACCAACTTAAATTATTACAGCAAAGTATGCACATTTGTGTGTTCCAATCTCAAGTTTAATTAACATTAATTTTACAGATGTTCAACGGGTAGAGACTCTCTAAAACCACAGTGGGATGCTTCTTGCAGGATCTTGGTATGTGTTAACCCGACAAGCAAGATAATTATTATTATTTTCCTCAAATATCATAAACGACATTAATCTAATAATTCAATCTTCATTGACGTAAAATGTTTACGAATAGATTTTTAGCCTGTTTATTTTGTCCTAAATTAAGTGTTCCCAGACAAAAATTTTTTCCGGTAAAAATAATAAAATTAAGCGTTTGATAAGCGATAACGGCTAGGCATTGCACCCCCAAATCGATCATCTAATCTTGCCCTAATAGGGCCGATCATTATCGCTGAACAGAGCAAATTAAATTGTAGATAGATTGTCTGGCCCGGAAGTACTGAGAGAAAATTCCCCTTATTTAATAATCATTCCGATGCACGAAAAAGGTTAGACGCAGCTTCGCACAATATATTTTTATTTACAGCAGGGCTTTGGCAAGAATATTGTATGGCATTGCTAATCTATTCGAAAGAATTTTGCTATATGGAAGAAATCTCTGAAATACCGGGCTCTTTGTGATTATACCGCTTATTTACGCGGAATGTCTGCCGATAAAAAACTATGAGTATCCGGCTGACGGTCTAACAAAGTTACAATTACTTATAAAACATAAAGCTGGTATTCAAGTGAAAGAATACCAACCAAAGCATGCTTAATCTTTAAAAACTCCATCGGAATGCTGAATATTGACCTTTTAAAAGTTGCGCGAGACGTCGTCTGGCAGTAAAAATCAGAAGACACTCAACTTTAGGATTGACAATCTCTAAATGTCTGACGCTTTATGTTTTCAGTCAAAGAGCGCTTGTGAGGACGAAGTAGTGAACGTAACAGTAACGGCTCCAGATAGAGCTCCTCTTACTGATCCCTCTCACCTGTCTAATAAACCAGGTCAGTACAAACTGGATATTGCGCACGTGTGTTGTGGCGCACGTGCATTGTAGCGCACGTGCAATTTATTGTACCTTAACGTGGCAAATGAGTATTATACTCTAAGTGTCAGGCACCTAGTCGGTTCGTTCCATTACGGTTGAGTGTTAAATGCTAGACAATGAGTCTTAAATGTGAGAACGATGTCCCAGTAGAATTGTCAATTGATGATCAGTCAATGTCGAGTATAATTAGAGAGTTAGAGGACAGGGTTGTACCCCTGAATTAGAGGACAGGGTTGTACCCCTGAATTAGAGGACAGAGTTGTACCCCTGAATTAGAGGACAGGGTTGTACCCCTGAATTAGAGGACAGGGTTGTACCCCTGAATTAGAGGACAGGGTTGTACCCCTGAATTAGAGGACAGGGTTGTACCCCTGAATTAGAGGACAGGGTTGTACCCCTAAATTAGAGGACAGGGTTGTATCCCTGAATTAGAGGACAGGGTTGTACCCCTGAATTAGAGGACAGGGTTGTACCCCTGAATTAGAGGACAGGGTTGTACCCCTGAATTAGAGGACAGGGTTGTACCCCTGAATTATAGGACAGAGTTGTACCCCTAAACCTTATCTGAACTCTCTCTGAACCTTCTAGAACCCACTTTATACCTACCTGGTACTATTCATACCCTCTTTAACACGTCTAGCTGCAAAACCACCCCTCCACTTTGACACACAACAATATCTAGACACGGTAACCATGGTAACGATGATATCGTTTACCAGATCACCACAACCAAGATATGATGTCTACAGTAACCATAGTGCTCCAGGCTCCGCATTACAGTGTACTTTTAGCCGTGTGTGTGTGTGTGTGTGTGCGCGTGTGTGTGTGTGTGTGTGTGTGTGTGCGCGTGTGTGTTGTGTGTGTGTGTGTGTGTGTGTGTGTGTGTGTGTGTGTGTGTGTGTGTGTGTGTGTGTGTGTGTGTGTGTGTGTGTGTGTGTGTGTGTGTGTGTGTGTGTGTGTGTGTGTGTGTGTGTGTGTGTGTGTGTGTGTGTGTGTGTGTGTGTGTGTGTGTGTGTGTGTTTACCTGTAACTACTCATGACCTGACTAAGCTCTGTAATTGTCCACTCAGGCTCTCAACCCTGACTAGACAATGATGCGTGGTAATGTAGTGGTCGCTGTATTATATACTACAAGTTATAACTAAAGTTATAGTAGCCTGTAGTACAAAGCCTCCACAGTATTTATTTACTTGCATCCTCCTTCTCGTTGGGGGATGATGGTTTGGGAATATAAGCGCAGGGGCTTACATTACACACTCTGCTTACCAGACAAGTCATTATGTGTTTCAATTAAACAATGTTTGTCAACCGCGAAGGCTTGTTACTGTCACCATTGTTGTGGGAAAAACCTCAGGATTCACACGGCATCAGGCTACTTTAACAAGAGTTTAGCAGTTTTAAGAGATCAACTTTGTCTCGTATATAATGGTTGTTCCGTGACTGCTGCTCAAGAATTTTTGCGGAGGTTGGAAACAGTAATTCGATGAAAACCCGGCATAATTCTTTTGTAAATGTTTTTAAAAACTTAAACGGTTCTCATTATCTCAATTATCAGCTTATCTAATCACGGGGCCCCCCAGGTTCGATGACAACAGAAAAAACTAGAGACATAACAGACACCCGCCACCTACCTACGATCCACGAACAGGATGAACAGAATACAAATAACACTGATATGGTCGTTATCAAGGCTCTACTTATATCTACCTGTGAGTATACAGCTCTTATTTTTATCCTTTTAAAAAGATATTTGGTATCCAAACTTTGATTTCCCCGTATTTGTAAATTTTCTCAATATTTACAAATCCTCTTATGGTTAGGATATATTCTAAACATTGAAACACGATTTCATTTCTAAGATTTTGAACTATTTTTTCGTTTAGGTACGATAGTATTACTGTTAATAGTAGCGACGGTCTTAGTTCGGCGCTATGGCTGGCGGAGCACAATCTTCATGTCGCACGTGAAGCTAGAAAACAAGGGATGCCACTGTAATGAAGAAGTGAACCACACCCTCATCAAGGTGGAGGATTCCAGCACGTGATATCATGATAGGGACTAGAATGTTCTAAAATTTTCTGCCGATCTATATAAGATATAGGATGAGATGTATGATTATCCTGTGAGAAGAGTAAAGAAGTAGGTGAAATGTATGAAGATGAGGTAGGATGTGACGAGAAAGAAGAGGATGATGGATTTATCTGTGGTATGAGGTGACGAAATATTGAGACAACAAACTGAAGCGAGACGTGTGTCAATATTCGAGCCGATTGAGATAATTTAACACTAAATGACTGATGATTTATGCAATCTGATTTATTTCGTTTGATACATAATTTATTTTTATATGTCTTATTCTGCACAATTTTTTACTGCACATGATGAACCATTTATTTTCTTATGTATACATTCATCCTTGAATTTTACCGCAAGACTACAATGACGAATATTTTTTCTTTTCTTCGAGTTTCTTCGTTACGATGCTATTGTTGAAGAGGACTACATTTATCTAACTATTGAGTTAGGGGCCAACATAATATTACGTAATCACTGAGGGGAGGAGGATGGTTCTGAATGATTACGCTAATGTAATTTATTCACTACAGGTATGTTGTTTGTAGCTACAACGGGGTCTAAAAATGGCCAAAAAGTGATTACGTAATATGTGAACGAGTATAACTATAATAGAGATGGAGCATACTAAATCTGGGCTGCACAAGTTAGCAGACTTACTGTAGTCCTCGAATAAAACCAGGGCACATTCTTGCAAGTAAAGTAACGTCTCGCTTGTAAACCTACAATGTGGTTTGGGAGGTTGACATTATAGTGGTCCTGCAATTTTTATAACAGTGTGTTCAAATATATGATATATTGTTTGACCACATGACGTGACGATAAAAAACTCGAGTAAGTTTATGATGATGATGATATGTTTATTCTTTTTATTATTGTCTTTTACCGTCCTGATGTAATAACACACATGTAAATGGATAAATGTATCATACCGCAACACAGAGAGTTTTATTTACTCCCACCTACAAAAGGGTCGAGTGTATGAAATTGTGGGCTGTGGATAAGAACAGCTGCACTGGCTTTGTTGTGAAATGTTCCTGTGAACTGGCAATTCGTTATGGGAGTTAACTAATTACAAATTATTTTGACATACACCGAATCACAGAATGTTAAGTCATTGAAAGTCTTTTTAATATCTCCTTTTTATGCTTGCAGCTGCATTTTGATGGTTCATGGCACTGCGCGGAATTATAATTAGGAAGATTATGGGCCATCTACTTAGGACGTCCGCCAAAATCGCAGATTTTCAGACCACCCCTCCCACTGTCCAGGTGTGTCCGAATTTTCAAAACCTCCCCCGGACGTCCGGATTTCCAGCTAATAAAACCAACTCAAATTCATTGTTAATAAAATGTGTAGTTACTTAAAATAGACAATAATACATTTAGTGTCGAACAATTTCAGTACAGTTACATTTAAGTACTTGTTCAAAATACAGGGATCTAAACTTACAGAGTAATTAGTGTCAAAGAGTTGAAATAAATGGGACTTTTTCGTTAATTCTGCCAAAACGTCCGGATTTGTCCGAAATTCCAATTTGCCGGACGTCCTAAGTAGATGGCCCCTTAGTAAGTTTCGATCCCTACCTAGGCTATACCTGGGCTATACAGATGGTATGATTTATGAAGGTGGTCATGAACGATACACTCCATCATAACGATTACAATTCATGCAGCAGCAACAAGCCCACCAGAAAAGAGGAGTCCTGGTAACTGGCATGTTCAGGCCAATTTCATATTACTTTCATGCACATCACTATGGGTCCTGTAAATAACTATTAACTGGATTTTCGACACGCTGGCCCCCACTGAGATGTACACAAGTTATGGGACCTGCCCCAAAATCATGATAAAATCCGGCTGGTTGGAACGCGCGAACTTGAAATTGTGATAAAATTTTGCCAACGCTTCCAAAACAAAGATTAATTAAGGAAGCGCGCGCCGTAAACCATGCTTTCTCGCGCGGCCAGTTCAGTATGCAAGACGATGTGAATATTTAGCTGGAATGATGCCAGATTCAGTTACAGAATGTCTGATGCTTGCTTGTTATGTTGCAAGGGCGTGTTCATGATTGTCCTACAACAAGCAACACAAGGATTTTTCATTTCATGACATGTGACGCCAGGCTATTTTCCTGAATTACTTTTGATCGAAACAAATCGACAATTGATACAATAATTGTTTTGTCACAATGGAGAATTTAAAACAAGTTAACAAGAAAATTTAGCTAAGAAATGTCTCATTATCAAAATATCACTTCAATTGTATCCAAAACACACACGTCTAATTTGGCAAGTATCGGAAACTTTGGCCTATTTAAATCACGTACAAGATTCATAAATACAATGTATTGTAATGAGGAACGTTGTCATGAGTTTAAAGAAAATCAGCAGTCAAATGAAGTATCCACGAAATTTTTGTTCAAATATTAATCATGTGAAATTTAGGATAGGCGTACGTTCAATTCGGATAGATATCACTATAAGTTATTTCACTTCTTGAAAAAAGAATCTATCATATATTCAAATTTCTCCGATACTGAATTTCACTTTCAGTCGTACGCGTAATCCCCTGCGTACTCCCCGTGGGTATTAACGTACGTGCCACTATGTGATCTCTGCCGCTCCATTTCAATTTCAAAATCTAGTGTGCTGTCCCTGCGCAAGAAGCTATCCAGATCGCGATCGGCCGAAGTAGACATACTAGAGCTAACGTAAATAGGTCCCGAACCACCCTCTTCAACTTCTTCTATCCTCCTCTGATAGTCGCTCTCTGTGCGTGGGATACTCTCACAGAAGCTGGAACCGATGGTTGAGCCCTGGGAGTCCAGGCGAGTAGTGTGGCTGAAGGAGTCTAATCTGTCGCTGCCTACGATACCACATGTACTGCTGGCTATGGAGTAATTTCGGGTGTTGCAGACTTCAGCTTCTTTCCGACCTGGAGAAGAACCAGTTTTCATGTTGTTTTATGGTAAACAATCTTAAACTAAGATCAAACCAAATTGGATCGTTTAATCAATATTTATATATCTTAAAATTGCATTGCCATAAATGCATTGAAAATATCATTCATTATGTCTCCCAAACCTGTGTTGATGGGACAGTAGTAAGGGGTAGACATGGCTGCGGGGGGTACGACATCAGTCATACTGTCCTGTTTGTCAGGTCTGTCAGGTACTCTGGAGGATATGGACCCGAGTGAGGGCCGGCATGTGTACCTCAGCGACTGACTGCTCAGAGGTGCGTTAGCTGAAGGAAGAAGTAGTGTTATTGATAGAGAAATAGTTCAGTATGATGTTATCTATAATATTTGTCTGTGAGCATTCTGACATTGTTGCCGATGTTCTGTTAAACAAACCGTTCAGAAGACAGGGGTGCAATATCTCAATGTAATGGAGAATGTCGAAAGGTTACGGTTACTTTCATGTAACAACTACAACGTTTTGAGTTCTTTGCTAATACTGTTATAAACTTAATTAACACAGAAATACGTGTACATTTGCAATTAACATCATAACTTCCAGGATGATAATGCAGCAATATCATGCTAGGTTATTCTCGCATTGGGCTACTCAAATTTAAGTTTAAGAATAATACACATGATAGGACAGTCGCTGTAAGGTGTAAGATATAGCTTATAGTTGATCTATGAGAGCAATGTATTCTGTACGGAAAGCACCGTAGAACAAAATCTTGGCAATATAAGTACTTCTGGACCACCCTGTATAACTACATGCAAATTCGAACATGACGGCCCTTTCCCATCTTCACGGTTAATGATCATGTTAGATGGAAATTTTCCACAGAAGCTATGTGTTATTACGAAAAACTCAATCACAACTGCAGGTACATCAACCTACATAATATATCATGCTGCAACATAAACCATGCAAAAGTCACGACCATGCTAAGCCACAACAATGCTTTGAGTGAACCATGCGAGTAATCTCACTGATAAAGTATCAGTACCGCTTTCAGTTTCAGGTTCTTCTTCGATCTCTTCAAATACTTGTGAAGCTCGGTCGATGAAGCTCGGTGAAGTTCGGTCCGCCACTATTTTTGGTTTTCGTATCACAACTGCACAAAAATCACAAAATATTAAAAAGCAAGATATCTGCATACGAATCAGACAATAAAAAACAAGTTAGGCCGGAAAACAAAGGAGAGACCTATTAATAGCATAATTATCTGGGCACGTTGGAAATGGTAGCACAGACCGAAATAAAATAGTGGAATTTACGTTATATTATATATATTATCTAAGAAGAATCTCCGAACATGCAAGGACCTACGATAAGTGTCCTCAGATTTCCCGAAGTATAAACCAGGTTCAAATTCGCAGAGGGACTGACGAGCAGGACGACTAGCAGCACTATCATTCCGTCCACGATTACCAATTTGATCCTCCGATTGTGCCCTTTTGAAGCTAGTGTACTTCTTGTGCTCAAACTTGTAGGTAAATGTAGGGGAGGGTGTGGGGGAGTCTTGTGCAACCGGGGAGAGTAAGGGAGAGGAGGGCATTTCAGGCTGGAGGCTGTACCGGGCTTTAGCACCACGGTTTTTCAGGTATTCGCTAGGTAGGTCTATCATGGGCAGGAAAAGGAGATGTTTTAAGTTTAAAGAATATCCAAGGGATGCGATATTCTCAGGATAAGAAACGATATACATATTATTGATGAAGATTAATGATTAGAATTTTTTAACGACTCAATAGCTATAAAAAAATCTATAGATCTGTTAGTAGACAGATAAAGTTTAAAATTACATTTTCTCTCCGGGCCGGGTCGAAGAAGGACCGGACTGTTTCTTTGCTGGGGGCTGGGAGTGGGTGATCTCAAGAGCTCATCAATCATGTCATCACTGTCATAACACTCACTGGGCATTCTAATACGGTGATTTGGATTGACTCTATGCATAACTGGCGTCTTCTGGAGTGACATGGTGCTCACCGGCAACGCTGTAAAAATAGAGTTGAGGATTAATTTTTTTCACTTACGCCTACGGCGAATCAAATCATCCCTATCATCGAACTTTCCCACCATAAAGACAATCATGATTAAATTCTGAACGAAGGAAAATTCTGTAACTATACATGCCACAACGATATTACGAAAACATACTTATATGGTATATAAGGCACCCCACCCCAGAGGGAGCACGATCGCCTCCCTGCACCCCCGGTACACTTACTCAAACTTAATCCCACTGATCCAAGCGGTCGACTCTCCTCGTATGAGTACGCTTCTCGGCACCCTATGTTGTTTTTGTCCGCGTTAGCACAGCAGCTCCATTTATCTCTCTTGTAGTGGCCCGGGTGGTACTGTGACTGCATCCGGTGATCGTTATACGCCGAACAAACTGCAACAAAATGTGACATTTATTGATATGACACGTACCTTATGATCGTGTAACAGACGTATATGCATATATTTTCATAGCATGCACCGCACCCTTACTCATACTACGCATATTTAAACCATAAATTTCCACAGATTTATAAATTCCAAAATGCGTTGCACTATTTTCTGTAGATTAACACAGCTGTAGAGCAGATTCGCAGAAAACACCCGCCCAATTCCCGCAGCTGATTCTACTCAAGAGATAATTTGGAGTTGTACTCACGTTTTCTTACGTGGATCTTCCATGATTCTCTCATGTCGTGATCCTTGGCTTGGATATACAGATGAAACATCTTCCCTTTTTCCAAATACCCTACCTGCAGCACGGAATATACAGTCAATCACCATTAAACATAATTAAAACATAATTAAAACATAATTAAAACATAATTAAAACATAATTAAAATATAATTAAAACATAATTAAAACACAATTAAAACATAATTAAAACATAATTAAAACTTTGACTCTATATCCACAGTTATTCACCATGGATTTGTTTGTTATTAAATAGTTTTTCATAAATTTTTGGATTTAGATTAATTCGATGTAATGGGTCCAAGTTACTGCGGACATAGTTCACTATGTGTTTACCGTGTTTGGGTGCCCATCATATTTTACAGATGGGGGCGATATTTTGAACGATTCTATTTTATATTCATCTATTGCTGTACTCTGTAAAATTTGAAAAGTATTTAATAAAAACATAATTAAAACATAGTTAAAACATAATTACAGGCTCTAATAATGTAGTTTTACGAAGAACTCAAGCCTCATATTGCATGTTTTCCTGCGCGTGTCCAAATGCAACATATAATTAGAACATAAGATGAAATATTGTCAAACAAATTAAAGACCATAATGATATAAAATAAACTAATATTAAATGAGCTGACTTAGTTAATAGAGATATAAGTGTGCACTGTGCACCTGAAAGACGTGGGGGCGGTTAAAGGAGCATTCCTCAACGTCCTCACAGATCTTGATACCCATCACACTCACGCTACCACGTGTCTGGAGTAGTTTAACAGTCAATATTAACATTTTATAAACACTAGTTTAACAGTCAATATTAACATTTTATAAACACTTTTATTTAATAATTGATTTGGGTGGTTCTGATTAAACTTATCAACGTAATTCCTTGGCCAACTTTTAGGCTGATAGATAAATTGGGAACATTAAGTCTACCTGTTTTCCATCTTTACTTTTGTATACCAGCTGATGCTTGTACAGAACGAACATTCTTGTCTGGAACTTGGCGACGGTTGTGGCTTTCTTCATCATTCGTCTCTTCTGCATCTCATCTTGAATTATTGGTGGCAGCACTTTGGTGGCTGCTGCCATTTTGCTCATGCTCTTCTTGCTGCAAGGAGAATTACGGAGGTCATTTTCGTTTTCGACTTTCAAAGTCAAACAAAGAATGTTATTTACGGAGACTAATTTGTCCCTGATGTCCTACTTATAATAATAATGGATTTTACTGGTAATTTATCAAATTATCTTATTATCAATGTTACTTTAATTCGTATTAGAGCTTAGAGCCAAAGTCAGCGGCTCCATTTCAACAAAAATGTTAGTAATTTTGAGAGGAAGGTGCGATGAGAACTAAGCAAATAATAGCAAAAATAATAGCGGGACTGCTATAAACAAGATGAGGAGAGTGTGTCGTGATGGAGGAAGTTCAAAAGCAAAAGTTGGAGCTTCTTAGTCTTCCCTGGCGCTGTTTACTTATTAACAATAATACCCTCAATGCTATGAAACTTCTGAATAATATGTAAAAACCGGTACAATTCGTTAATTACCTAAGGACATAGTTTACATTTAAACATAGTTTTATTACATGCGTATTACTTAAATCGGAATCGCAAATATAATAAGGAAGGTCGTGTCCCATTGACTTAGCGAATATTTAATATACAACAATTAAATAAACTACACCATATGAACAAACTACAGCTGAATAAAGAACATAATATAAACAAACTATAGTCGAATAAGCTACATATTAACAAACACGATAGTAAGAACACATGTCACACTCCAACATGTTAAATGCTGCACCCACGAATACTCAACCCTCATATGTTCTGTCTACTGTAGTGTAAAAATGTTAACAATGTTGTAGTCATGGTTAACAATACTGTATGCTCGTGATGGAGAAGGTTTAGAATATCTAAGTACTCAGTACTTATAGTAGGTGCAGCCAATGCATGTTCGAGTTGGCAAAATCACGAGGTTTCTTTATGTCGAAACTACAATATTTACGGCTATCCTGAAATCTGGAGGAATAAACGGACAATCTGATTAATAACATTATAATGTTATTAATCAGATATAGAGAGGAACTTAAAATGGACATGGAACTTCAAATAATATCCATTACTATTGTCGCCATTCTTCTATAACATTGTTGTATAACATTGTATAACATCCATAACAACCTTTAGTCGATAATTTTGCTAAATGTGAAAATGATGGCGTCGAATGGCGTCCCCAGTATAAGTAACAATTGAAAAAGATAAATATTTGCTACATAGCCGGCTAAGCTAGACACAATATCGTGTGTAAATTATTATCCACAAAATAAGCAGATCAAAAGACAAATAACTACATAATTGCTGCACACCTGCAGTGAGAGCTACCAAGAGAAGGTACATTTTGCAGTTCAAGCAGGTGTGTGTTGCAAGGGGGTGTGACTATTGTTTCAACATATACCTGTGTTCTGGACACACTACATATTTCCAACAAAGCTGGGAGAAGGTAAAGGGAATGAAATGATCACATAATTCCTGCTGTATGTAGCGGCTGCAGGACGCAGGTCGGAACAAACAATTCTACTTCCTCTTAGCAGGAAGATATTGCAGATACGAGGTAGTGTGTTGTGATACCGCAGGTTGGAACGGTGCCACGATTGAGTGGTGGAGTGGCAGACAAGAACTGAGAGTAAAATAATGTGGAATTACCTACTTGACCACTAGTAATCGTGCATTGCGTAAAGAAAACCAAAAACAGTCAAGTCACAAATGTCAATTAAGAGAGAAACCTCAAACCAGACCAGCAAAAAGCACATCTCTTTATCCAACACTGTATGATAAAATGATCCACAATTGTAAATATACCCTCTATAATTGTGACCCAAAAGCCGCCAGGCATTGACTGCAATTACTGCAAGGGAACGATAACGTGAGGAACTGGATTGCAGAGGCATGAGGACGAAGGATCAATGTTATCAGTTTGATGAAGTTAAACAATGATGGACACTAATATCCGAAAGTCAAAAGTGCATCGTCAGGACAGATTAATGTCCTCTCTGCCCCCTACACAATAAACTGATGTCGCCGTGCTGTACTTGCAGATGTCATAAAATATCGGGGCACCTATCAGATTTCCAAATACCTATCTTGACCACGCCACCTGGTTATTGCTCATGTAAAATCGAAATCTTTAAACTTGGAAATGTTTCGATGAGTAGTAACCTATAACATGTATATATGTATACTAGAAACCCGCTAGTCGAAAGCTTTGTTCGAGGAAATTTCAAAAATAACGTTGTTATAATTTATCTTCATCATCTAGCTCTGTATACTGTAAAAAGTATGGATTTTATTCGACAATGACGAAAACGTTTTAAGTTAGTACCTAAGTATTCAGATTCCCTAAACGATACTTTTTACCGCATCAAAAATATCAATTACAACAAGTCATGAATATTTATACCGTCCGTTGCCGGTGGAATGTCGTCAAGTTTAAAATATAGCATAGATATTAGTTATGTATAACCTAAATAATATTTATAACATACTAAATATATCTTATCGAATATTTTTCATAATACGTTATCTAACGTTGGACTCATGTTATTGTTATTAGACACTTCGTCGAGCTCTGTTCTGTAACGCCCACGTTACAGAACAGTTGTAATTAAAAATTTTAACCAGTTAACCTGATTAATGATTTTCTACTTAAACTTTTGCTTTTACATTTAATGTATCAGTATGAGGTTGGTATATTGCATGCAAAAGATCAAAAACAAAAAAGAAAGTTTACCTCAAATCAGCTGGGACAATTGGTAAAATTTGGCCATGGGAAATGCAGTGGCATAAAATTTAAAGGAAAACGAAACAGCCAAATTTGGTTCTGCTTTCGTTTCAAGCCTGAAGGATTGATAGAAACTCTGAAAATGTTGTTTAAAATTAAGTGAAATAATTGGTAAGAGATTAGAGACCTGATCTAGAGAAGATGTGCCGCATGCAGCTGAGTAAGAATTTATGATAGCAGCCGTCTCAGATATAGGAAAAGAAAATGTTATCTTAGTGAGGCTAAAATTCCATTTTAAATTCTATGAAAGCTGCAAGCAGACTGCCGGCTGTTAAATGCCCAATAGATTGTGCATGTCAATGAGAAATAGTCTTTTTGAACTTCAACGTTCAAGATATTGTAGTCGTGGAAATAACAATATCAGATATGGAGGGAGTACACGAGACAAAAATCACATTGGAATAACTGGTCACTATTGCTGAAAAGCAGAATCAAGAATACAGAATGTCAGTGAAAATGGTGATCTGAGTAGTGAGTAGCAATGTATGGGTTGGCAGTCTGTATTCAGAAGAACTGATTGCCTGTTCCAAGGAAAAATCTTACAGTTTATACAATATCTTCGGTATAAACTATACAAATTATCTTACATGGAAGTAAAATTTGATGATGCAATTTTCCAGGGTAAGTTTGTGCAAAAATATCATCAGATTACGTAATAGCCATTACCTGTTAATAAATACAACATCACGACATCAGCTGAGTCTAGCATGACACAATATCTTTTAAAAATTTAAGTTGATAAGTTATTTTATCTCAATAACAGTTACTAGAGTTCTGAACCCAACCCAGAACACCATAACCTCAGAAGTTGACATGTCATTTGAACACTCACCAGTCACCAAGGTACAAACCCATCGTTGATTATTTGGAATGATCTCATCCCCTATGTATTCGAAATATGTAATGCTAATGAAAATGGGATAATAATCCCGGGTTCTTCCAAAAATTCAGACTTATCAGCCTCGTCAGGTATTATTAAATCTAACCTTAAAAAGCACTTGCTATCCCTCCAAAATCGAGGTGACCCTAATATATGGTAACTAATCTATATTATATCTCAAATTCTACATCCGGTACGGCTCTGCACACATAATATCTCTCTCTCTCTGCCATGAAACATGGCTAACCTTTCAAACTATGATTTAAAACATAAACCTAGACTAAAACTCAACTGGGCTCTCCTATGTCACCAAACTAGACCAATAAGCAATTTTAGCTTAGATAATTATATTTTTCTATATTTGTATAATAAGTATATTGACGTAGTATAGTGGATGGTTGAGGGGGTTTCAAGCACAGGTCACTCTCAAATCCTAAAGATAAGCAGTGGCCTTCGGCACTTGAAACCTCTTCAAACCTCCCCTGATTTATTTATTATTGATATTGTTTGATTGTGCCGTAAAAATAAATATTTGTTTTACATTTTATTAAAAATATTTGTTTTATTATTCAGATATCAAGGAGCAGGAGGCAGTTGCAGTAGTCACGTGTCCTGGAGTCACGTGACCTGGAGTCAGTTCTGTAGAAGTAACTTGTAACTCTGTAGAACTAGAAGTAACTTGTATCTCTGTTGAAGAATCAAAACTCATAGTGATAATGGTGTTATACTTATAACTTGTAAATTGAATCATGAATACAGAGTGAATGTGACTAATAGGGGTGACTATATTTGTCCTACCTTACGAGACATATTTATGTTCGACATAATTCCGGTGACCTAAATGATTTGGGTACGAATTACTGGGCTGCGCTCAGCCTGTCATTCCGCCGAATCTTTTTTCATATGTTTATCATTATGAACATGATAGCCTGAGGTCCCCAGGTTGCAGGTAAGGTACGAAAATATGGAAATTTGTTCCGAAAACTGCAACATTTCGTACTCCAAATTAAATCATGGTATTTGGGATTTTTTTCATTTCCTTATTTTACAAAGATTAACCCCAATATTTGAGAAAATTAACAACAAATATTTTCTCTGATAAGCTGTTTCATTTTGTAAACAATTTCTCCGGGGCCAGTACAAACATTATTTTCACGGCCGACATAATTATTCACGCTAAGGTCTTCAGCGTGAAAGTAATGTCCGTGACAATCATGTCCGATAAGGTGAGTTATTGGATATGGCGATATGTTAACTGAATAAGATAATAATTGCATAAAATAATGTGCATTAAAATAGGTGACGAGTTTGTACTTGTAGGTTTATAACCTACCAGGACGCGCGCCGAGTTGGACAAATATTTTACGAGTATCACCCGTTAAGTGACGAGTATAACAAACAAAGGTTAGGTGAAATTGTAGGATGATGCATGTTGCATGTTTATTAGTATTACTAGTTCAACATTTAGGACCGTGTTTGGTTCCGCCTTCGTGTTCATGATAAACTTAAAGCGAGTCATTTGATCGTTTCCACTCTCCCGTCCTCGTGTCCGCACCCTTTTAGAAAAGTTCCGCCCTTGTTTCCTTACCCTCCGACCCTCGTGTCCTCCGCCCTCGTGTCCCGTTTCCGACTGTTTATCTGGTCTAAAAACTTTTTTTCGCGTCGCGAGCCTCACTAATATTTGCTATAGACAATAGACATAGTGCTATGGTCATAGATCAAACTTTCAAAGTTGAGTACCTTCACCTACATTTGCGAGTGACTTCAGACTTGTCTAATGTCTAACTCTAAGGGGCCATCTAATTAGGACGTCCGCCCCCCCCCAGGCCCACCGTACCCCGGCACCCCCTCCGGCCCCCGGACGTCCGGATTTCCAGCTACTTTTAAGAGTACAAATAAAACCAACTCAAATTCATTGCCAAAGAGTTGAAATAAATGAGGCTTTTTCGTTAATTCTGCCAAAATTTCCGGACGTCCGGATTTTCAGAAACCACCCCCTCCCCCTAGCCTGTCCGGATTTGTCCTAAATTCCAAAACCACCCCCCCCCCCCCCCCCCCCCCCCACCCTTTTTGCCGGACGTCCTAAGTAGATGGCCCCTAATATATAAGGCTAATGTTTAACTTTAAGTACTGATACAATTCATTGACAAAAGTAAGTTCCGAATTTCGGCTCCCATCCAAATTATCGACCAATTCATGTAACTTTTTAATAATTTGTAATTGCATTTGTTCACTTTCTGTTATTGTTTTGTAGGTTTACAACCTATAACCAGGACGCGCGCCGAGTTGGACTTGTCGACGGTCCTGTTATGTATATGAATTAATATGGAACAGATATTTTACGAGTATCACCCGTTAATTATTCATATTGTTAAACGTTCCCGTTTTTTAATAGGTGAACCCGGATTTTTGTTCTATTTATTATTTATCATTTATATCCGTTTAATCATTAATAGTAATAGTATTAGTATACGCACGAAGAAATACAACTAATATTTTTGTACTACACTGCAATTATTAGATAAACAAATTGATTAATAAAATAAATAATTTTAGTTTATAAGTATAACCTAACATCATGCATTTTTAATGATTTGTAGGTCTAAGTCTAACTTTATAACCTATAACTTGACCATTGTTAATGGTCTGGCCCGGCGCGCGCTACTTCGTAGCTCGTGCCATCGGGCCATTTCGAGAAGAAAGCGGCGCGCGCTACTTCGAAGAAATTTAGACGAGGAACATCCGTCAACCTATTATATATAACAAGACGCGCGCCGAGTTGGACTCGTCGACGGGCTAATATATCTGAAACAAATATTTTACGAGTACAGAGTATCACCCGTTAAATTAACGGGTGATACTCGTAAAATATTTGTTTCAAATACAGGACCGTCGACGAGTCCAACTCGGCGCGCGTCCTGGTAGGTTATAATTATAAATGATAAACCTACAACCGTTAAACGGTCTTGGAACAAATATTTTACGAGTATCTATTTTATCACCCGTTAATGATAATATTAAAATTAAATGCAATGCATGGGTCATCGGTATAATACTACATCGGTAGTACTTTAAGTACTATATAGTACTAATAATTATGAAATATTTTATATGAAAAATGTATTCTTCATTCATAATCATATCTACAAAACTTCTATTATTGTTAATAATAATGGACCAAATAATCGAAATTATTTTGGACACTGATTTTTTAACCCTTTGCACAATTTGCATCTGTTGCCCCATAACAGTGATACAAGGCGATGCAACATTCGAATTCCCTCGTTGATTTCGATTCTTTGCATTTACCGGATTTCTTCTTGCACTCTGAAATCGAGATATTTCGTCAGTGTCAAAAGTATGTTACAGTTAACGTACAAATACAATGATAACAATGCTTTAATGCTGTTCGTAAGTATTCATAATAAATACTTTGTACAACATACAACTAAGTACTAAATGCTTACTGCATACGTGCAAATCAATTGTAGAATACTTACGGACGAAGGAGGTGTTCTTATTGAACGAGTTCAAATCCTTGAATTGCGTGCAGTTCGTATCGTACATTTTCTTAGCCTTTTCTAAGCACCTGCAATTCTCACCTCGGTCGCGACCCCAGACTGTTGTTTTCATATACGTATAGAGATCCGACACACTAATGGAGCAATTAACTTGATCTGAAACTTCAAAGCCCGATTAGTCATGAAATGTAATATATATAATATAACATAAACATAATATTTATATATAATATTTATATCTTTTAATGTTTATAAACATTAAAAAATTAAACACCCTGACCCGGTTCACCGCATACTTTTATTTGCCAGAAATTACTTATTTTCCTGATACAAGTTTTATATTGTATTAATTAATTTAGACACGTATGTAAATTGTAAACATAAAAATGAGGGATCTTTGTTTATAATAAATAAATACTTTATATATTACATCAGCTCATGATTTGATTTCTAGTTAATTATTTATTGCAGTAATGTTAAAAGTATTAAATCTTTATTTGCTATTGAACTCAGGCTGCACCACCACGATTCGGGGTTCAGTTTAAGTTTAACTTTCTAGTCGATAATTAGAGCATTTCTACCGTAAAGAGCTGCTAAGTGCTAGTTAAGTGCAACATATCTAATTACCGTCAGAGACAATTTCTTTATAAAACCTATGAGCCATGTTAGTTGAAGTAAGGAGGATGCAACAACGTGGTGATTGATACTGGAAGTAGTACATTTGGTGTGGGATTGAAATGATTTATTGATAATTTAATTACTCTGATAATGTTGATAATGTTGATAACGTTGATAGTGTTACGTACTCTGAACAGCAAGTTGCGCCTCCTCCACATCTATGGTTGACACCACAAGGGCAGCAGATGCTACGAAAAACAGGATCAAAATCACAGACGAATTCATAGTGGACAAGTTCGTAATATAATGAAATATGTTTTGGAAGTGGAGGTAATATACCCGTGATGGCGTGATCTTCTCTGGCGCGTTGGTTTGGTTAGTGGTTCCTTCTCCGAGAATTAGATTTCCTAATTTGAGTTTAACAGGAACACGTTTCACATCCAACTACTAAAACTGTACTCAAACTGTTGGTTTGGTTAGCGTTTCCTTCTCCCAGAATTAGATTTTCCTAATTTGAGTTTAACAGGAACACGTTTCACATCCAATTACTAAAACTGTACTCAAACTGTTGGTTTGGTTAGCGTTTTCTTCTCCCAGAATTAGATTTTCCTAATTTGAGTTTAACAGGAACAAGTTTCACATCTAACTTGTAACTACTCAAACTGTACTCAAGTGTAATTTACAAATATCCTCGGCCAAAAATATTCTAATTTTCGTAAAATATTCTGAAAGGAATAATTATAAACCCTAATTTATGATTCAGAGCTAGTAACCCTCCACTCAACGGATATAATATACATATTTAACGTGTTTAAGGGAAATAATCAATAATCTCTCGAAATAAGTTATCTTCCCAATGGGAATCACTGTTTGATCACTTACACGGTGGATCAGAGAAAGCTTATGCAAACTGAGAACTGATACGATGATATTTTCAAACAAACAATTGTATTAACTTAATGTATTGGTAAACATTACAAAATTCACAGTTAAATAATCTTCAATAACCAATGAGCTTGATCACTATTTAGTGTGATCTGCTTTTAAAGGGTCACAGTATGGGTCACATACATTAGGTCACTCTTAAAATAGTAGCCCTAAACAGGATTCGAATGAACCATTGCATTTCGCTGAAGTCTGATTTGTTCCATGCAAAAAAAGTAAGCCTATTCTTTAAACAGGCCATCCTTAAAATTCTAATTTCTAATATTAGTTAAGTGGTACCTACTCAATTAAATGTTAGGGTGACACTTTAAATTTAAAGCAACGAATTTAATCAGACCACTTTAATATCTAATTGTAAAGTGTTGCGTCGTTAATCTATATATAGATTTGTAATTGCAATAGTAATTGTATATATACACAATTACTGTTAATTCTAAATAAGCATAATCTGATGTAAGTATAATTCTGATAAAAAGTTAAATATTGACTTGGTTAAATTCCGATAAAATGGTTGTCTGAAATATTTTTGAGGAAATGCTTTACCTTACTTCTTACATTCTCAGCGAACAACTATTCATCAAGTGCTGGACATCTCAGATTTTCATAACTGAAAAACTCCAAAGCGTATTGCAGTAAACTACTATGGCACCAAAAAACAACAAGCCATCCAATCTAACAGTAAACAATCAAATAATAAAAGTAAACAAAATTTCTAAAACAAGAATTGTAATTATTTAGATAGAAAATTCCACTACAATACGTAACAAACAAGATATTAAATCGTTATAGCGAAGGAATAAGATCAGACCGTCTTGATCATACACAATACATATCCCACAAACCAAAGATCTGAATTTTGATATCAAACATGGTCAATTACACCAATCAAACTTTGATGGATGGTTTAATGTTCCACAAAGTCAAAGTTTTCTAGTTTGTCTTCTCTTTGATCGGTTTCCTCTTCTCCCTGACACGAAGCCACATGAATAAGACAGAGAAGGCGAGGAAGCCAGCCGACAGTAGCAATATCGCTACAAAGTCTGGGAACCACACGTCATTCTGAGGGGTAGCAAGTTATTAACTAGTAGTTTTAACTCTTTTTAAAGGAGAGGGGTAGCTAAGGGGATTTTTAAATCCGTGCCTCTATTCCCCGAGAGTTTCCACGCCAACTGGCGGGAGCTCTAAACACACTTCGCGCCTCGTTGTGTGAATCCGGTGACTAGTGGCGGGAGCTCTAAACACACTGTGCCTTTTGACCCACGCCATGTGGCCCGTCGCACATGGCGTAGTGTGGGCAGGAAATCCGTGCCTCTGAATAGAGGCGCGGATTTGCTAAATCCACGCCAAGTGGCACAGTGTGTTTAGGTTAATCGGGTCATGTGGCCCGTCGCCACATGGCGTAGTGTGGGCAGACGGGGGGGGGGGGCAATGACTACCAATGGAGACTTTTGGGGACTAATGGGGACTAAAAATCATGGGGACTAGAGGTCAACTCGTTGACGTAATTCACCATTTGTCCCCATAAGTCCCCAGAATTTTTGACAGTTATTTATGGTTTTCAAGTTAGTTTAATAACGATACGATCGAGATGTTTTGTCCAAGATAAGAGTAGGATAAATCTAAATGGGGACTAATGGAGACTTTTGGGGACTAATGGGGACTAAAAATCATCTAAATGGGGACTAATGGAGACTTTTGGGGACTAATGGGGACTAAAAATCATGGGGACTCTGGGTAAAATCGTTGACGTAATTCCCCAAGTCCCCAAAAGTAGTCATTGCCCCCCCCCCCCCCCCCCCCCCCCCCCCCCCCGGGCAGACCCTTACTATTATGTATATAGTACTTGTCAGTATTGTGGGTGGTGTTGTATACTGTTTAGACGGCATTATCTCTAAACCCACATAATCTAATCCCTTTTTTGAGGAGAGTTCTGGAGAGGAAGACGTTGCAAACAAGAAATATATTTAACATTATGCGTAACATGTGTAAAGGTGTAAGATGTTTGCCATATTTCGTACAAATTGTGTTTCCTGTTGCTGATTGATCAAATACTCACTGCATCGAGATGGTAATAGCTGAGAACTTGGTTGCCGTCCTTGAATACACATAGACTCTCTGGAACTTTGTCACACTCTGCCAGAAAATAATTATCAAAGTTTCAAAGGTCAGCTAGTCGTGTAGCTTTACCTAAGTAAAGTAAGTGTGGTTGTTCTGTTCGAATGTGAACGTTACATTTAAATAAAGGTCTGACATATGAAGTTAAATTGCAGCAACTACATCATTATACAGTTAAAAAACACATTTAGTTGATGAAACAAATGTGGAATAAATAACTAACTGATTTCAGCGTCCTCAAACTCGCTAATAAGGACCATTCCAAAGGCGTACTTGAACCAAGATCCATACTTTATAGGGTAGAAGTAGTACGGGGTAGACCTGATGAGAAACATGTAATACAGTAGACAAGAAGGTACATTAGTAGGTACCATCTCAAAAACAGGTCTTAATAAAATTCCTGTTCTTACTTCTTAGTTATAACTACAACCAGCTTAAAACTAAAAGTCAGATACTAATTAACCTAATTACTAACGCTTCATTTTGATAGAGTCCGCCAAACAAGAAGAAAGGCAGGATAATGAGAGGCGACAAAGCAGCTGATATGACGGGACTACCAGAGGCAGTTCCAACAAAGTACCCCACAGCTGTTGAGACTACAGACACTGCTAGACATGCTGCGTAGCATGTGAAGAATGCCACTACATTTCTTCTTAGTCCTGGTATGTGTGATCAGGGCTTAGTCGGGGGTTTGGGTGGTATTTATACATTCCAAACTGAACTCTCTACACCTAAATATTATGATAAAGATTAAACACTTATTTTCTAGGGTTCGATAAAACACGTTATTTGTATAAAGTTAAGTTGGTACCTGCCATGAGCCAGGTAATGACCCACTGTATAAGTGTCAGGACTATTAGATAGGGCATCTGAAATAATGGTTCATCGTTAATTGGAAAACGAACAGTCTTATAATATCTGAACCTATGGGAACTATAACATCATTAGGGGGGGGGGGGGGGGGGGGGGGGTCATATATAACCTTGTTCTTCTGGAGATTATAATCTGAAGAAAGAGTTTCACCTCTAAAGTAAAGCGAGGTATGAGAGCCCCCATAATTCCGTACATTCCATTTCTGTACTCCCGTTTTATAATCGGTAAGTCTTCTGGTATTGTCTGCGGAGAATGAATAGTTTTACCTTATATTGATGATTAATATATTATGTTATGATAATAACTCAACACAACTGACAACTCAATAATTAACATGTCAGTGACTACAAAAGTAACCTAGACGAAACAGGAATTTACCGATCCTTGAAGGAAGACGTTGGAGAATGTGATGGAAGTAATGAGGAAGAAGAGAAGTCCACTCTTATCTTGAACGGACTCTTGTCCATTACCCGTGTTGAAGTAGGCTAATCCACCCAGTAAAGATATCACCTGAGAAGGTTATCGACCTTTTAGTTTGAGTCATTTTTTAATGTATACAGAGTACTTGCAATGTGGGCCACGATATCAGGCATATTTTTTAACATTTGCTGATTAACCGATTAACTGATTAAAATTACAGATAAATATTATGATAAATATTCAGTTATTACTAAATACTAATGTTACTTACAAGGGCTTGAACTAATCTAATTTTGGTATAGCCAGGATTTCTGGTTACATTCTTCCAGGATCTGCCAAAGTTAGCCGACATTTGTGTAGAGAATATGCTCCTGGATCTAAGAAATTAGAGGAGTTAATTATTAGAGAATTAGTTTGTGATTTGTGTCCCATAATTCAGCAAAACTATCAACAAGGGAATAAGTGATCGGGCATAATTTAATGATGCAACCAGGAGGATATGTTTGATTCCTAGTCCTATGTAGGGTATGTAAGGGGTCGTTCACATATTACGTAATCACTTTTTGAACAATTTTTACCCCCCCCCCCCCCCCCTGCGTAATCAGTTTTACACAGCTATTGTGTCAAAATTACACTAGCGTAATCATTTGAAACCCCCCCCCCCCCCCCCCCTCGGCTGATTACGTAATATGTGAACGACCCCTAATAAGCATAAATCAGATTACATTCCTGTGTATTTTCTGAGACTTTTTCCCAATCCAATAGCTTATTGAGTATCAGGTGATCAAGACGTATGATCGATTGATTGTGTTAACAAATACTGATTTACACTCTGTTGACTGTTCAGATAAACAATTATTCTCAACACTCACCCTTCCAAATTAGTCTTAACATCTGATTCATTCTGTGCCTCTTTCTCCACAACCGCGATGTTTTTCTTCAATGTGGCAAGCTCTTCCGATTTAGCGAACACACCCGTAACTTCCTGCAATTTTAAGTTCATGAAATTATGTTGGATTATAATCGATAGGGTTGATTTACAGTTTATTTTTATTCATTAAAAAAAGATACAGCGAGTTATTTATAATGTTTATGTCTAATGTCTATTATGACTAACAAAACAGTTAGAATTTTAACTTAAACTTACGTCGACTCTTTTTCTGCATTCTTCTTCCTCTCCAGGGACAATGGCCAAAGTGAAGATATAGTGATCAGCCGGATTGTAGTTATCTGGACAGGGGTAGTTGACGGACTTGAAAAACTTGAGAGCGTCAGCACTGTCCCCCGTAAACGCGCATTTCCCCTCAGCAACCAGGTACAGCCTGTAATAATAAGAATATGAATTTTGTGTTGGATCATTTTTATTGGGATACACTTACAGCTGTTGAACGGCCATGAGAGAACCTAATTTTTTCAACCGTCTTCAAATTTGACTCCAATTATGGGATCATGACAAATGACTCAACGGCGTAATACCTTCTGGTTAATTTCTAATATTTTTATGCGTCATTCAATTAGACTGCGGAAAAAATTGTTCAGAATAAACCGTTTACACTCGGAAGAAAAAAAATTACAGTATTTCATGGTCGGTTAATCTAAAATACTACATGTTTTGCCAGTCAACAAACATCTTGTCCGAGTGATACTGGACTTGGAAGAGAAGGCTGGAACAGTTTTACCTCATCCATAGCCTGTCATGAGACACACCGTCACACTTCTCGCAAGAGTGACAGTTAATCCTTGACAGTCTTCCTGCCTTACAACTGATAATCCACCTGTCTCAAACACCAGGAGCAAGGCACGTGGTCAGGTGTTTAGTCACGTGATACAGCTCTTATCTCCTCATTGGACAGCAGATATTGGAGTAAAAGCAGAGAGATTGTAGACAAGCTTTCATTTCTCGTTTGACGATGACGCTTCAACTGCAGTTTCAGTTTTACAATAAACTTAAAAACACCGCAGCTGATAAGGAGGTAGGTTCTGTTTTTTACCCAGTTTCTAATTTCTCTTTAGGATATCAAGGCTTTTAAATGCAAACTGTCAAAGACACTGTTTCCTTCAACGTTTTTACTTTGATGTAGGAACTTTATTTATTACCACAGATTTTCATATAATGTTTGGAGAATTGAACTTGTGGTCGGATGATAATATTTATATGACATTTGACATTATCGACAGGTATTGGAAGTAATCACAGGTTACAAGGTACAATCATGGATAGACAAGGATCCTCTGCAGATAGTCGACCTAGTCAAGGTAAGTTTTAGAATATATCCGTCATTACACCAATAATTGTAGAAAAGAGTAACATTTTGAATTGAAATTTGTTTCACATTTTACATAATACAGTGCAGCGAGAATTGATATTTGAGCACAGTTTATGATTATGGAATGATTAACGAATGTTTAGCGATCATATCTTCATAGAAACCGGGGAGGGGAGACCAGGACGCGCAAGACAAGACCATGCTGAACGAGATTATCAACCATCTGTCTTTCTCAACTTCTTTCCGTGGGTGGATGTCCTTCCCTGACTACGGCACCTCAGCTCTCTACTATACCCCATGTCTAGAGGTCGAACTTAGAGGTGAGTCACATTGAGTTAACAAGATACAACTATTTAAGTATTTAACTATAAACTAAGGGTTGTGTTTTGCTCTGCTGGCACATTAGATATTTAGTTTTTAACACTCCGTCATTTCATTCGTTACTACAAAGTACACTTTAGCTCGTTAAATTTAAAATGCACTTTCGTACAATTACAGGGGGGGGGGGGGGGTCCGAAAGTCAGTGTGCAAACGTTGGGTCTTATACCTCCACCGTGTTTTATATTTGAGAGTTGTTGCTTTGCATTTGGCATACTGTACCTACTTGTTCGATGATTCCGTTACAAAAATTTGAATATTTTAGACCACGCCCATTCAATATGAAAACACCTATATTGTTCTGGTGACAAATTCCTCGAACCAGTGGTGGTAGTTAGTCATACCAGAAAGAATTATTTCAATTGGACAGTCAGTGACTGAGCTATTAAGGTTAACGTTTGTACACTAACTTTCGGCCCACCCCTCCCCCCCCCCCCCCCCACCCCTGTATATAAATATGTTGCGGAAAAAGTAGTGGCCATTTTCAAAGGTATGTCAACTTCTGCTCCAAACGGCCTTCCTAGTTGAAGTTTTTGGGAGCAATGTGGGAAACCTCCCTCCCCAATCCCCATGATGACATTTACATTTAGTTGAACGTATAATTAACAATTCCGAACACTAAAAAGGTTCACTATTCAGGGGTGGAATTTTGTTCGATGATCACTCCCTTTGAGATCTACCCACACTTTGATACACTAAGCTCTGAGGATTGTAAGATATTGGCTGTGTTCGAACATGACATACAGAGGATAATGATCTACATCTGCAAGGAAGGCTCCGTGTGGAACAGGATCTACCTTCACTATGATGATCTGGAGAATCACGTCGTTCAGCAGGTATGTTATTTCTTAGTCCCTGTTTCCCTTTCTTCTATTTTATGTTTTTCTAATTTCTGTTTTATTTAATCTCGATGAGATTAACATTTAATTAATAGCAATTAAACGAGCTGGACGCTGGTAGTGGTAAGAGATCGTAGGCTTATATAGGGTTAGCTGATGAACAATGAACAATGAACATTCGATATTTTCGTCCAAACTGCGATAGTTTAACAAGTACAACTCAGCTTATTTTACCTATCACGCATAATATTATAATTAGTAGATGTTGGTAAAGCAGGAATCTTAATTATTTCTTATTTAATTTTATGACCTAGATAACTGAAAAAGACACTACCCGTCTGGTACTTTGTCTGAAGTGCTGCCCCTCATTCTGGCAGTCACTACCCGAGGTATGCATCTCAATTCTCATTTATTTTCTGGTACAATTTACTCACATGCCTATAATTTAACTGTAGTGAAAAAGATATCACAATAATTCAGCACGGACTCAGTAATGATTCATCGAGTCGATGATTTAATATTCGATAGAAGTATTTAGCTTTTTATGATTATAATTTGTGAACCATTCTCGACAGACGGTTGCCCAAAAAAGAAAGAAGCTCTCCCGAGACCACTGTGCCGGCGATCAGCTGGAAAAGAAACTGCGTCTAAAGACCCCCTGGACAAGAATAAGGACCCTGACTGATGATGAGGAAAAGTGCGACATTCCAAAGTGCTCCACCCTCGTGTTGACATACCCAACAAACGGCTCAACACTCAGCAGGATCGTGTCCGGGTTCAAGAAGCACAAGTACCAGTGTTACTTCACCAAGTTTGATGATCTGAGGTACCCGGAGAACGGTATGAGGGGGAATGGAAAGTGCTGGATCGAACGGCTGATGGAGAGCAACCCACTGCACCTTGACAATATAAACTTGAGATATTCTCTAAAATGTCTGGAATCTCTGGGCTTCCAGTTTTTGGACAAGCTTCACAAGACCTCTACAGAACATAAGAATTCATTCTTTAGATTCCTTCAGCAAAAGATAAAGGAAAACGATGTTGAAAGAATTGACTTGGTCACCCAGACCATTTTCAAGCTGGTGCAGGCTTTTGACAAAGACCCATTCTTGGACCCAGCAACTGTCTTCCAACTGTACTTTGACAAGGTTGACGTGAAGCCGTTCAACGTAGAGTCCCATTACCAATTTATCAAGAGGATAGTAGTTACGCCGTCTAGAACCATCTTTGTGCCACCAGAGCCCATCGCTATAAACAGAATTCTTCGTCAGCACATAATGTACGTGGAGAATTTTGCTAGGGTCTGCTTCAGAGACGAAGACTTCTCTCAGTTCAACGTACATTCGGAGCAAGCGACATACAACGTTCGGAAAGTTATAGATGAGGGAATCAGGATCTCGGATGACATCGTGTTCCAGTTCTTAGCGTGCTCCAACTCCCAACTAAGATCGCAAGGACTCTGGTTGTTTTACCCACAGTGTCCCATCACAGTTGAGTCCATCAGGGATAGCATTGGAGAGTTGAACAAGATGAAGACAACCCAAAAGTACGTGACTAGGATGGGGCTCGCTTTCACAGCAACTGACTTCTCCTTGTCTGAAGAAGTTGAAATCCAGGAGATTCCAGAAAAAGAGAGGATAGTTGGGAACAAAAGGTTTATCTTTAGTGATGGAGTAGGCTGTATCTCACCAGGAGTAAGGGACCTTATCGTGAAGGAGAAGTATGGGTATCAAGCTGACTATAAGCCAATAGCATTCCAAGTGCGGGTCGGAGGATGCAAGGGTATGGTTGCTGTAAACCCAGATCTAGATGGCCTACTACTTCAAATCCGTCCCAGCATGAAGAAGTTTGAGTCTACTCACAAGCAGATAGAGCCATGTGGGTACTCGGGGCCCAGAGAGTTGTACATGAACAGACAGGTAATAGCTATCTTACGGGCACAGGGGGTCCCAGACAACAACTTTATCTCCCTGCAAAACAAAAGTCTCATAGAGATAGCAGACATGTTGACTAAAGAACCACTTGCCTGCCACGAAATGGGATCAATGCTGAGGGTCAGGGTGTCTAATCTTGAGAGAAGTTCCATCAGAATAACAACAGAGCCATTCCTGCGAAGACAGCTTGTTTCTCTCTACAAGTTTAAGGTTCGAGATGCACTAAACAAGACTCGCTTTAGGATCGACATTGACAAAGGCAGACAAATGAAGGGAATCATGGACGAGACAAACACTCTCAACTATGGAGAAGTGTTTGTTCAGTACACCGAACTCAACGGGACTAACTTGAAAAGAATCCTTATAGGCGACCTGTTTGTCACTAAAAATCCATGTCTCCATCCAGGTGACCTAAAACGAGTCCGGGCCGTTGACGTTCCAGAGCTTAGGCATCTGTATGATGTTGTGGTGTTCCCTTCAAAAGGACAAAGGCCCATACCTAACGAACTATCAGGTTCAGATCTTGATGGTGATGAATATTTCGTATGTTGGGAGCAAATGCTGATGCCAAAGAAAGATTGCGAGGCTGCTGAGTACTATGTTGAGAAATTAGATCCGATAAAAGACTCCTCAACCGAGCCACCGCCGGAGTTCGCCGATGCTCAAATTAATGACTTTGTCTTCAACTACATAACCAAGGGTTCCAAATTGGGTCAGATCAGCAACGCCCATGCTATCTGGGCCGATCGACTAGAAAAGGGTGTCCTCTCCAAACAATGTGTTTCTCTAGCTGAAAAACACAGCGATGCAGTTGACTTCATAAAAACTGGCATAGCACCAGTCTTCGACTTTTCCGAGAGAAGCTTGATCTACCCAGACTGGATGATGAAGCCAGACAAAGCCGCTTATAGCAGTAAAACTGCAACAGGGAAGATGTTCCATATTGTACAGGGTTTGGAGCACTCGGTCCTAGATCTGAATATTCCTGAAGAAAACATCGCCCCGGACGAAATATTCCTACTGGATGAAGGTCCAACGGATGAGGAACTAGAGAGTGCTACCAAACTTTACACAACGTATTGTACGGAGTTATCCAACATCATGGTGGCCTACGGAATTGCAGATGAAGGAGATATTGCTGCTGGCTGTTTGAACTCCATAAAGAGAAGCCTCGCTAAGGAGCATGAACGGAACTATGATATGCGGGAACAGTGCCTGTCCATGTTTAGATCCCTCCAAAGGAAGTACAGAAGAACGTTCTTTTCAAACCTTGGTGTATCTCAAGAGAACTGGAGACAGGAAGAAGAGAAGGTGCTGAGACAAGCTGCAGCCTGGTACTTTGTCACTTATCACAAACCACAACCATACCAAGATCTCATCCTGCTTAGCTTCCCCTGGTGCGTGGCTAACATTCTCATCAGGATTCCAGAGCTCATGAACACGTCAACAATACCTAACTCGATAAGAGACAAGCTGAGGGCAGAGCTGAGAGAATGGTACGGTGTCAAGTTGAGGAAAGGAGCTGAGTTCAAAGATCGAGGTAAAGAAGTCCTGAAGCTTTTGAATAGTCCTGAGATGGTCAGTGTGACAGATATTAGCCGATACACCTATGGACTGATTATTGGAGAAGCCTTTATTTATTATGTGAACGAATCTCCAAAAGATTTTGCTCTTGAACTAAAGAGCTGGCTAGCGAAGCAAAGTTTCGACGCAGACGTTTCGGGTGAACTGAAAGACTTAGCGACAGACTTCCAAAAATCGAGCGAAAATTGGGCTGTCTCAGAAATCTGCGTGAACGATAAGATGATGAAAGTTATTGTCACAAATGATAAACTCTTGCTGAGAAAGGTGAAGATCTTAAAACAGTACTGCCAAAAGTACAAAATTCTGGGTCACACCATGTTTTTAATCTTAAACTGGGCTGAAAAGAACAACATAACCACTAACGCGGGTCTGGAGGCAGATATTGGGATAAGCTTCCTGGAATTCATGTTAAGGAAACAAGATGGCCAGATCTATGAGATGTCCGAAGAGTCCTACCTCCTTGATGATGTGATAATCGGTCAGTATCCCCTCAAGAACACAGCCACGTTGTACCTGGAGTATCTGAAGTACATAATAGGAGACTGCAAGATGGAAGGAGAAGATGACATCCTAGGGACTGATCTACTGGAGATTGCTCGTACACTACTCGGAACTGAAAAGTGTATGATCGCACTGATGAGAGAGTATCATTTCGTTTCCTACGCTCTCAAGTTCGAGTCTAATGAGAGCTACAAGCAGAACAATATCATCAGGAAAAAAGATAAGAAGATGTGCTTCAACATTGCTCGAGCTACTTCCTTCTGTTCGAGCTTCTTTAACGATCCCGACATCACTGAAACCTTCGAGACGGGCCAAAAGATCGAGATAAAGATCAGAGAGACGGAACTGGGATCTATTAACGCTCTGGTGTTGGAAATTTGGGGTGACAATCCCCAGAAGATGAACGAAATTGCCGATGCTTTTGAAATCGACGAAGATAGATTTCAATTATTTGGCAACTATTTGTTCATCCGTCAAAAGAATTTCAATCAATTCAATTTCCTTGCTCCAAAGACGATCGACAAGCCGCTTAAAAAGTATTTCTCCCTCCGGAAGCACGAGTCAAAGCCTCGGGAGAAAAATCCACTGAAACACGATATAGATCCGATGTATTACAATAACGATAATAACAATAGAGACGAGAGTTTGAAGGAGCTGGTCTACAGGGAGATTCTCCGAAAGACCCGTCTGATGAGAGATGGGCTCTACAACCAGATTTCTCACGGGAAACTGACCATCAACACCACTTTCGGAAAGCTGAAAATCAAACGGTGTGAAAATGGTAGTCTGGACAAAGAATACATGTCTTTGTTCCTAGACACCAAAGGAAACATCTTAAAGAAACTTAGAGGAGTCACCAAAGCTACTCCAAAGGTAACGACAAGTTACGTGTTTAATGTGATATACGAGGGTATTTCCTACAAAGTACATTTCGACAAATTCCACAAACTGAAGTCGCTATCTTTGACTGACATCGTATGGACAGACATGATGATCCTGCATGACCGGGGAGTAGATATGAACATCATGATGACATCAACCCACTCGCTGAAAGGGGAGCGTTTGAACCATCTACCCTTAACATACGAGCTTTTTAGAGGCACTAAGAAGTGGATTGATCGGGTAGACAATGGGAAAGGGATCCAACTAATAGATAGGAACGAAATACCTTGCTTCATTTCCTCCATAGAAGTGATTACAGAGAAACAGTACAAGTTCTGGAAGGATCCTGCTCTGGCCGATATGACAGTTTCTGAGCTGACAGTCGAGGTGTATCAGGGATTGGAAAAAGGTTTCGTAAGGCACTCCAGGACTTATTTTGAGCTTAGACTCTCAGCGACTATAGACACCCTCTTAAACACAGAGTTCTTGAAGACATATGAGAATGTGGCGCTGGATATAGCCACTGTGGATATGAATACACGAACACCTAGAAGAAGTGGGAGTTGGAGAGCCGCGACCTCTGACCCAGACTCAGTTCCAATTCTTCCACGCAGACCCAACAAAAGTGGTCCTCGCCAGACTACTGAAGACAGTGCACCTACCATTACCAACATCTACCCCTCACAGTTTCCCGGAATAGCCGAGGAAAATTCAGTTGCGAGTCGTAGTAATGTGAGTACCGGTGCTCCATCATTGACCAGGTCTGGTGACTTACCACCTTCAACTAGTAACAGTGTCAGTAGACTAGCAAGACAAGTTAGGATGAGAGCCATGGCAACCAGTGGAGATCACGACGAGTTTGAGCAACTCACTCCTCAACAGTTGGAAAGTAAAGACGGACTTACAACAGAAGATTACATATTTCAAGTTGAACAGCCACCGGTTTTTCACCCCATCCCAGGTCCGAACTCCAGCTTTACCAACTACACAGATTTGCAAATCGGAAATGATATTTCTTATCATCATCCTCTTAGTTATCCTACTGTTATTGGAACGCATGATCCATCCGGTGATGAACTAAGTCTTAGCTTGGATCCTACAACTGTTCAGGGAATAGGAGCTGGATATCAACTATCTTCACAGGAATCCAATGAAGCACCGGAGCTTGAGGATCTGGATCAGTTTGACATGACCTTCTTGGACCCCACACAGCTGCTCCCAACACACGAGATAACAGAACCAAAATCTCCGTCTCCACACAGCAACGCTTCCTCTGGTCCCGACATTATTCTGGTGGAACAAACCTTTACGGAGTGTCCAGGATCAGGTGTTTCTGGTAACCCCTTTGAGGAGGAAGTTCATGATGAACCTAACGTCAGCGATTATGAAGACAGGAAATTCTTGGATTAGCTCCTCTAACTGCCCTTATACTCCTTAGGTAAGCTTCTTAGGTTATTAAAGTTATGTCAGGTGAAATTAGCCCTTGATCGAACCTGAGTGGTCAGAGATCAATTCAAGTGTATATTAGAATTCAAATTAAAAATGGAAGAACGTTCAGTTTTCAATCTGACAATATTATATACACGATTGAAATTCTTGAACTGGCTTCGATTAGCTGAAATCTTTATAAATAGCTGATTTGCGAGTCATGCTAGGGTTACCATATAGTTCGGAAAATATATAAGTTTTAAGAACGACACTCTTTCAGGTGAAAGGAGGTTCCTGACGTTTTGAAGCACCTACCCATTTTGAAGCGGAACTGTGTTTTGTTATTTTAGATTTTTTTCAACAATATTGACACTTGAAAATGCATTTAAAAGCATGAGCATATCTTTATTTGATCAGTTTTTTAGATGAAAGGTTTTACACATACCAAGTTTTAAGTTGAAAATAGTTTGTACAGATTTGATGCAGTATGTTTTGAGCGAATCATAGATTTGTTGAACTTAAAATCTTCCAGTTGGATTGAATGATTGAATATTTAAGCTAATATCGTTTTTGATAAATGTTAATTTCGTTATGAATAAATGAACTTATTGCTTAATAGTCATTTGTCCAAGATACAATATTTTTAGTTTATTAGACGATGCTAAAAGTTGTTGGAAAACTAAAATAAACTCACTGATCAAACATAGCAAAGACTTCAGAGGTAGGCTGATGTATCGTACAGAGCACAGTTCTGTTTGCTTTAGCTAACTTTCCAATAATTTTAACAATATTCCTTGCCATGAATGAGTCCAGACCTGAAATAAAACTATTAAATATATGAGACTATGATACATTGTATCAGGATAATGTGGTACTCTCCTTGTGTATAAGAATAACAGAGTAAGCAGCATGTAAATCATTACCGCTGGTAGGCTCATCAATGAAGAGGAGTGGAGGGTTCATGAGGAGTTCACAAGCAACTGACAGTCTCTTTTTCTCTCCGCCAGAAATACCACGAATCATACCACCAGGCTGCCCACAGAGGCTGTTCTCTATTTTCTTCAACCCCAACTAGAAACGAGAGAAAGTTAATACAAATCTGAACAGATTTGACAGGCAATGCATGGTCAAAATGTCCATCACATATATTTTAACTCTTATTACAACAGCGTAAGAAAAATTGAAGTTAATCATTGCCATGATAACCATTTGATATCGTATTTAGATCGCACGATTAAATCGATCGACGCGAATCGAATCTTGATGCATTGCGCCATGTCATGCATCCTGAGCTGGATACGCTACATATTATATGCATGAGCGCGATGCATGCAATCATAAATCAAGAGGCTTGCATATATTGAACATATTGACACGGGTGCAGAGTTGAGTCTGTACGGAACCTAGTAGTTTCAGATCCTTGTTTAACTTGCCGTACAGCAAGGTCATCCACTACTTTAGCCCGGCGAGGCACATAACTCCCTCTACAACTCCATGACAAATGTTTCATATATACTAGCCGAATTCACAATGCCATGTGCGCGCGCCGCGCCATGCGCTGCTGCATGCGCTGCATCGATTTAAAACAACCGCGCGTCAAAGAATTAAATTAAGGCCATCGCGCGCTGCAGAATCTAGATCAAGAAACCGGTCACGTACTGTCCCTAGAGGGTAAAATTAAAATACCGCATCAATTACCACCAGCCGACTCAGAATACGAACGTCGTTCTACAGCTGAGGTTGTGCCTTGCATAGAATTCAGAATGTAATCCACTTTTAGTTTCTACCATTGAACCCCTCCAGGAGTATCAAGCGCTAAATTGCCGGCCAACACCGTCTTTAAAAAATCTATGATGCTGTTGCAATTTGGACCAAAATTTGTAAGCTTTTGAACAAAAAATTTAAAGAATGGACTTTTTCGGCTCTTTGCCACCGCTGTTCTTGACTGACTCCAGTGCTCAAATCACAATGAATGTAGACTGCCGGTGAAGAATGAAGATTATGTGTATCGTGTAAATTATACCATTTAACTCAATTAAACCCCACAATCTACTTCCAAGCTTTTTAAAGGCTGAAATCAGGAAGGATTATACCGACTTTTGTGCGGAAATTCTATTTTCAAGTTTTTCGTGGAGGAATTTTGCGTAAATTCTGGACGAATGCCGAGCACAGTCATTAGTCGTTACACTTAACAATATTCCATGTGACTAGCAGAGTGATTATATTTCATCATCGAAGTGTAGTTTCAGTGTCTAACTTCACCAAATCACACAAACCTCGTGTAAAACTTTGTTTACTTTTCTCTTTTTCTCCTTCATTTCAACATCTCGCCCCATTCTGAGATTCGCCTGAAATGTTAAACATATGTATAAATGTGACATATTAAATATTAATAATCAATTCTGGGTATGTGTCGTGTCTAGGCATTTGTAACTCATATTTCGTAGCCGTAGAGTAACCATAAAAAGTAAACTACAAAACACAAAAATTGTTTGATAGGCTTGCTGAATATTACATTAATTTAATTTGGAAATATTATGACTAGGAATTAGATTTTTAAATTCCTCACTTTAAGCCACTGGGATGTAGGGACACACACTATTATTATTAAAGCAAGCTTCTAGTTTCGGGATAGCCTGTAGCAGGCAACGCTCGATACTAATGATTCTACAGACCTACACAAGTGCAAGTAAGTAGGTAAATATTTCATGCTAGGCATGTGGCACCCATTACGGACACGCAGACTAAAATTAATGGAAATAATTACCGGACTTTATTTTTCACGGACCTTAAAGGACCAGTTAACTGAAAAATTTGTAGTCTCCAATTTGGCTAAGATTTAAATCAGCTGTGACAAACTGGTAAAGAATCGTATCGCCGAAAGAACCAACTCTCTAGCGTACGTGTAACGCGTGTTATTGCAATAATAAGCTGTGGCCTCGTGACGTCACGAAGTCCCTCAGTGCGCGCTGACATAGCGTAATACGTTGCAAATGTTTATCGTTGTCATTAAAACACGTGTTACTCACTCAAATTTTAGAATTATGACTATTACCCGAGTTCTCCAAAATCCTTATAGTTTTGGCTATCATCCTAACTAAAGGAATAGCTGATTGGATGTACAGTGCTCACGTCATGATTTTAAACAGTGATATAGGTTCTTGGACAGAGGCGGTTGAATGTACGGTTAGAAAGTTTCTGCTATTACAGTTCTTATGTCATATGTGATAATTTTGGATTGTTTTCATTGCTTAATTACACAAGCAGGGAGACTGTACCGATTATTTTTCCCCAGTCCATGAAACTCTAACGAATTTAAAAGGATCTAGATAAGTAGGAGATAGTTTGTTCAATTCCGAGAGCAATTATATTTATAGCATAGCGAAATTTCTAACTTTAATCTGCATGTGTCAGCCAGTACAGGAGACAAGAAGTCTGGCTACTTTACGGCCGTTCCTCTGGGACCATTAGTAGAAGTAGCTTCTATCAGAACAGTGCCGTGGGAACAGAATTCCCGCCAAAATACCCGGTCTACCAAATAGTAATAGTGATTGGAGTGTACGGTGTGCGGTGTGTTACAGTTTTGAATTATACTTCGGCTTACCTAGCTGTTATCCTAATTGCATTATCATCGGTACATAACATAAATAAACTACTGGTAAGTTTAAATACCAAGTGCAAACGTGTTCAGTCAATCGACCCACTGAACAAATATAGAATTTCCAAGATCCTATTATTCTTTGGCCATATATTAATACGGCACGATCGATTGTTAGATGGTTAAACGACTATACAATTCTAAAACTATGAGCTAGCACTTTAATCTAAAAATACACTTTTTATATTACTCCTGATTTTTACATTTCACGTAAAACATTGTCGCCACAGGTTGATCATGGACACTAACAGCTTAATTTGAGATAAATGACTATGAGTTTCTCTAAAGTTAACTCTAAAGTTGTGTAATCCAGTCATTTATGGACATTTATGGAAATGAACCTGCAAATGTTCAGATACTCACGAAACTTTGCACAGACCTTCCCGAAGGTATGAATAAACGATTTTCGTTTGGAGACATTTGTTTGACAGTGGAGAAAACCCAGGAGGACCACGCCCATATTGACCCAATAACGTAACCGACCCCTTGCTTCTGAAGGTCGTAGATACTTCAAAATAGGCTTAAACGAAGCCACATATGCATGTTTATATAGGAGTTATCGAGCAACACATGGCCTAAAATCCTTACTTTTCGAGAAATTCGCCAAAAACCATTTTGGGCGTGGTGCTGAGCCCATTTTCGATAGGATCGTGATAGAGTCTTTAGACACTAGACAGGGTGCAAAAGAACCGCAATTAGCATATTAATATATGACTTACGAACAAACATATGCCTTAAAGTGCTTACTTTTTCAGTTATTGGCGAAAAACTGATTTTCGGTTCCAGAAATCATGCAAAACTATGGGTATCTGGTAAATTGGGCTATGAAGGTTTTTGAATGTGTGCAAATTGTGCAGAATGGCCATGTTTATATACAACTTATGAAGCAACATGTACCCTAAATTACTTACTTTTCGAGTTATTCGGGGAAAAACATTGTATTATGTCCATTTTCTACCTGTAAAATACATTCTCACGAGCTCCTCTGCGCGCGCAAGGGACTTCGTGACGTCATCGCCAAAATAATACAAACGCTATTTACACGCGTTAGAGAGCAGTTAGAGATTTAGGAATTTCGACTCGTTGCTTAGTTTGCTATTAATCACAATCTGTCAAAATATGAGTATAACTTTTTTTTCAGTTAACTGGTCCTTTAATGCCACAGAAATTATTTTCACGGACATAATTATTCACGCTAAGGTCTTCAGCGTGAAAGTAATGTTCGTGATAATTATGTCCGATAAGGTAAGCTACACATTGTTTTCTTTGCTAACATTAAAATTAAAAGATACGTGAAACACACAAATCATATCCACTTGTATTGATAGTACAAGGAAATACACAAATCATGTTTATTGTTGTATACACTGTACACTATACCTAGCTGTTCAAAGAGGAACACATTCCATTTCCGTGCATATATCCTTAAAGTGAAAATGAAATAAAAGCGTATTTCAAGAGGAATATATCATAGGGATTATAATAAGAAAACAACCTTATCGTAGTTACAATAAAGAGAGTGGTGTACCAATGTAAACTCACGTGAAACATTAAGACCTCTTTGACTGTTAGAGTTCCAATAAAGAAATCCTCCTGTTGGACGTACGCAGAGAGAAGGGATGTTGTGCGGCCCGTCAGTGGCTTTCCGTTCACTAGAATCGTACCTGAAAATTGTATATTATTCATCTTATTTTTTGATGTATTTAACGTACTTGGTGATAGTTACCAATTCAAAACTTATTTTAAAGCCTAAATCCGGAATTAAGATAACAGAAATGAGCAGTAAAACTGGTAACCATCACCATATTCAAAATTTTACTAGTGAACGAGAGTAAGCAAGCAGTTTACGTGCTACATTGTCGCAACATTTGTGAACTGCTGTCTGTAACCTTGGTTATTATGCTTGTAAGTTAGAATATCTGGAGGTTTGATATTCAAATGCCTGGCCTGCCTGCCGTCTCATTTGGTGTAATTAACCGGCTATTTAAAACATTTCTAGGATTAAAGACCAGACCTAAGTACTGTCTAATACCCTGTAATCCTGTAGTACCCACTACCCCCCCCCCCCCCCCCCCCCCCCCCCCCCCCCCCCCTTTAGTAACACAGTCACGTAGGCAGGATTATCTGGCTATGTGGGTAGCTGTAGTAACACTGTTAGATATAATAGTGGTCAGTGGACCGCATCTAATACTCGAATTACAGTGTCTACGTATATACATATATATACATAATACATTAGTTAGCCTCAACAGTCAATGAAATACAACAATTGTCTTGAATCCCAACTTCTCTGATTTAACTTTGCAGACATTAAATATCCTAGTCACATTCGGCTCTTAACCTCGAGACAATTTCCTCTAGTCCATTTCAAGCTCTCTAAATTTGACACAAGTGAGCACTGAACCATACGTCAGTTAAGCACTACCCAGATCTAAAGAATGACGACATCAAAGAAATCTTGAAATATCATTAACATCTACCTGATTCATCAAGCTTGTGGTCGTTCTTCATAGCTAATGTGTTGAGGAGAGTCGTCTTGCCTGCACCACTGTGTGTTGCAATATTACTTAGAATTATGCCCAAATAGGTGACATAAAGGTCAATCGTTCATGAAATTACGATTAACAGAAAAAAGAGGTTTCAAGAGTATAATAAGTAACTAGTAACTACATAATATATAATATTATCACTATACATTAGTCCGTAAATTTATTATTCGGGCCAAAGAAACATATTTATAACAGTCAATAATTTTAATAACCATAATCTCCCCCCCCCCCCCCCCCCCCCCCCCCCCCATAATATTACCGACTAAGGTAGTTAGTAGTTTCTAATTAAGTAATGTAAAGGGTGTCTCACCTTGCCCCCATGATTGCCATGAATGTTCCGGGCTTGCATAAACCAGAAACTGAAATTATATTAAGTCATGTTTACTTTTCAACTTCAGGAAAAACATATATAACCCGTTGTCATGGTGACTAAAAGTTACAGGATTCAACACAATGGGCTAATCATGGCTTTAAAGCTGCGCATATTGAATAATATTCAATATATATTAAGACGCAATGAAACTATCGGACTACGATGTATGGGGACTGCCACCCCATTACATTCTGTTATATACCTCCTTTAAGAATTTCTTTTTTAGTAATAGTGTCCTTGTTGGAGCGACAACAGGCAGGACCCTTCCCTGTGTCCACAGATAGAGACACTTTCACGTCCTCCCATGACAGAGTCACTTTGGAGTATGCACCAAATCTGTTAGTCTCATCATCTAACTGCAAATTGGAGTATTTTAATAAAACATTCAATCAAAAACAATTTGATTAAAGCAAATAGTAAATTAGAGTGCTTTTAGTTGGGAGGAAATGTTACAAATGAAGCATGCAATTAGATTGTGATCTAGAATCATCAATAATTTCTTGGCAAGCTTAAGATAAAGTATCATAAAGTTGAACTCTAAAGTTGAACTCTAAAGTTGAACTCTAAAGTTGAACTCTAAAGTTGAACTCTTTCACTTACTGCACTAAAATCAAGACTGTCACTGGATGTAACTGTTGCGTCAGGTACGTTACCACTGTTGGGGTCCACATCTTCCAAACTGAGACTGTTGTTAGCAGGTAAAACAATTACAGCAGCAGATTCGTCTTCATAACTCATACCTCATGGATAATGGATATAGTATTTTGTTCAATAATGCCACAAGTACATATTTTGAAATTCCAAAGTTCACAAAAGCATATATTTCACCTTTTACATAAAAGATACCAAAAACATACACATTTCCAGGTACAAAAGTTAAAGTTATTTATAACAAATAATGGAGCTTACTAAAACCAAAAAATTCAGTGTGAATTTAAATGGCATACAAAGAATACAAGTTTACCCATTGATAATTAAGAGCGTCAGACTTAGAACCTTTTTTTAAATGCAACTACAGATGCTGGAAGCCCTCCCTATCACTGCAGGCAATTAATAATTTAGTAAGAGCTGTTATAAAGCTGTCATCTCCTGTTAACGACTTAAGCAGATTAGGATGATGGCCATCTGAGACAGTGCTTTTAAAATTATTAGGCTTTAATTGTTCCTTTTTAACATTATCAAACATAACAGCAATATCATATATACAATTGGTATCCTCAATATTTCTATCAGATACGGGTCGGAGTGGCTCACGGACAAACAGAACTAAAAGCACTTGCAAGTACCTCTAAGATAAGATAAGATTTAAAATTATGCCTCTCTGGGTATCTCATATACAAATATAATTACTTCAAAACTGTACAATTTACGTTTAATAAACTATTAAAATATAAAAATTAAAAGAAGTAACTGAAAACTCTTGCTGTAAGG